CCCCCCCGCCCCCTCTCTCCATGTGTGATTGTGTGTGTGTGTGTGTGTGTGTGTCTGACTCGTACGTAGGTAGCTATACACGCACAGCGAAAAAAAGGAGAGAAAAGAAGCCAAACGTAAAAGATGGGGGTATCATATCATCTAATTATCACTACTATATTGATGCATACATGCACCTTTACTCTCTGCCCTTCTCCTCCTCTTTCTCCTTTTCCTCCTTTCTCCTTTTCCTCCTTTCCCCCTTTTCCTCCTTTCCTCCTTTTCCCCCTTTTCCCCTTCTTTGAATAGATGAAGAGACGAAGAGATGAATAGATGAATGATGCTACTCTCAGCTCGTATTGCAAGACATATATTTCCATATACATGTCCTACCATTCTATTCCATTCCAATGAATCGGGTCATTCATATCACATCACATCAGATCACATCACATCACCGCCTACACATCCCGTTTACCCCCTCCCTCCCCAAAGGGGCGTATACAGCCCCGATGCACAACAAAAGTTCAAATGCAAGTAAAACTCATCCCTCGCCTGCCAGATACGCTCAATGGAAGGATGCAAGACTGGAAAGATACAACAAGATTCGGATCTTGCTGTTAGCAGATGATCTTGTAGATTCGTTTCCACGTAGGCCATGTCGCTCGTTCGAGCCGTTCTTCTTCAATGAGCTCGGCGATATTTAGGTCACGGATACCAGCTATGGTGAGAGGTTGGTTAGCGTGATAGACACCATCATTTGTACTTGATGAAAGAGTAGGGTGAACTTACTATGCAGATCCATATTGTGAGAACGGATAAAGGGCGTTTTCTTCCAGATTTTATACCCGACATAGGTGATGAGGACAATGGGTGCAGCCAGATAGGCCAGGAAAAAGAGTTGAACGCGGTCGCTCGCACTCATGCTGGCGTATCCAATGGGCCAAGCACCCGTCCAGAATTGCGTCACGAGCACGAGGCAATTGAAGAGGAATCCGATCCACGATCCAATGATGCCCGGCTGCGAGCGGAATGCGAGTTCGGAAAGGCTGTGTCCCTGTCTCTTCCAGCCCGCGCGGAAGCGGATGTGGGCCAGACAAATGCTGCCCCAGGTGATGATGGAGGAGAGACCGGAGAGCGCTAACATCCAATTGAAGGCTTCGGTCTGCTTGGAAGAGCCTGCGAAGAAGGCCAACAGGCCCAGAACACTGGCCACACCAATCGCGGCAATCGGTCGACCTTTGCGATCGATATAGCCGAGGATCTTGGGTGCCTGATTCTGATCGGCCAAGGCGGCGAGGGTGCGAGAAGAGCCATAGATGGAGGAATTCCCCACGGAAAGCACCGCAATCATGATGACCACGTTGAATACGGATGGCAGTCCCGTGATGCCAGCGTTGACGATGGAAATGACAAAGGGCGAGGCTTTCGCATCGTAGCTGGAGCCTCCATTCACCAGACGCGTGTCATCATACGGGACCAAAACGCCCACAATCGTGAGCGAAACAATGTAGAAAAGGGCAATTCTCCAGAAGACCTGCTTAACAGCCGTAGGGAGCGATTTTCTCGGGTTTTCTGTCTCTGCTGCCGCCAGTCCAACCAGCTCAGTACCTGCGAAGGCAAAAGCTGCAGTAACGAACACAGAGCACAGCCCTTTGAATCCGTGATTGAAGGCACCAGGGTTGTACCAGAACTTTCCACCAATGTATGATCTCTCGCTGACCAGGGCGTAGGATGCGGAGTATTGGAGCAGGTCTTCGGATGCGCCGCCCGCTCCACCACCGCAGTTCAAGATGATGCCCAGGATGATGTAGCCCACAATGGCAATGACCTTGATGATGGCGAAGAAGAACTCGGCTTCACCGTAGCCCTTGACTCCGAACAGATTGATGGTGACGATCAGGACCAGGAAGATGGCGACCCAGGCGTCGTTGTTGATGCTGCCATTGCTCCAGTACTCGATGGTGATAGTAGCAGCGACGATTTCCAGAGGCAAGACAACGAGCCATTGCATGGCATAACTATTCGCGCAGTCAGCATGATTGTCCCCCTTTTACCCCTTCATCTCTCTCACACGATCTTCGACTGGAAGAAGCAAAAAGGGCGCGCCAACTCACTTCCAACCCATCGCAAAGCCCCACGCGGGGTCGATGAAGCGTGTCGAGTAGGCAGAGAAGGATCCGGATACGGGGAAGAGCACGGCCATTTCTCCCAGGGCGTGAACGGTGGTGTACATCATGATACCGATGAGGGCGAAAGCAATAATCAGAGACGCCGGCCCTCCTGTTGCGAGCGCAGAACCCGATCCCACGAACAGCCCGGTACCAATGGAACCTCCAATCGCAATCATTTGCAGGTGACGACCTTTCAGCGTTCGCGACAGGGGCGAAGATGCGGTACCGTGGGCCGCGCTGTCGACGTCGAAGACTCGTCCATCGGCGCCGACGACGGCCTTGGGAGTGGCATGGGCATTAGGGTCGCGCTTGAAGCTGTCGACGACTCGGGTCGTCCATTTCGGCTTCTGAGCCACGTGTTCGCCGTACTCGGGCAGTTCCACGTCGTCTGGAGAGCCCAAACCGGAGCCGTGAGGGGAGTAATCCATCTTCATTGTGGCCTTTTCCGAGTATTCCATATTGACGGACGAGGAGTGAGTGAAGTGAAGTGTATGGCGCGGTGTGTCGCCAGGGCGAGGCGGGCGGGCCACCGGTGGGGAGACGCGTGGAATGTGGGCGACAAAGAAAGCGGCGATAAAGAAAAGTGCCCAAAACGGACGACAATACCAAGCAAACTTGCGCAGAGAGAGAGGGAAAGAGAGTGAGATAGAGAGAGGGCGGTGCAACGTGGTGCTGGCAGGGAACAGAAAGTGTCCTTCCGGTTCTTTCGTGAAACTTCCGTCAGTCACCCTTTGACTGTAGTCTTGGCAGGCATGCTCCTTCTTCTTCGTCTTCTCCTTCTTCTTCGTCCGTCTTCTTCGTCCGTCTTCTTCTTATGATTGGACTGGCCGTGGAAGAAAGGAAGAAAGGAAAGTAAAGTAAGCTGCTGCTGCTCAGCCGCTGTGCCACCGGACATGTAGTGCAACTGATACACGATTGGATCGGCCTAACTCACTGGCGCCTCCCGCTCCCCGTCCCGTCCCGCACTTTCAGGGTTCCAGGCGGCTATACAAGAATACCGCCTATATTCATCACACCAACCAACCAACCCCAGGGGCCAGCAACACTACCTCCTTTTTACTATCAGTCTATCACTGTATCGAAAATACGAAGAAGACACCAAGAATCCAAGCTGGAAATGAAGGAAATTTCCCAATCGACAAATCATATGCGTCCTCCCGGCTTCGACTAGGTACTCACTCACTGCACTTCACTCTCCAATCATACATGTACCTAGGTAATCATCATCCGATACGAAAGTAACGAAACCAGATGGGAAACACGCACGTCTCACTGCTGTGTAACAGAAGCCCTGCACGAGGCTGGGGAGAGGGGGAGATCCCGAGAGAGGCGCCGACTTTACTGTTGCTTGTCTTTTCCTCAAGAAAACATGATAAAGGTATCTATGGGAAACCAACCAACCAACCAACCGGGAGGAAGTCTTTTATCCAAAAGAAAGAAATCATCATGATGGTTTCACTAGATAGGTAAGGTTGCTATGCGACAATCTTCTCCTTCTCCCTCGCAGTCCAGAGACTGACTTGGTCATTCGCACGGGCGCTTTTTGTTGCTCCTCTCGCGTGGCGGTGGAGAGAGAGAGAAGGTGAGTCCTTGCGTAACGCAGCAACTGGGAAGTGAGTCGGGAGTACAAGAGTACATGTAGTGTGTATATTTGTGCCTGTGTGCCTGTTTAACCAACGAGTGGCATCATTCTGCGTCAAATACATGCTCTTCTACCCGGAAAACAGCTCCGGCTCTTCAACCATCATCGGTGTACAACAATTACAACTACACCTCCGTCTCGATGCCAGGCTCTCGCGTATGCCGACTAAACATACCCTCCACTTTCGACTCCACTCGGTCCAGTTTCTCCTTCACATGCTGCAAATTCCGAGCCGGTTTATACTGCATGATGCCCCGATGCGTCCGATGCTTTTCCTTGGCCTCATTCTTGTAATCTTTCACCTTGTCAATCAGATTCATGTGCTGTCTCCCATCCTCCCTCGTGTCGCCATCAGTCATATCACTCGTTGTCGTTGTCGTAGTAGAAGTCCCATTACTGTGCTGAGTGGTGGTTGGATCCATCACAGCCTTCGGATCGCGACTGGCATCATCGCTGAAGCTCTCCGAGTCGGAATCCGAGTCGGATGAGGAACTGCTGCTGCTGCCATCATCGCCTGCAACCACGATGCCCCGGTCCTCTGCATTTCTCTTGGCTTCGTAGTTATCGCGCGCAGTATCAAGCACTTCCATCACTTGTCGCACATCCGCGTCCTTGGACGCCCAGCGTTGATGGCCCGCACCCAAACCAGACCAGAACGTCATCTTGACTGTGATGGACCCAATCTGCTCGCCGGGCTTCTCCAGAACACAAGATGTGGCACGTTCGTAATTACCCGTGTATATCGGCAACGTAATCTCCTTCTCACAGTCATCGGGAATGTCTCGAAGCCAGAGAACAGCAAACGCAGCCGTCTTATCTTTGGCCAACAGGCGCCCGTTGCGCTTGAGACGAAGTGATAAGCACGTCGCATACCGACTGTGGACGGCGAGGAAGAGCGATCGTCCTTTTCGAGTCTGCCAAGTGGAGTCCTCCTTGTGAGGATACATCTTGCCGCTGCTGATGTTGGAGTGCCACTTGACTTTAAGCTCTGACAGGTCCCCAGGCACATCGGCTGTAGAGATGGAAGGTGAAATCTCAATCGTCCCGTAATCCCACCCCATCTGTTCGGGTCGTGCTTGGAGCTGTACGCTACGCCATACCATCGAGATTCGGACGCGACCATAGCCAACGCCACCTGTGAGAGGGTAAAAGCCGTTGACCTGACTGCGAGTTTTAAAGATTTCACCCAGCGGCAGATGGACGATGCCAATGAGGGCATCATTTTCGTCCGGTCGTGCATCGCGGACGGTAACATAGACTTCGGCACGTCGCCAGTCACCAATGAACCTCTCCGTGCCAGCGTTGTAAAACGGTTTGGCATTTTTCGGCTTAGTCCTCGTCTTGAAAATCTTTTGATGATTGATGATGACGGAGCAATAGGCCGAGGGCAATCCCGAATTCTCTTCGTCCTCATTCTCGTGCGCCGCGTGCTTATCCGCAACAGTCTTGTTTTGAACTTCGAGCTCCAGGCCGGTGATCTGGTGTACAACCAGACTGAAGATGCCACTGCAATAATCATCTGGTGGAGGTGCTGAGATAATGATGGCGTCTTCGAACGTTTTCTTCTCTTGCGCTTTTTGCTGTTCCAGCTCCTGCCTACTACGGGCATGGCGACCCTTCTTCACCATGGCTTCACGAAGCTTGTTGTGGCAGATCTCGTCTACTTTCCGATCCAGGTCATCCTTCGACCTAATATCTTCGTCGAAGGTTTGCTTTTTATATTGGCACTCCTGCAATCGGGTCTTCGAAAAGTAACCTACCTGCCATTCAAGCTTGCCAGGCATAGTTTCGCCACGTTTCAGCGCCTTGAACCCATCCTTTCGATAGTGCATTTTGCCATTGGTGTCATCGCTCCGCATCAGTTGCTTGAGGTCAACTTCGATCCGTCCAAGATCATCATCTGCCGTGAAACGATCGGAATCCCAAAGTTGCAGGCGGAGGCGCTCGTCCACGTTCAGCTCTGCGGGTGTGACCAAGAGGTAGCACCGCTCATGAAAGTAGGGATCCATTTCCTGCAACGATTGATTAGCTTGTGTAGACTTCCATCTGTCTTGCTTCACATACCTTGACCAAAACTCTAGTCGAAAACAAAGGCTTGCCGAGCTTCGCCCAAGCAACTGAAATGTAGGGGTCACTGCCGCCCTTCGATAGCAGAGGGACGGCGGCATCGCCCATCTTGAAGTCGTACCCATGCATAATGTCGACAACGATGATGCCACGAGCGTTCGTGTCCTTCTTGAAGTCATCTCCCGCGAGCATATCCTTGAGGTCGAGAGTCAACGACTTGGGCGCGACATATTCCGCCATGGCTGCGTCAACTGAACTTTGCACAAAGTTAGATATCAGTGGCAGGTCCATGATATTCAAACCGCGCTTCACAAGTGGAATGCAGCTAATATCGACCTTTGGCTGTCCCAGAAAAGTGAGAGTACATAGACTGAAGAATGGGGGATCTGGTGTGAGCTGTAGCCGAAGACGACAAGTGCCGACGAGCCCTTTCATGTCCACCCAGACTGGAAACTTCAGGCCGCCTGGAAGGTAGAAGGCCAAATAGAGATGGATATCTTTGGTTCGATCATGGAAAGACTTTGACGCTCGAGCACGATATGCGAACGCGACTTCGAGGTTGATAAAGTCGCCTTCTTCAGCCTCCATGCCCTCGGCGACGGCAGCTCTCTCCGTACCATCGCCACTACCGCTCTCATCATCCTTGTCATCATTGTCGTGATGCTCGGCCCCTTGGTCTACTTCGCCTTCGCCCGGCACAGTGCGGTCGTTCTTGTGGGTTTCCTGGTCTTCTTTGCCAAGCTTGCCATCCTCGCCGACAGATTTGGCTGCAGCTCCGCTAGGGAGCCATCGAACACCGAGAATCCGCAATGCCTCGCTGCCTTGTCCAATATCCTCCACACTGACCATCTGCACAACACGAGGCAGCGAAGCTTGCATTACATCTTCCAACGTATCCGCAAGGCTGACGAACAGGTCCGGGTTTACCAGGGGCCAGACAGCAGCAAACAGCGAATTCAACCACGACACGGATTCTGTGTCGTGTGCCTTGGCTGCGCGCTCGCGTGCTTCGAGATTTGCTTCCCACACTTGCTCCTGCCATACGTCCTCGATCCGATTCGTCACCCATATCCTCGTACATGCAATCAGCTCCCAAATTGCTGCACCGGAAAAGGTACCCAATATCAGCCATGTGCCTGATTTGAAGATCCACCATCGTGCTTCGACGTTGGCATTGGTCCAGTATGCCAGTCTATCCGGTGTGAAGATGTGCTCCAAAGCAACTGCAAGCAAGACGATGACCGCAGCCCCTAGCAAGCCCACAGTGATCCCCAGCCTATTCACGCCAATTAGTTCATCCCGCAAGCTATCGAAGCTCGGAGGTGGGAACAGTGCGTTCATAGAGTCCAACCCATCTTGCGCGTCTTTTGTCTCTTGTTCCAGCTGACCAGCATCCTTCCTCTTATTGCTCAGGCCTGTCGCCGTTCTCGACGTTGAGCCCCATGGAGCGGGATTCTCCTCCACTTCTTCGAGCGATTGCTTCGTGAAGTCGTGAATACGTACAGGCAAGTGCGTGACAGGATCTGTAACCCTTCGTTCTGCTGGGTCCTCTCTACCCTTTTTCAGATTCTTACGTCTCGTCTTCGGATCCGCGGGAGAGACCTCGGACGTGTCTGCTGCCACCTCTGTATCTTCCTCGCTTTCGTCGTCCTGCTGGTCCGTAATCTCCCCGTCTCTTCCAGCATCTGACTTCCCATCGTCATTCTGCGACGCCTTCTGCTCCGCGCCGTCGTCGCGCGACCAATAGTCTCTCCATGTATTCTTGGCGCGTTCCGTCCGTGACTCGTCTAAGGCAGGCCCGCTGGCCTCGTCACTTTCATCGGGCAAGGCCTGAGCCTGACGTGCTTCCTTCTCTTTCTCGTACCTGGAGATGGTTGGAATGGGTCGGTTCTGGCCATATGCACCATGGAAATTCTTGCGCGACCTCTCGGCGTCCTCCTGACCGGACATAGTGGCATGGGAGGGTGTTCACCGGTATAGAAGACACGCTCCGAGCGGCAGTATGTGCACAATTTCGGCTCTGACCGAATACACGTCTTGCCTCGTTTGTCGCGATCGCCGGTGAGAGTTGAGCCACCGCACGATATGGATAGCTTGCTGCTGCTGCTGCTGCCGCTGGTAGTGGTGATGATGTGAAGAGTGGCACTACTGTGACACTGCAGACAGCTCAATGTGCAACCCAGGTGGGGGATACTGTACCTGTAGTATGTAGTGCACACGAGAGGTGAAAGAGATGGAGGAAGGTGTAGCAATACCTTAGAGGAACAGAGTGCTAATACTTACGTCACCGCAAAGGTGGACGGCATTGCGTGTTCCACAGCTGGAGCAAGCATGTGTCCAGGCAGAGGCAGGTCAATACATGGAATAACGTGTATGTTGTACGAGACCACTGCCAACTTCAGGTTTGCTACCGCGCAAGTGAGAAGTGCACTGGCCGTGGTGATGCTGGTACAATTCCAATGGGGGGGGGGGGTAAAGCTGCGTCATGCCGAGTGTCTCCCGAGAGCACTGTGCCTTAGTCAGCTCCGCACAACACCATCTTCATTCTTCCATCTCCATCGTCCTTGTCCTTACATGTACCTCCTAGCTGTGCAGCAACTTCCGTCGTACCTGACCTCCTAAATTCACTTGGCAGCAGATGACATTCATCATTCATGCATCCTCTCCGAGAAGAGTGAGCTGGTCCAGGGGCTGAGAAGGTGTATGTCTTGGCGAGAAGGGAACATGCAGTAGATGCAGTAGATGCATCCCGTGACATCGACAACCAAAGAGACATGTTGCGTGTGCTGGGGAGAAGGACGCGACGAGTCTCTTCAGAAGGCTCAGATAAGGGATGCATTGGTCGGGAGGGCATTCCAGCGTACATGTATGCACCTTAGGGGCCCCCTTAGGACTTAGGGGTACGACAGTAGGCGCGCGCTTCTCGCTTTCACGTGTCCCCCGTCGGGTCACTCACTGCCTAGCCTGCAACAGCGCTAAGGCTATGGATGCTTCCATGTTCCGGGTCCATTCCTATTCTCGCCCACCTCACTACCTACTACATACTCCATCGCACACTCCATCGCACTCCCTATACCGCACGCTACTGACCACTTGGAAGCAACTCACGCGAGGGGCCGTCGGCACTACAGGTATACCTACCTATAGGCACGATTCATCTTTGCCACTCTACTTCAAACGCGCACGCTGGACGTCACGGCAATCCTCCCGTCCACCGGTGTGCACTGTGCACAGTGCTGCGCCGCCCTGCCCCACCAGGATAGGATCATCAAGCCATTCCTATCTCAAACCTCAGGCTGCCAGCAACCGCTGCGGGCCTGCGCGAATGCGAATGCGACTACGGCAAGGCTGGCGCTGGATTCACTTGGACTTGGACTCACTTGGAAGGGTCGACTGAAGGAACCGCAACTGGGCCCGCTTGACACACCGGCCTGGCTCAGCTGAGTGCGAGGCACGCGCACAGGAGCAGCGCAATGGCCGGCCCTCTGCCTTTCACAGGTCCATACCTGCCACTGGGCTATGACTTTGGACTGCCCAACGTACCTCTGGAGGACACCTCGTTTCCACTCCCAGTCGACGAATTCGGATATCCTCTGATCATGACCCGAATTCCGCTCGGTGGCTTCCAACCTGATGCGTACTACTCTCACGATGTGCCCTACAACCCTGCCCAGAACGCACCGACAACTTCTCCTGGCCAGCAACACGCTCCGTCCGCTGGCACCGGAGGCAGCGACTCGCTCTCGCCCGATGACGCCTCCGGCCATGCCCTCACTCCCTCTTCGCCCTCCAACTTCAGTCCGTATATTGGGGACTTCGACGATTCCGACGTCATAGCCGGATCACCAGAGAGCGACCAGACCATCGCAGCCGACTATGTCTATGTGCAGGATCCAAGCAGATACAACGAGCACATGGGGAGCACGCATCAGGCACCGCGCTCGTCATCAAGGCTCCCGCCGTCAGCACAGAGCTCCTCCCACTTACGAGATGGCTCCGGTCCATCACCGCACGACAATCTAGCAATGGAGTTTTCGCAGCAATGGGCATCTTTGGCTTCGCCCTTCGGTGCAAGCATGGGTGAACTCACCACGAACGCATACAATAACTTCCTGGGCTCTGGCGACTTTGGGCTTTTCGAAGATTCTGCACTTCTGCCCAACATGACCGACAGCAACTTTGACTCGACCTTTGGTGTAGCGCCACAACACCAGCAGACGTATGCGAACGTGCCGTTTCGAAAACAGGGAGGGGGTGTGCACACTTCCGCAGAACGGCCGTCATCACAGAGTCAGTCATTGGCAGCCACAACCAGTCGATACACGAACAACCTCTCCACATACGCTGCTGAACAGGGACAAGCGCAATATGCGATGAATGCAAACAACAGCATGCTTCCGAGTAGCAGTCCACCGTATTCTGGCAGTGCGATCAATAAACAACATCATCGGCAAAGGGGTCCTTCGGCGTCGCAGGTTCCACAAATTCTTGTGAGGAATAACAATGGCATGCTTCGCGATACGGCCAATGCCGCTCCCCAAGCAGGATGTAATCAACGGGCGCCGGCACCTTCCCGAGCGAACGGCCATGCGCGTGCGCGTGTGCAAGTGCGCCCGGCACCGACCAACAGTGGTGATGACAGCCCTCAACGTTACGATGGTTTTGATTTCACTGGTTCATATCCCGTGATTGCTGCGGCGGATCCGATGCGCACTCACCTACATGCACAACGGGTATCTCCAGCAGACAAGGTGTCGAAAGGAGGTCGCAAGAAGAACTCGCATCTTCCAGTAACGTCGCGAGAGCGCATTCATGCAATGCGTAAGGTTGGTGCTTGCTGGCGTTGTGTGATGCAAAGAGACCCGTGCGACGCACCGGAAGGTGGCTGCTGTTCCCGTTGTGTCATGCGTGCAAGCAAAGGGCAGACATACTACTTTGACTGCGACCGCTCGAAGCTGCCTGACTTCGTGGCCGAGTTTCTACCAGAGTCGCTCTTAATCGAACACCAGAAACAAGGCATCGAGTCCTTCGTCAGCAGCGCAGTCGCACATTGGCATGTGGATAACTGCATCGATGTCTATCTGTCCAGCGGGTACGGTCCACCTCTCCGCTGGCGACTGTACGAGTTTACGCCCAAGGACAATGAGTTCCTCTTCCAGTTGCAGATGGTTCAGGACCCTCAGTCGAGGCGATCGCTGACCAGAGAGAAGTACTCCCCTCCATATGGCTTGATGCGGATTGACAGTGTCGATGACCGCAATTACGAATCATACCTGGAAGACCTACTGCATCCGCAATGGCTTGCACAGCTAGGGGAGAGTGCCTACGCAGAAGAGAACCTCGTGGACGATGGCATGTTTCAGTGCAAAGTTCTCGACTTGATGTGCACACTTCACATAAATACCCCTGACGAAACCTTGAAACCTCTGCTTGGAGATGTGCTTCGGATGATTATTATTACCTACATCATGGGCCATACGCTGTGCATTACGGAAGATACGCTTCACCCCGTGATTGGCAATATCCGTCATTCGCCTAAACCACCTGCTATGCAAAAGTTCACTTCGCCTCGCCTTGCAAATCGCCAACTCAAGTTCTTCTTCCACGTGGTACGCAACAATATTTACGAAAAAGTGTTGAAGTGGCAGCAACACACGCTCCACACGGGGGGCAAAAAGCAAACAACATGGCTGCACACTTTCTGCGTGACCCTCGGCTTTGCAATGGTTCTGGAAGAAGTGCAACGCACCATACAGTGCCAAGCTGAAGCAAAGATCTGTCGACAAGAGGCTACGCTCCAATCTGCCTACAATGAAGCTTATCAGCAGTGCGAGAATATTGACAAGCGCTTCAAACTACTCGTCGGCTTGTTTCAGTGCAAGTATCGCGACAGGACATGGGGTGATCGAGGCAGCTTCGGCAATGGAACGCCAGAGTTCCGCGAACCTGCTGCCAGTGATTTTTTGCACAACTTGAGAAATCTCGTGGAGCAGAGAGAGCACCATCTGCGCGAAAGAGAAAATGTGCGGTTCTCGTTGGAAAATCAGTGCTTGTACACGACAAGATTGACAGCGAGGTTCCTGCTGCCGTTCTTGAGCCTGCCGTCCGCTTGAGAGCTTCTCGCAAAGCGGCAGAGTTAGCTTCATGCTCGCACTGGATACGACCAGAAGCAGCGCGAGGTCCCTCGGTATAGGCTGTCTACTTCATAGGAGAATCCAGCGGTCGCTGGCGCCCGTTCAGCTATTCGCCGGACTTTCTCTTTGTCGTCTCACTCAAGACACGTATCGCAAGCATTTTTGCACGAGACGCTTGCTTGGATTCTGATTGATTTTCACTTGACCGGTGCACCCGCAGCGTCACCGGCTGCGAATTGAGGGCAGCAGGAACTTGTCGCAACAATGCTGATAGCCAGTCAGGCTGCCTTCCATCTGGCCGTACATCGCTTCCAATGCATGTATTCTTGGGTGGCCCGACCAAAAAAACAAATTCTGTCAATCACAGGATATCCAGGAAATACGACGATATATGAACTTGGAAAGCTGGAACTTGATTCTGAATTTCTTTTTTTTTTATATCTTTTTTCTTTTTGGGGATCTTCTGAAAACCGCCTCTCGGTTGCCTCCAGTGGTCCTGGAACAGAGTTGATGAATGTACGAATATGGTGTGATGTTGATTGGGGACACACCTGGAAGACCAGCGAGTTGGTTTCATAATGATTTAATTATGATGATGATGATAATGGTTGGTTGGTTGGTTGGTTGGTTGGATAGTTGATTGGTTACGACCTGAGCTTATGATGATGATGATGGATGGGGATGGGAATGAGGATGGAAAGTCATGAAATACCTAGGTTAGGTACCTAGGTAGGTTAGGTACCTTAGGTTTACAAAGTCGTTACGAAATATGAATCTCGCCATCGCTCCATGATCCATTCAAAATTCTCAAAAAAAAAAACTCTTTTGAGTGATTATTGATGAGACTTTTTGTCTGTCTCTATGTCTATCGGTCTGTCTATCGGTCTCTCTGTCTCTCTGCTTGAATCCCGTCTGAATGATGATTGCTTTTTTGGCTGCTACTAGCTATATGTTTTTAATTCCCGAACCTGCTTCCACCGGTCGGTCGGCCGGATCTAGGCTCTTTTCTGCTTTCCCACGTACCTTATGTATGTACGTATGTATGCCGTCAACGTCAGTAACATGTGGTTTCAAGACAGAGACAGGGGGTAGCGTTCAGCGTTCACTACCTGAGATGTATAATCTCATGTCCTCTTAAATGGGACAGGAAAGTCGGAATGACAATATAGCAAAGCAAAGCAAATCAAATCAGGCGTCATTCGATACACTGCAACTTGCTTTACAAAAGCTAGCTAAAGTACTAGTATCAGCGTAATGCTTGAGCGACAGGGAATCTTACACTCTCGATGATTCCTTTTGTGCCTTTGCTGTATGCTACATCTACGCCTCATACACCTACAGTCGGCGCGTGAGCCCGACCGACAGGCCAGTGCTCGCATGTGAACCAAAGCTGCTGCAGCCACTGTTGCTGTGATGGCACAACAGGCAACTGCCAACCAAGCGAGGTTGCACCTTAGGAACCATTTGCAATGGGGACCTTCGGAACGTCAATTCTCAAGATGCGGACACTCGATGGCCCATTCAACTCTCGGTCAAGTCGAACGTATTCCTGCATAGCGTCCTTGTCTCCACGGTCCAGAAGGTGGTCGAGATATCGCCGTGACAGCTCGAAGAAAGTGTCTGTGTGGTTCTTGATGAGCTTCGACGTGCTTCGAATGTGATCAAACAGGGCCTTGATGTGCTGGTGCCGTGAAGCTTCTTCTTTGAGTGAGGTTGGCTGATTGAGTTCAAAGTCAAAGTACGCAATCCAGAACTCCGGCGAATTATCACAATGTTCTTGCTGTTTCTGAAACGTCTGACGAGCCTCGTCGGCATCGCCCTTGACTTTCCAGTGAAGTCGGGCAAGCTCTGCCACAAGCGCGCCACGATCAGATCTGCCGTTCTCGCCGGTGTTGAGTTGAGTTTTCAGGACTTTGATGGCTGCATCGACCCCATATTGTCGCCTATGAGTGTTCACGAGGGACAGAATGGTCTCGAGATCACCAGGCGCGGTGGCCAAGATTGCCTCGTGAATGGCAATCGCGGTGTCTGCCCGACCAATCGACTCCTCAAAGCGGGCATAATTGAGTCGTATGCTTGGCTGAGCAATCGAAACAAAGATACAGCTAGCTCGACTGTAAATGATGCGTACCTCTTCGTTGCGCACCTCTTTGGCAATGGACATTTGAGCCAAAGTCCATCTGATATACCGGAACCAGAATTCTTCGTAATTGGCGCAGGTTACCAGGCATCGTTCGTAGAGGAATTTGGTGCGTGCATAGTCACCCTTGCCTTCCTCGAAATCAAGATACCGTCTCCAGTTGTCGAGCTGGTCATCGTCAAGCTCGGTCACATGGTAGTATGGGCGCTTGATCTCTTGTTCGTATGTCCAGCGCTGCGAGGTCTCCGCCTGGGTGGAGTTGAACAGCGATAGGAGATACGCGTCGACACGAGCACGAAGCTCGCGCTCAACCTCCGCCGGCGCAGTCTGCTTTTCATCGCCTCCCAGCTCCTGCTGAAAGCCTGCCAGAACATCTTCCGGCACAACTTGCGCAACAGGACGTTGCGCAGCCATACCGCGGAATCTCTCGAAATAACGAGCATATTGGTGCAGGGGAATGTGGATAACACGGGCTAAGATGGCAAAGATGCGGTCAGGCGAGTCGATGCGCTCCTCGAATTCCAAATACTTGTCCCAGAAAGGATGCGCCAGAAAGTCGAGTCCAACACTGTCTGCCGCGCGCTCGTAAAGCCTGCGATGACTAGGTTAGCATCTGACCGAGTGGATTCGGGTCTAGCGAGGGATCAAACAGGAAGGGGTGGGTGGCGAACATCTTGATGATAGAGCTAAGACTCCATAGTGAAAGCAAGACCAAAATTTCATCGAGTCAACGCGGTCAAGCTCCTAGTGCAGAAAGACTCGCAACGAGGCGAACGCAATAGTAGTGATGTGCGGGTCTGCATGAGTAGATGTGAGACTCGTGAAGCAACCAGCCCGTGGGTTGGAGATCTCACCACTTGATGTGCATAGGTGCACGAGGTACTACCCCAAGGCCAAGCTGGTTTCGCAAGATACGGCGCTGTGGAGTTATGGGCATAGAAGGGAAGGGGTGCCCTCCGACTTACTCTCTGATGACATCTGCATCGTGGCTGGTCTCCACCTTGAAGGCGCAGTAGTTTGCCCATAAGTCGACCGAAAGCCCCACGCTTGCGACACCGCGCTCGTAGACCTGTAGCCGGTCAGCACTTGCCCACATCTGCCCATGTCAACAGTCTCTTCAACCCACCATTTCCGCCGACTCGGTACCTGCGATAGCGAACTCGAGGTCGGCATACTTCTTCCAGTAGCCGAAAAACAGCGGGAAGCGTGCGAGGAAGCGGTCGTATGTGTCTCGGGTAGCTGCAATGGCTTGGGGGCTGGAGTTGCGGTTGAGGCCTCCTTCTTGCGCTTCTGCGGCGCGCACCAGCTTCTCCCAGTTCTCAAATTCTTGCGGTTCCGCCAGCTGATGATCAGTCAGCTTGAGTAGATGTCCTCCATATCTGTCTATGGCGCGCATACCACTTGATCGTTCAGCCTTTGGAGCTCCAAATCGTTGGCATAGCTGAAGTCTGCCATCGTGCTCGTGGACGACGTCGAGGCCCGTACAGTACTATGGCGGCGGTGCTGCCAGTTTCATCGAAGAGGCCCGAAGTGGTGTGACGAGGGAGAGTGCAAGCAAGTCTCGGCAGATGAAGGTGCAGGTGAGAGAGTCAGCGTGCTCGAGGTACTGAAGAGTATCCCCGGGCCCGGACGCTTGCTCCGTCAATTCTAAGCGGCTTGGCATTCCCGATGCCGACAGCCTCACTTACCTGACCTATGCTGCTTCCAACTTTCAAGCAACATTCGCAACTTACAAGGCTTCTCCCGGCTCTTATGCCTCACCTTCATACAATCTCACTTCGACCGGCCTACTTCTCTCAATTGACGCACCTCAATCTATGCAGAAGAGTGCCAAGCCATGCTAATATCTCCTTATGAAGCGATACTTACGCGCCATGAATATGATTGCGTGGTGTCCTCGCCAGTCCTTGGTCCAGCACGTTACTCTGCGATTATAGCGGCAATACTTTTGGTTGGATTGTCCTCTTGCCATAGAGGCAATGGCCCGTTCAGCTACATTCTAGGTACCTAGTAGTCTGCCGCACTACTGATGTCTGATGATGAGGCTAGTTCGTGCTCTGTATGGAAGTCATACAGGTATCTACCCGAGGGCGGATAGAAACTGTACAGGGCAGTGCAAGTGCCGTGAAGAGAGAGTACCTTATGTACCTAGATATGCGTGCTTGTGTACCTGATTTCAAGGCTGCTACTATATTGACCTTGAGTACCTGAGGTACTTCCTCTTGCACTTAAGGTATAGGCACCTTTGTACTCGAGCTGGCATCTGCACAATCGCAACTGCTAGTCCAATCCGCTCGGAGAGGTATCACGCAAAACTCGTCACAATTGGTCTAGAAGAGCAAAACGAGAGGCAGGCACACGTGCGAGCATTCAAAGGTTGAGGTATCAATTTAGTACCAGGGCGAGGTTGTGTATAAGGCTATAAGCAACCATTGTACGCGCACGCATTCACAACACGAGTAGTTAAGTCTTGCATACGCCTATGGACTATGTCACTAAGGTATTGGTCGCGGCACATGATTTCGCGCCGCAGCACGTAATTCAATTAAACTTTCACGTAGGCGGCGCGTGTATTGTCTCCACTCTCAATTATTGCATCCTCAGATCCATCTTCTCGAAAACCACAACCTCACATCACGACTCGGCACCTTCGACACTGTTCCGGCGCCATCGGCATAACAGTGCAGCTGAAATGTCATTCTTCAAGGCGCCAACATGGGCGAAATCGCAGTCCAAGAATGACGACGACGAGGAGGAGCAGACGGAACGGGACCTGTTCAGTCACAGTAAAAACTTCATGGCAATACAGCGAGATAGGCTGGAGCAGGAAATGCGCAGGAAAGAGCGATCTAAACAGAAAGAACAGGAGCGTGAGCAGAATCGCAAAGAGAAACTGGCGAAGAAGGAATCCAAGGCTGCTATCAAGCGTGAGAGCCCTGGCGCAGACTCGAGCGCCGAACCAGTCAAGAAGAGGCGGATCACTTCAGAAGAAAGCGTCAAGCTGCTGAAATCAGTAGGAGTCCGGCCCATCAATATTGACAGCGACGATGAGGATGAGCAAATACGATATGATGTTGCGGAAATCCTGCCTACTCGACGATCACCCAGAACACGACACACGAGAGATGCCTTAGGCCATGAAAGAGCGAGGAGCAATCTGAGCAACATATCGAAGACTGGTGGCGGGTTGGACACGGCAAGTAAGGCGGAGATAGCAAAGGTCGCCATGGAACAGCCTGCGGAGCCGGAAGAGGATGAAGATTCGGATGAGGAGATTGCGGCATTGCAGAGAATTGCGAGGGAGAAACATCAACGTAGAAAGCAGCTGGAAGAAGCGCAGAAGGCGTTGTTACCCAGCGCAGCAGGCTCCGATGCAAACCCAGGATTGCCTACAACACCTCCGCCAGACCCCGTGATATCACTCTTCATCACGTCGGAGATCCCGAACACAAAGCCGCTCTTGGTCAGAAGGAAGTTGACACAAGATTTAGGCGAGCCCCGGCGAGCATGGTGTAAGAAGAGTGGCTTCACGGACGAGTTCAGTGACAAAGTTTTCTTCACATGGTGTGGCAGGCGAATGTACGATGTTACAACTTGCCAACGGCTTGGCCTGGAAGTCGACGTCGCTGGCAATATAGTGCGAGCTGACGAGAGAGATGAAGATGGAGCTGCTCAGGTACATGTGATTGCAACTACGCAGGAGTTATTGGACCAAGAAAAGGCAGAGCAAGTGAGGCAGGCCAAGCTCGATAGTGCGGTGTATGAGCCAGATGAGCAGGCTACGGCTGATGAGGAAGAGGACACGGCGAGGAAGGAGGTCAAGATCATAGTCAAGGCGAAGGATGCAGATGCGGTGCCTGTAAAGGTCTTCTCGGTAAGCGAAAGTCGAAGAAGTTCCTCGAGTGATCCAAGCTAACATTACCACATAGACAACGAAGATCTCCAAGATCGTCAATTATGCGAAGAAGCGCATGAATATAGCGATCGATCAGCCTGCGTACCTGACATTTGATGGAGAACGCCTTGACCCGGCAGGTGAAGTGGGCGACACCGAGATTATAGACATGGACAATGTCGATCTCATTCTCGGTGACTGACATTCTAACACGACTCTGCCGATTCCCGACTCGACAGATGACCACGCGATGACCTGGCTGCCACGAATCCGATGGTTTGGACTATGCCAGCACCGACCTTCTACGTGGGATACAGCAACGAATGACACGACCTGTGGCCTTGCTCACGCATAAGATGCGTTGGACGAGGTGGCAAAGTGCCTGCATTGTGCGCGCTCATCCTTGCGCTATATGTGCGTGCCACACCGCATACCTTACTTTATATTATTGATACCCCGCTGCTAGGATACCATAATCATTTTTTGATGTGACCACAGGTCCACAGGACATTTGCAATGCACCGTCAGACATTTTGCTGCCTCTTCTTGACCTAGATAATGCCGAGGAATATCCACGCGGATGAACGCCTTCCATGTTTGCAGCCCAAGCCGAGTGTGTTTCCCTCGCGCAACAAACATGGGCGTGTGCAGTCGTCAACATCGACGACTCCGCCGCGCGGCTGCATTTGTTCGTTCACACCTTGCCTCCAGCATCCAATAGCAAATTCATGGATAGCTTGCTGCAAGGCTAGCGTTGGGCGCCCATACGTAAGGTAGCTTGCACGGATTTGCTGCCCGAACAAGCCGGCATAGTATAGCCACTGGTGCTTCATTCGCCGGAAGCACATTTGTCGCCCCAGTGCAGCGTGAGGCTGGAACAGAGCTTGGCAGCTATTTTCGAGCACTGTAATGTCTCGGCGAGCAATTGAAGTGATGTGCAGCGCCCAAGTCGCCCCAGTGGAGGGATGGGGGTTCCTCTTACAGACCGAGGCGGGGCGAGAGGCTCGGTCCCTCGTTATATCGACGCCCAAAGACGTGTATTCGACGACGTTGGCTGAGCCTTTTATAGCACGTGCGGCAGGGCGGTTCGTGACTACCTACGCCTATTACATGTACATGTACCCAATGTACTGGTCTAGAACTGGTGCAACATCAGATTTTGCCTGGTTATCGGGCTGTTGCTTTGCTACGCAGGGTAACACAACGTCCGTCATCGCAGGAGTCATACCATCCCTTCATTCTTTTCTCTTTTGCTTGGTTTGCTTGCGACACTGTCGGTACCAGGAACCTCCCTCCACCACTACAGAGCGCTGTGATACTGGTTGCATCAGTCGAATTTCTCTCACTCCCTCTCCCACACACACACACACACACACACACACACACACACACACACACACACACACCCACACACACGACAGAGCTCATCCATGTTTCCAGGCTCATACGGACGTCGGCATACTGAACTTCGGAGACTACGACGCCAACTACTGCACCACTATTAGCACAGCAGATATCGCACAGTCTGCCGGACGACCGCCTGTGAACGAGTTCGTAGATTGTCTCGCATTGCCTGCTGCTGCTGTTGCTGCTGGTGGTAGTCTCGCACGAGATTGCCACTGATTCGTTTCGAAAGTCCGGTTCAGTCTTTTGGTTGTGAAGAAGGTTGAGAGCGGTTGCAGTTTCCTGGGCAACGTCCCTAGGGCCGGCCGATCGACTTTTGTCTATCCATCCCAGATACTGAGATACCTACCACGGCTGTTTTTCTCAACGCACCCTACACACCCCAGCAGCCTTCGGCGGTCAGATAGCGTACGAGAGACTCAATTGGGTAAGTCACCTTTTTCTTCATATGCGATCGCGCTGGGCTGCAGGCTTCGTACCTACGAGCTACTGCAACTACAGCCTGCTCGCAGCGGTTTTGCCCGTCTCGCTTTATCATCCCAGTCATCTGCACTTCCACTGCACTTCGAATTTCACTCCACCTCGCTCTCGCCGATTTCTTGAGAGGGACTTGTTCTAACTGATGCTGGCAGAGCCAAGCATACCACAAACGCCGGTTCCTATTCTATCGATATACATCAACCATTGTACTGTCGCGCACATCCTGGTCGCTGTTGGACATTGGACACACACACCCCTTCCGCTCTGCTACTCATTGGCCATCTTCTCAACGCCCTATCCCGAAACGATTGCACTCCCGCTGGCTTGCATCAATCACTTGGAGTCTTGGACTGCTGGAGGGGCAACAGACGCAGCACTTTGCTACTCCCCGACATTACCTCCTATCACTAACGTGGGCAAGCATTGCTGAGACCTGTCGCTGGTTGCTGACCTCTTGTTACGGGACGTCGCATTCTGGGAGCACGTTTCATCACCGCTGCGCCAGACGTTTCGTCACTAACCAGCCGTCTACGGCGTTTACGGGCCTTGCGGCGGCAATTGACCTCTCAGCTTGCGAGAAGAGATTCGCGTCCGGGAAGATCCTGGAGTGATAGCGCCTCGTAATTACAGCAATTGAGGGTTCTGTTCATATCCCCGCACTCGTCCGCTCGCCCACTTCACCACCCACCACCACCCATCGCCGGACGCAATCTACCGACATCCACAGGACCACAGCCCAAGCGACTCACTCGACGACCTTTCCGCACCGGGGAATTCTATCACACTTGCCGGATCAGCGCAAGGCTTGAGCTGCGTGAATCTGGTACGTGCTAAGGCAACCCAGAGCTACGCGCCGCGGTAGCACTGTTTCTGGTAATACACACGCGGGAACGCCCCTCACCCTGAATACCTGCGAAAGCTACAGCAGACAACAAGTGATTGAAACGCCGAGACCCTGACCTTGTCGCTGACAGCAACAAGGCCAGGATTGAGCTTGGCTATACAGTGCTCTGATCGATGTCGCGGGCGTGAGTGTGCTCTCTCTCCTACTGATATATTGTCGTCACAAGATTTGTTTGCGCCTCTCCCGCAGCTGTTCCCAATGGCCGGCGGCGTCAAGCAGAAAGGCGCTACTAGAGCCTCCTCTCAGCGTACAAGTGTCGCAAAGGACTCCTCAGCTGACATTATTGCACGCCCTCGCAGACAAAGTACGGCATCATTCTCCGTACGGACGGGAGCCGATCGAGTAATACACGTTTTTCCAGGTGGCACCACTTCATCTGGAGGCAGCATATCGGTACGCTCGCCCATCTCGAGCGGTGGAAGCCTGAGCCCATCCAGCGAAGACAGCTGGAGCGATCTGGGCGAGGACGACATTGATCCGTCCGACTCGGCATCGCGCTCTCGCGGACCACTGACACGACGGCCTACAGTGGAGGCCCCCCGACCACCGCCTGCCCGACGGCACTCCTCTCGCAGAGTACACAGGGACCGAGAGCGGGAGGAGAGAAGTCCGCCGCGACGACAATCTTCTCGCAATCACTTGAGGCACGAAAGTCGCCACGAACGTCGACACGAACGCAGTTCGTCGCAACGCGTGCACTCTGACGGCTCGTCCAGCACAGGAACCGTGGCTGACGATTACCCACCGTATGGCCACCATGGCATGCCGCGCGCACAGTATCCTACATACAGACATGTGCCCGCTGGAGGCCATGGTGGTTATCCACCCACAATGGCGTCGGGCCCGTCAGCAGGCTACTCCGACCCGTATCATGACCCACGTCAGGCACTCGTAGCGACTCGTCACGACGCCTTCGGCTACCCAGGACAGCCAAATCCGTTTTCGCAACATACAGCACCGCCTAATCCGTTCTCGCCAATGACCAGCGAGGGCTCGAGCTATTTCGCTGGCGCACCTGAGCCACCTATCGCACATATGGGACCACCCCCAGGCCCGCAACGACACCCGTCTGAGATGGATCTGCACGGTCGCCGTCCCCGACCTCCGAGCTTCCCGGGTCCTTCGCCATACGGGCCTCCCGAGCAAGCAATCATGCCTTACCAACCACCGGGCTTTCCTGCGCCGTTTGGCATCCCATATGGCATGCCGGGCTACCCCATGTATCCACCTATGCATGCTTACCCTCCTCAACCTCCGACTCCGGCGCCGAAACCAGCCGCCTCACCGCCGCCGCCGCCCAAGGAGCCCGAGAAGAATAAGGACCTTGAGATTCTGAAAGAGATGTTGACTGAGAAGGAGAAGAAGGACACGCAGGACAAGAGTGCCAAGAGTGATGAAATTGCAATGCTCAAAGACTTGATCAAGAAGCACGAGGAAGAGCGGGCAGCACGAGAAAAAGCTTGGATTGCTGAGCGCGAAGCGGAAGCGGCGGCGAAGGCTGCCGAAATCGCCAAGGCTGAGGAAGAAAAGAAGCGCAAGGAGGAAATTGCTGATGCGAGCAAGAAGGCCAAGGAGGCCGCTGAGAAGAAGGCGGAAGAGGCTGCGAAGAAAGCGGCGGAGGAAGCGGAGAAGAAGCTGTCGGAAGCACAGAAAAAAGCTGAAGAGACAGAGAAGGCCAAAGCGGCGCTTGAAGAAGCCATAGAGAAGGCCAAGCCGACACCCGACTCGCAGAAAGCGCCGATTCGATTCAAGGACGCTGTGGGGCGCAAATTCAGCTTCCCGTGGGCCATCTGCAAGACGTGGAAGGGGATGGAGACACTGATCAAGCAGGCGTTCTTGCATGTCGACCTGATCGGCGATCACGTACACCAAGGCCACTACGATCTCACGGGACCCGACGGGGAGATTATCTTGCCGCAGATTTGGGATTCGATGATTCAGCCGGACTGGGAAGTGACCATGCACCTCTGGCCCATGGAAGAAGAGAAGAAGCCGCCCAAGGAGGACCCGATCGTGACCCTGAACGATCCCTTTGCCGGACTGAGCATGGGAGGAGCGTTTGACAACTTTCACATGCCACCGGAGCCGGTGAAGAAGGCGAAGAAAGCGAAAGATGGGAAAAAGGGCGGCAAGAAGCCGGGCAGTCCAGAAACCATGCTCATGATGCCCCCACCTCCGCCTCCAGGAGTGATGATGCCACCGCCACCGCCCGCGGGTTCCGGTGGCGGATTTGGAGATCCTTTTGCGGGGATGATGCCGCCTGGCATCACTGCAGTCGTGGACAAACCGACCAAGGAAAAGGCCAAAGCCCGGGGCAAGAGCGTGCGAGGCAAAGAGATTTCGCCCTTGGCTGCATGGTTTGCTGGAGGTAACATTAATGCGACACGGCCCAAGAAGAGGTGATGGTCTCGTGTGGGTGTGGGTGTGGATGTGTGTCGGGGCCTTGCCTGCACGTTTTTGGAGTACTTGATGGATGCTGCGCTTGAGCGATCTGGATCTCTATTTGGAAAGGACAACTATCTCACACATAATTATGGTTTGGGACATTTTTGATGGGTTTACGCGAAACGGCATGACGGGAGGGCAGAAGGTAGTGAGCGCTGAGCACTGAGCGCAGGTGCACGCTTCATGACGAGTGTGGAAGGGGTGCTTTATGATCTCACCCTTTTTTTTTTCTTTTTTCCTTTCGCGATCCTGCTTTGCGGGATCATGCGATGCTTTGGCTTTGGATTGGAGAGTCTCGTGGGGATTGCATCGTTGGCATGGGTGTCGCCGGTCGGCATGGGAACGGGGAGTTGAAAGAAGAAGAGGAAGAGGAGGAAGAAGAAGAGGAAGAAGAAGAAGAGGGAAGGGAAGATTTGGAAACCAAAAAGAGCCATTGCATTGTTTCATTTTTTGCTTCTTCGTGTTTGAAAATACCCATTTGCAGCGTTTGCGTTTTTGATGTATTGCGTTTGCTGTTGTTGATGGTGATTCTTACCTAGTAGGTACGGACGAGGAGGCGAGAAAGGACTTATATGCTGAAGATCAAGATGCTGCTCACGCAGAGTAAAAAGTCGCGGACTCTGGAAAGGGGAATGGTAGTGGTAGTGGTGGTGGTGGTGGTAGTAGTAGTCATCTGAAGCAACATTTTCAAAGCACATTCGTCTCTTGCCAGCCAGCCAGCCAGAATGTTACCGAAGTGTATTCATCCCTCTCTCTCTCTTTCTCTCTCTTGACCACTTCTGACTACTATCGATTTCGCTGAGTGATGTTGTTGGGCGGTGTAGAAGGTCAAGTCGAGAGAAGCGGGACCTATTACCCGGTAGAAATGATGATCGGCTCCAAAAACAAAATTCCTAGCGCCGTTGAGGGACCGGTCATAAGGGAATTAAAACTTAATGGCGCTTGCTGCCGTGGTTATGAACAAGTACATCCCCTCCCGCGCCTTCATTCGATACAGCATATAATGGACAAGCTGCACAAATGTGTTGTAGAAGACATAAAATATCTTCTTTTATGAAAGCCAGACTCAGGTACCAGGTACTGCAGAGCCACGCCATCATCCATACCATGCGCATGCCAAGCTGAGGTGCCTTATACATACCATGTCATGCCAAGAAGCTGACGATGATGATGATGATGACGATGAGTGAGAGTGATGTGATGAAGTGGTGATGAGTGATGAAGTGATGAATAACAGCTGAGAGATCACATGATGAAGAGAAAAAAGTGCTAGGCGGATGGACGGTACGGCCCAATGCCGCCGCCGTTTTGCCGTTCACAATGCCCAAAAGAATCAAGATCGATTTGTGCTAACCTATAGAGACCTTAGTAACCTTACCTTATCCAATGTCAGCCAAGCGTCCGCATAAGTCCGACCAGCGAAATGTGAAAAACGGACGGTGCCGGGGAGAGTTTGAGGTGGGAAGACAATTACATCATTCCTTCTCGGCCTGTCTGCTTCTGCGACGGTAATTTGCCATGATGCACACGAATCGACGAAGCCACTAACACATCCACTAACATTAACAGGACGACCACTCTCCCCGTCTGTCTGCGATGATGGCCGACCACCACCTCTACTCTTCTTCTTCTTCTTCTTCTTCTTTCCCTCTACTTGTATACCACCACCACCACCTCCTCCTCCCACCACCGCCCACATCACCACCGCCCTACTCCTCCGCCGGCGCTGATTAGTCCCGCGACTCAGACCTCGACCCACGCGTCGGGTGGTATGCTGGGTTGCTAGGCCGATCCGACCACGACGGCAACGAGAACCACCACAATAAACAACCACAACAAACAACCGCAACAGCAACCACGAACAGGCGCAGTAGTGGGACTTTGGGATCTGCAGAGAAAAAAAGACTTTGCGCTCGTCTGTCATTATGTTTGGACTCTCATATTGGTTCCTGCCGCTCTTTGCAGGCTGTGTATGGCTAGGTGGGTGAACACACAAAAAAAAAAAAAAAAAAACAACCACCCATGCATGGGTGCGACGGGCGCGCGCCGCTGACATGGCTGCGTACAGGCACACTTCTGGCCATGTTGGGTCGATGGGCTGCGATCGGCAGTCCGGTGTATCCGGCCTCCTTCAACGTGGGGCAAACCTATCCCTACATATCTGACATTGGCGCAACATCCTGGGGCAAACCACTGTTCATTGCCGGTAGTGCGGTATCCGTCGTGGTCTTCGACGTGGCCTTTGTCAGCGAGCGATGGCTACGACATCGAGGTCGTCTCACCAAGAATTACAGCACATCCGAGAAGATCCTGAGCGTACTGGCCATTCTCGCCGCCATTGTCGGAGCGTGTGGTCTCATCTTCCTTACCATCTTCGACACGGTGCGATACCCGCATGTGCACACCTCCATGTTGGTCGTCTTCATTGCCGGCTACATCGTCTCGGCCATTTTTATCTGTGCCGAATATCAGCGTCTGGGCATTCATTACCGCGATCAGCGCATTCTGGCAGCATCCTTCTGGGTCAAGCTCGCTTTCATCTTTATTGAAATCGCATTAGTCATTGGATTCGGAGTCATGTCCTACCAGGATCACTACAACCGCGCCGCAGTCCTCGAGTGGATTATCAGCTTGTTCTATATTTTCTACCAGTGGAGTTTTGTCATCGACTTCCTGCCCGCCACCAGGACGAAGAACAAGGGCGATCGCTACCTCCCGCCCGTCAAGAGAGGAGACGATGAGATGGCCATGAACACCGAGGCCGGAGGCAATATGATGGGCGGGCCTGTGTATACCAGTGGCGGCACTAATGGAACTGCTGCTGCCCCTGCATACGAAAATGCACAGTATGGAGGAGAGCCGAATGGCGGGCGATACTACCCTCCGACGTCCACCGCGCCTTCGAGCACCAACTTTTAGACAAAAAAAGTCGCGGAATTGTTGTATATTCTTTTTTAACTCACGATGGCATTGTACAGCAGCGGGGCACAGGGGGCGCATCGGGGTGATTACAGGACGATGGCTGGGGGAATAATGAATTAACACCTAGAATTTGTATGTTGGATGCGAGCGATGGTAATGATAGAAGGTTTTGAGAAAGACCAAAACATGAATAGTTTTAAATCAATATTCATGTACTCTGCATTTCGTGTATGCATGCATGCATGCTACCTATGATTTGATAAGTTTCTCCTCCTTCTCCTTCTCCTTCTCCTTTCTACTATAGAGATCATATCTCACTTCTCCCAGGCAATTACAGCTACAGATACATGTACCTACCTACCTTAGCAAGCAATAAATCCACCATCCACCCTATTGTCCTTCCGAATATAAGAAAGATAGGGATAGGGATAGGGATAAGGCAAGGGTCGGGTCAGTTCAAGTTTCGTCAAAATCCTTTTTTTTTTTCTTCTTTTAAGGAGAATTTCACCTGACTTTTGTAGGTAAGGTACGTAGGAAGTACATGTAACCCGCCTGCCTAGCCTGCCTACTGTACCTGGCCTGCCTACTGTACCTGGCCTGACCTGCCTGGCTGCCTGCCTGACCTGGCTCAATTTTTTCGTTTTCCTTACTAGGGTAAGTAGGGAAAGTAGGGAGGGAAAGTAAGGTAAGGTAAGGTACTTAGGAGGTACTTAGGAGGTACTTTATACCTGAGGTGCTGTAGGTGCTGTAGATACTGTAGCTACTATAGGTACTGTAGGTATAATATTAGTAAGTGCTTCGGAATATTAAAGTCGGGCTCCTAGCCTCTAGGTACTTTTCCAATTTGCCGGGTCGGTAATATATTTCAGGTACATAGGTCTAAGTATAGCAGGTAAGGTAGGTACTAGTTGAGGTTAGATAGACAGGTACTGTATTTATTTACTTGGAGGGAATGTGTTGTTGTTGTTGTTGTTGTTGTTGTTGTTGTTGTTGTTGTTGTTGTTGTTGTTGTTGTTGTAGATTGTGCTAAGAAAAGGCAAGTAGAGTAGAGTAGGTAGAGCAGAGATTGATTATAGGGAGGTTATAGTAGGTATCATCCATACTAAGAAGAACAAGTCGACTAAATCGTGTTGATATTTCTTCATAGAATGATATCGCGATCCCCCTACTAAGTTAATTACTACTACCACTACCACTCAAAAGGTACTCCACACCCACCTCATCGCCTCCTCCTCCTCCTCCTCCCTACTCTCTACTTAAATGCTCACACGAGGAGCAAAAGGAGCAGGAGTAACAGGAGTCGTCATAGTCCCACAAGAAGTAACAGTAGTCACACTCTCCGTCGGACACGCACACAACCCAGCCCCGCCAGCCTCCACCATTTTCGTCTCCAAAGCCGCACATCCTCCACAATTCGTCCACGCCGTGCTGGTCGTCGCATACACATGTCCACAATCTCCACACGCCGGCTTCGTTTTCGTAATGGTTGACGTGCAATTACCCGTGGTGGTGGCGGTGGTCGTCATCATGGTGGTGAAACCTCCCGTCGCTGTGGCTGTGACGCTGGGAAAACACAACGTCTCCGTTGTTGTCATTGTGGCGACTAGAGCGGGTGGAGAGGCACAGCGACAGGCGGGGAAATTGGAGAATGTTTCGACGGCGCAGCCGCCGCAGTCGGTGTAGATGGTTGTTGTTTGGGCGGCGATGTCGTCGCAGCAGGGATAGGAGGTTGGAGTGAGGGTTTTGGTGCAGGCGGGTGGGGAAGAGGAGGATGATAGTGCTGCTACTGGTGGTGGTGGTGGGTGGGGGTAGCCTAACTGGCCTCCTCCTCTTCCTCCTTTTCCTCCTTTTCCTCCTGCTAGATTGGAGGCTGTGGACAATGCGAGGAGGGATGCGAGGAGGGCGAGGAAGTGCATGGTTGCGGTTTTTTGTTTTCTGGTGGGGAAGGTTGTTGTTGTTGTTTGTAGTTGTTGTTGTTGAGTATGATCTAGGCGGAGTCTTGTGTTCTTCGGTTTGCTGTACTTCGATGGTCCCTTCCTCTTCTTCTTCTTCTTCTTCTTCTTCTTCTTTCTGTCTGTCTGTGCTTCAAGACTGTAACGCAGGGCTTTCTGTTGTTGGAGAAAAAGGCTTGGCTGTCTGACCACTGATGATCCCTTGCGGAATGCAATATACAAGTCTGTAAAAGTGCAGAATGAGCAACTGGCAAGAGGCCTTCAGGTCCCTCAGGGGGCATTCGGTTCAATTTATATAGCGTAGGTAGCTATGTGCACCACGCAGACCTCCTTAACGGCTATTTCGAATCTACTATAGTAAGTCGCAGATGGTATATGATCGCGACTCGCGAGAATCCTTCCATGCGGGTGTGGCCCGCTTCCGACTCCAGGAATGTTTCAAGCCTCGCGATCCGCGCTGCAAGGCTCGATCACAAGCGCAGCACACCAGAGGTGCAGCAGTCGAATGCTCGGCGAGAATGAACCAAGTCTTTCTGGGGGGCATTTTTCAGTCGTCTATTCTGCTCAGCATGACATCGGTCATATCCGCTAATTTCTTGGCGGTCAGCTGCGATACTCTTTTGCAATCCTTTTAAGACGCCATGGCCTTTTTCCTGTGCACATGTCGACATATCTTGGCCTCATCTCGTCTGCCAGCAGTCATGACTACATGGCATATTATGGGAGGATTGTCATAGCTGTATGTGGACGGTTGTGGCCACCACATCTGAGGCAGTGGCCATGCGAGACCCATTCTTGTACGCTAAATTCCATGACGGGCTCCAGCTAGTAACCGGCAACCAGGAACAGGAAGCAGACAAACGCGGCCTCGTTGTAATTTCTGCAATTTTGTAGCCACAATAGGAAGGTGAAGTGGAATATCCTGGAGTGCAGCCACATGTGCATGCCTTGGCGGGTGTAATTTCTTCTCTTTTTCTTTTTCTTTTTTCTTTTCCCCTTCTTTCATATGCAGTAGCCCTTCTTTCTCCCGGATTCACCGAGAATGCACTCCTGTGGGGATGATTTGCATAGAGCCGAACATAGCGAGATTTCCCGTGAGTCTTGGCGAGCTTCTTGGTATATGTGTATAGTAGATGAGTGCAGGTTAGGTTAAGAGTCTAAGACGTGAGGAGTTACAAGTTGTCAGTAGTTGCAGTAGTGTCTGTACCTTAGGAGGTAGTGTATGTTGGCAAGTTTTGGTTTTCTCTCCCTCAGGAGTCAGGACCCAGGTAGGTATAATTATCAGATGACTAATCGGTCAGGGGCTCAGCCCCCTGCGGCAGATCGCCGGCTCCGCGTTGTTTGTATGTGTTTCATGTTCACCGGACAACCACCGCGCCATCTCTCTTCACTTGGGGTCAAAGTACATAAGTGAAGTACTCCACCTCCATATATGTTTGTTTAGAAACAAATTGGTTTGCTATAGGGGCCTCATGACTTCACCAACGGTATGTGCGTGGGATAGGACCAGGATGTACATATATACGTATACGGTATACATGACAGCTTATCTACATCCTGGCTGCCGGCCAGCAAACTTCAGCGTACCACAACACTTGGAGGAGGAGGGGGGGATTAATTTTGCTGCTGTCATGGGCCACCTACGGCCATCTCCTACCACTGACACTGCAGGTGCCAATTGCGGCAGTAATACCTACGAGGGATTGATACATAGAGATCCAAATCATCAAGACTAAGCACATCAAGACATCATTCTCATCCCTATCCATGCCTCCTCCCCGAGTGGCCGTCATAGGGGCTGGACCATGCGGCCTCGTAGCACTGAAGACCCTGAAGGAAGATGGCTTCGATGTCATTCTGTACGAACGGCGCGATTATGTGGGCGGTCTATGGAAATACTCGACCGATGACTCCATCTCCGTGGCGGACAATACCGAGTTCAACAGCTCCAAATTCCGCTCTGCGCTGAGCGATTTCCCGATGCCTGACGATATGGCAGACTTTCCCACCGCAAAACAGCTCTATAAGTACTTTTGCGACTATTGCACGCACTTTGGCCTGTGGGAGCATATCAAGCTCGGCCATGAAGTCAAGAAAATGCAGTTTCTGCGCGCCACTGACAGCAAGACGAGTGGTCAGTGTCTTGTCTCTCCATCCTTTTTCTCGAGCTCGTCTGGGCTAACATAGATGCATACGATGGTAAAGATCTCAATCTGATTCCTGTTCGTGCCAAGCAATGGGTGCTTTCGATTTCAACAGGAGGCCTAGACTACAAAGTGTCGTTTGAAAAAGTCGCTGTGGCTACTGGTCCATGGACGAGACCACGACCACTCAAGTTTCCCGGTCTGGATCAATTCAAAGGCCGTATTGTCCATTCCATGCACTTCCACGATCCTGCAAGCTACACTGGCAACGTCCTCGTCGTCGGCATGTCTGCATCCGCCCAAGATATCGTTTCAGCTCTTCCTGGCCACGCTTCCAAGGTATACCTGTCTCACAAGAGTGGAGTCGTCTTGATACCGCGTTATACTCGCGATGGTTCTACGTGGGATCATGGTCCCACACTGAACCAAACGGTCTGGCTTGCTTGGCTCTTCACATGGCTACCGAAGCGATATTACGAATACCTTGACGGCAGACTCCAACGCCTATCCAAATGGGCATATCCGAACATCCCTCCATCGTGGAACTTGAGTCCGCCACCCTCGTCGGCCGTCGCACCACCACTCGTCGCTGCACAACTATGGCCACATTTGCAATCGGGATTCTGCGAGCTGGTCCCAGAGGTCGCTGGAGTATGCGGTGATACTGTCAAACTGTCATCAGGAGGCATGCACGGCACATATCGAGGTATTCTCCACAGTACAATCAGAAAGAAGCCATCTATATATCCTACTTCAAAAAAAAGAAAAAAAAAAGAGATATGCTGACACATCACACCTCCCACTTTTTTAGAAACGCTACACGAAATCGACCACATCATCAACTGCACCGGCTACGACCCCGACGTACCCATCATCTTCGACCCCCCAGACGCCCATCCCTACCCTCCCTCCCACAACAGCTTCAAACCCAAATTCTACCACAACACCATCCCCATGCACCCCGACCCCGAACTCCGCACCTCCCTCGCCCTGCTCGGGCACGGCACAATTTTCCACTCAGGTTTCGTGCGCTGGGAAATTTCCAGCTGGGCCATTTCCCAACTCTGGCAAGGCAATTCTGCGATGCCGAGTTTACGCGAAATGGAAGAGTGGCATGCGCGACGGGTGGTGTGGAGAGATGGGGTGATGAGGGAATATGGAAGGAAATCGACGTTTTTTGATATGTATTTGCCGTTTACGGATCATGTGGATTGGTTGGATCGGACTGCGGGGTGTGGATTGAGAGAACATTTTGGGATTTGGGAGAGGTGGATTAATATTTGTGAGTGTCTCGTCTTTTGTCTCTTCCCCCTTTTTCTCTTCTTCTTTCTTCTTCCCCTTTTCCCCCAAAAAGCAAACCCCTAAATCTCTCTTTCTCCCTCTCTCCCTCCTCTTTCTAACCTTCCCACTTTCTCCCCCACAGCCGCCTGGAAATTCTGGTACCAAGACCGTAAATTCTACAACACATGTTGTCACGGATTGACATCTCCTGCAATTTTCAAACTATTCGACATGGGAAAAAGGAAGCCTTGGAAAGATGCCAAGAGACAGATTCTGTTGGATAATTCTTTGGCGGAAGAAGCGGCTGCGGAGAGAAGAAGGAGATTGGGGAAGAAGGAGATGCAGACGCAGACGCAGAAGCAGAAGCAGCAGGGGCCGACGGCGGCGAATGGTGGTGATGGTGATGGTGGTGGTGGTGATGGATGTGTGGTGGAGGGTATGAAAATGGGGAGTTGACTTTCTTTTTCTTTTTCTTCTCATGATATGATTTTTGACTAGTTCATGAGCCGTGGCGTGGATGGTCGTTCGTATATAAGTAATATTTATCTTTCTCTCTCCTTTTACCTACCTGCTATCTCAACGACACTACCTACCTACCTACCTACTACTTCGAGCTCTTTTTCTTCCTTTTTTCTTTCTTTCCAGATAGATTATTGCTCTTATTGAGAAAGAAAAGGGGGGACTACCATCCAGCAGCAGCAAGCAGCGCCTTAATCAACGTGAACTCTCAAGATATACCAATATTATCCCATATCGTCATCTCCACAAGTTCACTCCTCCTCTTCCTCGCAACATCACCACCATTCGCCAGTGATGATCCATCACCATCACCATCACCATCACCATCATCATCATCAACCACAAAAATCCTCATCCCCAAAGTCTCCTCAGCAGCATACAATCTCGTAGTAATCGCCGTCCGACCATTAACAAACACCTCCAACACAGAATTATCTCTCCACGCTCGAATCTGCAACAGCTCTTGCTCTTCCTCGCCCGAGTGCGGGTCGCGAGTAGTAAAGAGGGTATGTGGAGCTCGCTCAGGCTCGCTATTAATGAGATGTGAAGAGTTTGCAAAGGGAAATTCAGGGCGGGTGATGGTGAAAGTTTCGGTGCGTGGGTGGAAGGATAAAGTGGTGGATTGCGAGAAATCGGCCTTGTGGGCGATGCTGAGGTGGATGGATTGGGTGGTTGGGGAGAGTTTGAAGAGGCAGAGGATTTCCCAGTGCGTGGTCGTGAGGGGGTTGGGGTCGAGAGTGAGGGCGGATTGTGTGTTGCTACTGTCGAGGACTCGGTTTTGGAGACGTGTGTGGCGTACCTGAGGACTGTTACGAAGGGCTTCGATTAGAGGTTGATATGGTTGACTCGCAAGGGTGCGGATGGTGTATGTTCCATGGCGATCTGGCTGCCTCTCAATGCTTGTGATGTCGGATAAGTCCGAGACAGATGCTCGAGCGACGTGGTGTATCGTCTGCATGGTGAGCTCACGCGGCATAGAAAGAAGGCCACTCCATCCCTGCGCGTGTCGCAAGTCATCGCAGAGATCGTCCTCTGTGATCCAGCCCCATGCGATTCGCTTTCGGGATGGTGGATCATAGAACGAGTTGACGGCATAGAGACATCCGTGATCGAGGTGTCCGCTGTAGTTGTACTTGAACTCGACCGGACCAGAGGAAGCAGTCTGCTGCTGTGGGCAATGCAGACTACCCGCCATCCAGAGCTGACCACGAGGAGGACGAGACGGAGCAAGTGAGCCTGCTGTGGGATGAGGCGATGGGCCAGGCAAGCAACCTTCTGTGCCCATGATGATCAAGTTCCGCTCAACGCTGTCCTCTCCTTCGTCACGCAAGGTGATGAAATTGGTGACCTCCCAGTTCTTGCCCATATCGCCGGACCAACGAGAAGGGCAGAAATTGAGACCAACATTGGCCAAAGGCCCCAGATACTGCCACTGGGTCAAGTCGTGCGCATGGATGGCATACAGAAACGTTGTCGGTGTCACATCTCGAATCCCGCCCGAAATGACACCAAACAGCGTATCTGCTTCATTCATACGTAGGAGCTTTGCCATACACGGCCATGCAGCAACAAATGGATCTCTCCAACCCGTGACATCAATGTCGTCCGGCTCACCCGGCAAGATCGGGTTGGCCGGGATCTTCTGCCACGAGCGACCGCTGTCGAAGGACTTGGCCAGGGCCAGCGACTCCGAACCTCGAACATGTTTCCGTGTATAGTGGATGGGCAACAGGCTGACCGAGGTGTAGGCGTAGGTGAGCGAGTCGTCCCGAGCATTGATCAAGCAGCCGGTAAAAACGCCTTGGTGGTCATAGGGTTGATCTGGCGACAGCGAGGGCATTTCTTGATGTGTCCAATGGATCAAGTCGGGCGAAGTGGCAGAGCCCCAGGCCATGTTTCCCCAATCTACGCCTTTGGGATTCTGCTGGTACGAAAGATGGTATAGGCCGGTCTTGGGATCATAGCCTGGCCCACACGGATCGTTCATCCATCCTCTCGCCGATATAAAGTGGTAGGAAGGTCGCCATCGGCGGAACTGTTCTGGTCTGCTGGACGCATCTTGCTCCGTTGCAGACGTTGTTCTTGTCATCAGCGTAACTTGGAGAGTGGTGCTTGAGTCCAATAATAAGGAGGATTGGCGAGAAAGAGATGGATGGATGCTCAGAGGTCAGCAGTGGTGTGTGTTGGCAGTGTTGCCATCGATGTCGACCAGACCCATGTGCTACCTCCTATGTTGTTATCCGAGCCGCCCCTTTCCTTGCAATTACTGCCGGGAGGGGGTGGGTGTGTGTGCATGGTTCATGTTGTAACTTGTCGAGAGCAAAGAGGCATATTAGGGTCTGGAATACAGGGAATCATTAATGTACGGTATAGACGTCAGTCAAAGTCACACGACAGTCTCGGCGATACTCTCCCTCTACGTCTTACTCCGACCTCCGAGATGACCACATACATATACTAGGAGCCTAGGAGGGACTACACTTACGGAACTCTATTGCCCCCACCCCTTTGTTGTGATCTCCGAAGCCGAGGCCTAGGCCAAGGGATAAGAGATATATCAAACCTTCCTTGCCTAAATTACAATATGACTACCTCTTAGTCTTGCTGCGAGCTTCAGCCCTTCGAGCTGAATCTTCGTGGCAATAAACCGGCCACTTACTCCGGTTGACTATTTGGACGATAGATGAAACTCAACTGACCAAATCGACGTCGCAGAGGCTTCGAGCAAAGACCTCCTGCCTTACCTGATATCATCTGCCATATTTCTTCCAGTCACACTAAGAGATTCTCACCTCGATTACTATTGGCTATAAGAGAGAGGAAGCGGACGTCTACAGGATTAGAATGAAAATATTCTCCGAGAATCCAATTGCATTTATCACTAGGGAATCGTTATCGGTCCAAAGCCAGGAACTCGAGACGCCGAGGGAGGGATGTTCCACGCGAGGGAAAGTATAACATCTGTTGGTAGAACTCCTCAGTCCCTATAAGGAATTCGAGGAACGTGAGATCTCTATGGCACCAACGGCGATGGTGTTAGTGCGCATTATAGTAGGGAAGGTGGCCAATGCCACACGGCTGAATTCGACACTGAGATCCACTCCTATCAAAGGAGGACAGCCGGGTTGGAACTGTGTCGTGTGGGTGAAGGATGCATTGGAAGCGCTGGAAAAGAATGGAAGAGCCTTGGGAACCTCAAACACCGACTGGAGTACCATCCGTGACACAGCGATGCACTATGTCGAGGGGAAGAAAGCGCAGCATCGATTTGACGGCAAGGGCAACTTTGATTTGTCAAAGGTAGCGACTTGGGACATGCTCGAAAGAAAGGAGTTGGTTCCGTAATCTGCAATTCGATCGAATGGAGAGACACTTGTTCAGAAGAGGCCAAAATACTTTCGTCGAATCGTATCCATCTTCCGAGCATAAGGCAAAGGAGCTAGGAACTTGTCTACCTCCTCCTGCCAGAAGCTGTTCTGAGGATTGACATTCCAGGCAGTAACGTATTCCCAGTAGGATGGAAGCCAGCCCGCAGTCTCCCAGTCGATAATCGCAACTATGCTGTCCTCCTTGCAGAGTATGTTCAGGCTACTTAGATCGCCATGTGTAAAGACGGGCTGAAGCCACGGTTGGTTGTAAAACGAGGCTAGCTCTCGAAGTTCCGGGAAGGCTTCGGTTGAGGTCATATCCAGGTTTTGGCCATCTAATAATGCGGAATGAAAGTCCGAAATCGAGGCGAATGGTCCCCAGTAGAAGTGTGTTGGAAGGCGACTGTCGAAGATTGGCCCCCGATCAATATTCGCTACACCGACACCGTCCGGGGACTCTAATTTCCGTAGCTGCTCAACCATGGTTTTCAGCTGTAAGAGAATTCTCAGTCTCGATTCCTCCGTGCGACGATGCCAATTGTGGGCGAGGGTAGCTCCGTCAATCCTTTGCATAACAATGTACACATGACCTTTGTATGTGAAAGCTGAGTAAACCTTTGGAAGCGGGATAGTGGTGTTCTGTCTGACGAATTCCATCGCATGTGCTTCGGCGAGACTCGTCCATGGCGTCGACTTAATGCATAGCCGTGACGATAGAAACAAGACACCTCCGGAACACCGAGAGCGATCACTGCTCATAATCTTGAAGAGAGTAGCAACAAAAGGACGGATCCAGGCCCAGGTGAGGCAACGCTCCATGTTTGTGGTCTGCTCTGTAGAGTCTTGTGGGTGTGGGATGCAGCATCGTGATCGCGCGGCAGTGGCTGTCTTCACCTCTTCACCTCTTCACCTGCGGTTGTCAACAAGCAGAGAGGCAGGCTTTGCTAGCAATCTCGGAAACGTACCAGATAGGACCGTACCTCCTAGGTACATGTACATGTAGTCGAGAGCTTTAAGAGCACGTGCTCTCGTGTCTCGAGGGAGAGGCATCAGCGCTTGTCCTGACTAGGCAAGAGTCAAGGGACAGGACGATCTCAAAGGACGATTCGGAATGACTAAGCATATGTAGTAGGCATCCGGATGACTAAGCACGTGTAAGTTATAGCGTAGCGTATAAGTTATAGCTCGGCGCGGAGTAAGGTAGTTCCGGCTAACCTTACTTACTATACAGACTTTTCCTATAATACCTACGATACCGATAACACTAAATATCTTTACTTAGACGTAACGATATATATATATATACTACTCCTAGTAATACGATACCGCTATCCTCGGAATCTTAATATTAAAACTATAGGTACTTTCTTAGTCTTTCTAAATTTATAGAAAACATTGATTTTAAGCGTAAGTACCTATCGATAACCTATATTAAACTCGATAACGACAATAGATATAGCTATCTAGCCTTTACTAAACTCGCTTAGAATTAGCCTACCGAACTCCTCTAAGTATTACTATAACTATAATATATCCTACGGGCCTGCCCGTTAGTAGTACGGATTCTACGGGCAGCGGAATATATACTAATCTCAATTTTCGCGCGTATACAGCGGCGTAACAGCGCGCGCATGTCTGTCTCTATCTCTGTCTCTACCTCTATCTCTATCTCTATCTCCTCGTTTATCTCCTCGTCTATCTCCTCGTCTATCTCCTCGTCTTCGTCCTCGTACTCGTCCTTGTCCTTCTCTTCTCTTTAGTTCTTCTCTTCCCTTTGGTTCTTCTAGTTCTTCTCTTCTCTTTGCTTCTTCTCTTCTCTTTGCTTCTTCTCTTCTCTTTGCTTCTTCTCTTCTCTTTGCTTCTTCTCTTCTCTTTGCTTCTTCTCTTCTTTGTATTCTTCTCTACTAAATTTTAGATAGAGTAGCCTATAGGGACAGAGAGGTAGGTAGGGTAGGCAGGCAGTTTTTTAAGGTAGTAACGCTTTAGGCTTAGTAGATTTAGCGTACCCTACTCTAAAAGATCGCGCTAATCAGAGCGTACGCTTTCTAGAATTTCTAGCTATATATAGCTATATATATACATTTTTTGCTAATTGATTAGTACTCTACTCCCCCTTATACCTAACCTACGCTATGCTTTAGAAGGTTTAGAGGTCGTTCCGTACTAATAACTAAGTACTAATATCTTCTTCTTAGGTAGGCGTCTTCTTCTCGGGCGGGTATCTTCTTTAGGCGGGCGTCGTAGGTAGGCGGGCGTCGTAGGTAGGCGGGCGTTATAGGTAGGCGGGTATCGTAGGCAGGCGTCGTCTTCTCGAGTAGGCGTCTTCTTCTCGAGCGGGTATCTTCTTCTTAGATAGGCGTCTTCTTCTTAGGCGGGCGTCTTCTTCTTAGATAGACGTTATAGGTAGGCGGGCGTCGTAGGTAGGCGGGCGTCGTAGGTAGGCGTCTTCTTCTCGGATAGGCGTCTTCTTCTCGGGTAGGCGTCTTCTTCTTAAGCGGGCGTCTTCTTCTCGGACGGACGTCTTCTTCTCGGACGGATATCTTCTTTTCGGGCAGGCGTCTTCTTCTTAGGCGGGCGTCTTCTTCTTAGGTAGGCGTCTTCTTCCTAGGCTTCCTTCTCCTCCTTCTCCTTCTCCTCCTTCTCCTCCTCCTCCTCCTCCTCCTCCTCTTCCTTCTTAGATAGGTATCTTCTTCTCGGATAGGCGTCTTCTTCTTAGGCAGGCGTCTTCTTCTCGGGTAGGCGTCTTCTTCTCGGGCGTCTTCTCGGGTACGCGTCTTCTTCTTAGGTAGGCGTCTTCTCGGGCGTCTTCTTCTCGGATAGATATCTTCTTCTTAGGCGTCTTCTTCTCGGCTAGGCGTCTTCTTTAGGTAGGCGTCTTCTTTAGGCAGGTAATATTTAGCCGGAGCTAACGTTGATCCGCGCCGAGGCTTAGTTATCCGGATACCTACTACTTAGTTATTCCGAATCGTCCTTTAAGATCGTCCTATCCCTTAACTCTTACCTAACTAGGATGCTAAGATACGCCTAATACGTCTCTACGACAATACAACCTCGAAGGCTACTATAAAGCATATTTATAGTAGCTAGTATATTTAGGTTAAAAGAGGTAGGTTTCTTAAATATATTAATATACAGTCGATACAAGCAAAGTATATAGTACGTTTATATCCCTACAACCCTATATAGATATTAATTATATTAACTAGAACTTTCTAGGTATATTAACTTATATTAACGAAAGGAGGGTTAGCTAGCTAGTATCTTGCCTAAGATTTATTATCTTAAAAAGAGAGCTACTAGGCTAGATAAAGCTTAGTACTAGTATAAGCTATAGGGTCTAGAGAGTTATAGATTTTAATTGTTTTCTAAGGGATTATAAGTTAATCTTAATTAAGCTAAATTAATAATATGTCCTATAGGCCTGCCCGTTAGTAGTATAGAATATATACTAATCTTAATTTCGTACATATATAGTATATATATATCTCTCTATCTCTATCTCTATCTCCTTGTCTATCTCCTTATTCTTATCCTTCTCTTCTCTTTTTAGTTCTTCTCTTCTCTTTAGTTTCCTCTTTTCTTTAGTTCTTCTCTTCTCTTCTCTTTAGTTCTTCTCTTTTCCTTGTTCTTCTCTTCTAAATCTTAGGTAAGGTAGCCTATAGAGACAGATACGTAGATATAATAGCTAGGCCCTATAGCCTAGAAGGCAGTTAGGTATTTAAGCCTAGAGTACGCTTATAAATAGAGAGAGAATATATATTCCTACTCTTCTCCTAAGTAATTCGAGTAGTACTTTTCTAATAGATACTTTAGCCTATATATCTTATCCTTTTATAAGAAGGAGGAAGAGGCCTACCTTCTAGGAAGAAGAGATAGAGAGAAGAGACAAGAGATAAGAGACATACGTAGACGTAGGCGCGTATATATATAGAGGTAGGTATATAGAAAATTGACCGATACTATACTACTAACAGGCAGGCCTATAGGACATATTATCTGTTACTTAGATAGTATTGACATATCTCTTGACTATCGGCTTGACTCGGCCTTAGCCTTATCCTGTCTAGGGTTTACAATAGGAATCAGGAGTAGCGGGGGCGGGCCGTCGTAGGAGGTAAGCTGCTTCGAGAACACATCCAATAGAACGTCTGACTTTTCAACACGACATTTGGCCAGATAGTAGTAGTAACGTGACGCGGGTGTTCCAGGTTATAAATACTGACGATGCTTGCTGCGAGAACTGGAATCTTCCCTCAACTTCCAGTGTCTGTCGTGCTTTTCTCAGAATCATTCCCGTCCCGTCATACCATCAAGAGGTCAATTCTTCTTTTAAACAATGCTACTTCATCTTCCCTCCGAGATTCTGAGACATACGCTCGACATCTTACTCTACCAGACAGGAATCGAACGCCTTATCCAACTCAGATCTGTCTCCCGTCAGTATTTTCTGCCCCCGCCTGTGAGCATCCACTTGAAGTTCTGAACCTGACAATGAAAGGCTTAATCAATGTGCATACCCTGGATGTTATCTACAGCTTGCCAACCTTCGACGGCAAGGAATCCAAGCATGTGCATTGTCCGACATCTCTCACGTGGAATGAGAAGATGAACAAGCACTTTGTTGCCGGTTTGATCCGCGCGAAGCTGAATGCTTGCCAGAAACTCCGGCCGTTGACGCAAGAGATTAAAAGTACTGTGCAATTGATTCAATTGCTCTTGGGAGAGGCCGAAGCGACCGACTATCTCGACGCGCTTGTGCATTTGGCCGTGAACAATCTATGCCTGCCTCAGATCATCAAGCGGCTTGCTCCGGTCGAAGCAAGCTCGACTATCACGTTTTCAAGAGCCACACTCCTAACTAATGGCCTCGTCGCTGCTCTGTTCTTGAAGCGGCACTCTCATGTCGAAGCTCTACTTCAACTTTGCGCGCAAGCACACTCGCAAACGCACTCCTTCGGGGAGCCTTTATATGTCGCAGCACTGTATGCCGATCCCCGGACATTCTGTGACCTCATCGATGCAACCATGGCGACACGGCAACAGACTACACGCCAGCTGCTGGAGTCTCGTCTTTTTGTGGCGCTAGAAAGGGCAGCTTCTGCTGGTCGAGCCCTAATATTTAACCACGACCTCCACGAATCCCTTGGACGGATATGCCATCATTATCCTCGACGAGTCTACTATGAATCTGCCCTGAAAGGTGCTATGCTAGCCTCTTGTGCAGAGGTTGGAGAGGCTCTCCTGAATTTGCTAAGAATCGAAGGGGACGGCAGATTACTATCGGACAACAAGTCCTTCTGGATAGAAATCTTACGGCTGTCTTGCTCGGGGAATTCTCGTGACATCGCACAACAAGTCCTGGATGACACTGGAATCCAAGGCTGGAGCGGTAGCTTAGATCTACCACTGGAGGATGCGAGCCGGTTGGGCAACTTTGAACTAGTGACATTACTGATGTCCCGCCATTCCAAGCTTAACCTTCGATCAGTCAACGGCGCAGTATTCTGGGCAGCTCGATGCGCACACTACGAAATCCTTGAAATCCTAGTAGAGTCAAGTTCTGAGGACAACGTCTTGACTATTGCCGACGCTCTATGCGGTGCTTCGATATCTGGCAGTCAAGCCATGTCACGAGTTCTTGACGCTGTTCCAGCCTGGCGATGGGCTAATGCACGCAGCTTCACGGATTGTACTTTCGCCCAAGTCATTGACAAGATCTTGGAGAGCAAATTCTTTGTATCCTCCGCTTCAACGCATGAAATAACACCTAAAAGCGCCGGCAAAACCTCGTTAACTATAGAAGAAGGAGAACCACCAGATGCTCCACATCGTTACAGTGCCATTTTCGACAATCTTATATCGCCGGAAGAAATCACACTCCGCGGAGCATGTGCAAGAGGCGATTTCTTCTCGATTCAGCAGACTCTCAACGCGCACGCCTCTCAATATGTTGGCTCTGGCCGAGCTTTCGGTAGTTGCTTCACAGAAGCGATACTCTGTAGCCATCCTGGCGTACTTCTCTACCTGTGCGAGAAGCTCCCTGGCTGTCAATTCTTCTGTAGTGATGCCGTTGCGGACGCTAGATCAACGACGATTTTCCAAGTAATTCTCGACCACGGTTGGGACATTAACCAGATCTTTCATCGATTGAAACCTCCAGTACTCGGGCAAGTAACGCATCACAGGCACGGTGTACGGCGCAGAGGCTAACTCCCGAGCAGTTGGTGCGTAAGGAGCGAGCAACTAACTCGGTGGTTATTGGACCATGGTGCAGATCCAAATGCAAGGTGCGATTGGGACATTACGCCACTCTCCGCTGCTGTTCGAAACGCATCCATCACTACTGCATTCTACATGATGCACTGTGGAGGGGACATTCGACGAGGGCAGATACTTCATTTTGCTATCGAGAGGGACAGCCCTGACCAGCTCGCGGTGATTGATTTCACTATTGCCGCCGGTGCCTCGATCAACGCCCGCTTGTTTGAAGATGACCCGGGCTCCTGGGTGGAGAACCGCGCATTTGGTATGGGTACGCCATTGCATAGAGCAGTGGAACTCGAAAAGGTAGCAGTGGTCGCCTATCTTCTTGAACATGGCGCGAATCCAAATGCATTAGACAGTGTAGGGAGAACGGCACTGGATCTGGCGACCGCAAAAGGGACCGGAGCTATCGCAACATGTCTGAGCTTGAGAATGCAGGCTTCTAGCAGTGGTGCGGATGACAGTTTGTAATTCAAAGTTGCTTCTTCGAGCTGTTTCGATGTCAGGCAGTTGAAAGTGGACTCCCGATACCCATGGATGGCTGCTGGAAGCACTTCAACTCTACTGGAGAAGAGCTGATGCCTGCGCCTCGGATATATCAAGCATCTGTGCAAGCACCTTCTGTAGTTGCGCAATGGCCTGTTGTCGGGTCATTCCAAGCGCAACTAGCTGGTCGCGCCGAGCTTTTGCTTGGTGAATGCGGACAGTGTCGATTTCAGCTCGTCGACCTCCCCTTCCAGTCTCTTCTCCCGAGGCCGCTTCTGGGGCGGTCCCTCTACCATATCCAGCTACGTTGTCAACACGTAATTCCGCATATGCTTCTGCTTCGCTAATATTCAGCATCTTTGCTAAAGTCGACTGAAGCGCTGCGATCGCTTGCGCGGGAGATTGTCCCTGCGAGATCAGCTGATCCCGCCTCGCTCTCGCTTGTTGAAGGGGAATATTGGCAAGCTGGGCCTGCCGACTTGACTCGACCGCCCCTGCGCCCAGGGTTGCTGCAGGACTTTCAGCCATCGACTGTGAGCTACTGCTCCCCACTGCTGCAATCTTACCGGCACTAGCAGGACTCACAATCTTATCCTCAACATATACAACCGTTGGTCTGTTTGGATCTGGTCGAACAACCCACACAGTACCTTCTGGCCGGTTTTTGTTCATGAGTGAGGCTGGCGAACGTTCGTAAGAGCTTTCCTTGATCATGCGTAGGCCGAAAGTATTCAGTCTCTCCCGAAAAATGTCTACTTGCTCCGGGGATGTCTGTACGCGTTGGAACGTCGCGTAGATTACGTATGTCTGACTGCTGTTACTAAAGAGATGTACTCGCTCGCGATATTTGGTCTCCAATTCATCCATTTTGCTATGAGCAAGCCTAAGGAAAGAATCCTGCTGTGTCGAATCCGGAATGTTTGGTCCGATGTGCGCTACAATAGCGGCTTTATCGGAGGCCACAACTATGATTGAACAGGCACTGAGTCCGCGGGCACCAAGGGAAAGGATTTCTCTAGGAGCTGGCCTTCGGAATTCGAGGAATTTGACCTCGTTGATGCCAACTAAGTCGACCACGCCTTCCTCGATAGCCTGCGTCAAGAGAGGTACTCTGGTTGTTGAGCTCATCCTGCAAGATAGTTGAATGCGTAAGATTTAGAAAGATACGTGGGTAAGTTATAGATGTTGTTGGGAAGATACCGTACTATACCATCTGTGAGAGACCTGACCTATACGACGACTGTCATGGGCGTTTCGCCAAGCGCTTTGATTGGCTCACTTACCGCCGCGTTATAGGTGGGCCGCAGCTATCACATGTGAGCGACTCTTTTCACGCTGTCGCTCGGGCAGTATGCGCTCGGTGCCATTGCGGTGTTTGTCTCCTGGTTCCTCATGCCACACGTCGGCCGTCGACAGCTATATGTGATTGGGCAACTATCGCTCTTCTTCACTTTGGTCGTGGTGGGATTTTGCGGTCTCGCATCCCAAGGCAACAACAGCGCTATCCAGTGGACTATTGGCTCCATGCTGCTACTTTTTACATTTATATATAATTGCACAGTCGGCCCTGTCTGCTACGCACTGGTTGCAGAAATGCCTTCGACTCGTCTGCGGCAGAAAACTGTCGTTTTGGCTCGCAGTGTGTTCCAGATCGGGGGCATGTTGGCGAATATCCTGACCACGAGACAGCTGAATCCTGATGGCTGGAATTGGGGCCCATGCTCTGCTTTCTTCTGGGCTGGAACCGGCTTCGTGATGCTTGTGTGGTCGTTCTTACGCTTGCCAGAGCCAAAGGGACGGACCTATGCCGAGCTGGATGTGCTCTTCGAGATGCGCGTGTCTGCCAGATTGTTCAGGACTACAGTGGTCAACACGGAAGAGCAGTTGACGGCTGTTGTGGACAAGTTCCTAGCTGTAGACAAGCCCGGAGAGCAGAAAGTATCGAATTGATTGACATACCTATCCTCTCTCGTCCATCAAGTACCTGCCTAGTCACGATTCCACACATCCATTCCGAGCATCATGGCGATTGAAGTGAGATCAGCGTGTACAGGTGATGTTCGTCAACGTTGCAACTCTTACTCATGTCATCTCGCAGAGACCTTACATGGCTACCATCATTCCACGCTTTTGATTCTTTACAAATTATAAAATCTGTGCAAGCTCTTTGCCAGAGGACCAAGAAGAGTGTCCCAGCACGCTCATAACGCCCTACGCTTGACCATAACGCCTTGTCCAGATGCTGTTAGCTGTCATGTCCGTCGATCCATCTGCATGCACTCTTCAGTTTTCCAGTATACAATCTTGTCTTCTTTCACAGCATGTTCTTATTCTTCTTCAGATTGAATGCCTTTTGGTCCTTCAGCCACCTTCTGTATGATGCTACGCTCCCAATCTTCTCTCCATAGTAATCAGGAAGAGGGCTCTGCGGACTGCTCGCCGAGGCATCAGCACGGTAGCGCTTGATACGAGCGTAGAGGCTCTTTTCCTTCTGTATGAACAGCCTAGTCAGCGTCGGTATTCCACCTGCTCCCCATTCTTCGAATGTCACCATGACTTACCTCTGCGATACCAGCTTTCCACCCTCTTCTACTCGCCCAGAGCCCGAAACCAATATTCCCTACCGTCGGGCCTAGTAGCCATCCTCCCGCCGCGATAGCAAGCGTGGACACACCCAGCAAAATCAAGGGATCCATTCCTGAGATCTGCGCCGCCCACGTTTCTAAGTCCTGCTCAGCTAGCACGGGTCCCAACACTACAGCTGTTGTAAAAGCTGTGGCAATACTGCAGCCCAAGTTGATCCAGCGTCTTTTCCGGCGGAGGTCGAAGAAACGGTTCCATGTGAGGATGTGGTCGGGCACATTTTGTTGTGACGACGAAGGCGGTGGTATCCCAGATGTGCTGGCGCTACGGACGAAGACGGCACGCGGTAGTTGCGAGATCAGAGAAGTTCTCTGTGGTCGTGTGTGCTGCTTCAATGGCTTCGCAGCGGTGGTGAAGGCCGCGCAGACGGTCGAAGGCGCGCTGTGTCGTGGCGCAGCAAGAGTGCGGAGGCATGTTGCGCGCGGAGTCAGGAAGGTCGCCATGATGTGTGGTATCGATGTCGTTGACGAGGAGGACTTTGGCAGCTGAAGAGTTTGGGCGGAGTCGATGGAGGATGGTCAGGTTAGGTACATGTAAATGTAAATGACGATGGGAGAGCTCCGTGCTCATTACTGAGGATTCTAGAATTCGGTTAGCCTATAATCTATTGCCTTGGCGACAGGGGTGCGTGTGCAAGTCGCGCGCTTTCCTAATACAGTAGATTCCATGGATTGATTTCACTTCAGTCTTCGCCCGTCGACGTCTTTGCAAATTGCCCATTTGCCGTGTGCTCAACAGTCAACATCCATACCTACTTACCTAAGGTAGGTACTCAAGGTGGTAGAGCACGACCATCTCCCCGCAAGGCCAAGTATGCGTCTTGGATAGAGCTCACATTTGACAGGCAGGCACACTTCCCATTTCGCACTTGAGCAGACCTTCAGACACAAGTTCACAACAACAACAACAACACCACCACCGACCCAGCAAAGATGACTTTCAAGCGCCATTATCACGAGGACGAGCTCACTGAGGAGGTGTGCGACTTCCTGCTTCCACTCTCAGATCCCATCACCATCCTGTCCGCCACCTCTTCCGCCGAGCACAAGCACAATGAAGACACGCGATCCATCGCTAGAATCCAGACTGGCACTGCCTACAGAACGCCAAGCGCCCTCACACGAGCTTTCAACACGGTGGAACTGGCTGAGAAAATCCTTCTTGACCTGCCAGCTGAGAATCTACTTTGCAAAGTGCAGCTGGTGTGCCGTAGATGGCACGAGATTGTACAACACAACGCGCTGATCCAAGAATACCTCTTCTTCAAACCTATCGAAATCAAACACTCTCTGAGGGATGTCACGGTCGCTGGTATACCACCGAAAGCTGGCAATGCTTCAGCAAGCAAGGAAGGGCTTTCGTGGAAGGAATTTAGGGCGAATGCGTTGCACGAAATCGAAAATCCGTGGCTGTATCTCTTCTCTGCGGATAAAATCCCAATTCCAGGCTCATGGAAACGCATGCTAGCGTGCCAACCGCCCAAGTCGTTCATGGCGTGCGTCCCGACTCGGCCTCGGCTTTCGATCAAAGCTCAATTCGGAAATAAATCGATTGATCCTGTGAATTTCCCTTCAAAGACGTGGATGGGCGAACATCGGAAGGGCTCGCCGCTCTGGATGCTATATGTAGCCGCGGACTGGCATGATTGGAAGCCGCTCATGGGCTGGGAGACCATCCAGAGCTCGAAGAAGGTCGTCAGAGTGGACGAAAAGTTCCTCGAGTTCGAGGTTGCAGATGATGAAAAGAATGTGTAGCATCAGCGAGGACAATTTGTGTGAGTCCTTCAGCATCAAGCAGATCTTCTGCGGTCTCTCACAAGAAACACAGTACTTGGCGCCTACAAGTCTATCCCGATCCTTTCTCTGATGTCCTGGTCGTGAGCCAGTGTCTTGAAATGGCGTCATTACAGTCGCGCCTTCCTGCGCGAGAATCTGGCGGTAGTGACCGCAGGAAAGAGCAGGAAACGGACTTCACCTTTCAGCTTCTACTTTTTTTTTCAGCAATGCCGGTCCATACAACACCTCCTCATCGAGCAAGACGGCTAGTGTAAATTAATCGCCCCCATCTGCCCACACTGCACTAACGCAACGACAGTTCATCACCTTGAACGCGTGGGATCCGCTCTTCGCTACACCTGAGCTCATGGTAGCGCGTTGGGAACCGTCTATCAAGAGTTCCGATACTTTCGACCTGGGCTGCATTTGGGGGCGAGATTCATGGAAACAATTAGACTGGCGCAATGTCTCAACATGCCGCATGGTAGAGGAAGCTCATGCTGCGGTACCGAATCCCCATGGCGCAATTGGGAGCAGGTGGCGGAGTGCAAAGAGAAATACAGGAAAAAGCTGCAGGGAAGAAGCTACATCACGGAGACTGTCTGCGTGAAGGTCTCCTGCTCTGGCCAGGCTCACAATCAATAACTGGGATCTGTGGCAGCTAAACCTTCGTTGATCAGTGCTTGGGTGAAATAGGCAAGTCACTTTCCTACTTGAGATTCCGAACGGGCACTTGTTCTAACCCACGTCCCCTAGAACTTCGCCCCAAGCTTCTTTTCATGCTCAATCTGCTCGTTGTCGACCACGATGATGGCTTTTCCTTTCAGCTTTCCACCGTGGACTGCGAAATCATTAGCAAAATATAGCAAATACCGACAGGAGAACTCACCCAGCTCAACCAGATCATGGATACTGTCCAGTCCATAGAACTTCTCAGTCGTCACAGTCACGCCGTGCTTCGCAATCACATCCAACATGCCCTTTGATTCCTCGGCGCTCGCGATGAGCGACCCGATAATCCTGATGTCACGGAAGATGAGCTCGGCGAACGGAATGGTGACGTTGTCCGGTTGAGCAATCTGCACCATGGTCCCATGCATCTTCGTGCTCGCACAGGCAATGGCTGCGGCATCTTTGTGGTCAGACAATGTCACAGTCGAGTCAGCGCCCAAGCCGCCAGTCACAGCCTGCACCTCCTTCACCACCTGCTCCTTCCCCTTTCTTGCATCAACAACGACATCCGCACCATAATGCTTCGTCAGCTCCAATCCTTCATCCCGAGCATCAACGCCAATGACCTTCAACCCCAAAGCCTTTGCGAACTGCACCCCCAAATGCCCAAGTCCACCTCCACTCCCCACGAAACAAATCCACTGCCCGGAAACCAGCCCACTCTTGAGCACACTCCTCCACACCGTCCTCCCCGCACACGCCAACGGCGCCGCACTCATAAAACTCACATCATCCGGCAACTTGGTCGTACTCGCCGCATCCGCTCTCACATACTCGGCAAAACACCCATGACTCTGCACCCCAACATGCCCTTCAATCCGCGTACAATACTGCGTCTGATTTTCCGGTCCCAAACAATCTCCGCACGACCCGCATGGGTGCAGCGGTAAACCGACCATGACGCGATCTCCCACGTGGAAACCTCGTGATGCGGCGCCGGACCCCAGGGCTACGACTGTTCCGCCGCCTTCGTGGGAGGCGGTCAGGGGGAGAGGCGCGTTGAAGATGCCTTGTTGTACCATGGAGTCTGTGTGGCAGTTGGAGGCTACGGCGATTTTTATGAGGAGGTCGTTTTCAGTGAGGTTGGAGGGGGTTTCGACCTGGAGGAGGTGGGTGTTGGGTTAGTATTTTCTTTTTCTTTTTCTTTTTTTTTCCTTTTTTTTCTCTTTTTCATTTTCATTTTCTTTCTCTCTTTTTGTATTTTCGTTTTCTTCTTGTTGGCTTAAAGGAATGAGTAGACGAGGAAAGAGATGAAAAGAGGGAAGCCTGGTCTGTTCGTGGGGGGACTCACTTCTCGAATTTCATATGGTTTCTTATATTCTACGACCTGAATGGCCTTCATTTTCGCGGGGATGTTCACTTCGGACATTTTTCTTTTCTTGTCTGACTTTCCTCTTTTTCCTTTTTTTTCTCCTTTTTTTCGTGTGTTTATTATTTCGTTCGTTTTTTCTTGTTCTAATCAAAAATCAGGCTTGACGTCGATCTTCTGATAGGCTGATTTTGATGTAAAGGAAAAACAACGATAAGAATTGAATTGAGACTTTGATTTGTACCGGAGGTATGGAAAAAAGGTATACTCGAGGAGGGTAGGGTATTACAAGAAATCGTAGGTACCTTAGGTAGTAAAGTACCTACTTATGGAGGGGCATTGACCATGTATATCTATCCTCCTTTCCGTTAGGTGCAAACCTAGGGACGTATGAATGCATCCGCGGGGTCCATTGACATCACAACACCGAGTGTGTGGGTGGTAGCAGGCTAGACGGCTGCGATTCTGCGACAGAGACGCGACAAAATCTTCTGTGGACTTCACGTCTGGCAGTCTTTTCCTCCCGCTGCAGGAGGTATGTGTACCACGTACCTCCCGTCCCTTGTAGTCGCACTTCTGCAGAAACTCCATATCTTCGACTTTTGCCGAAGCCTTCCAGCGTCAATCACGACAGGCTGCTCAGCTCGGTCGCGGACCCGCGCAGCTCGCATGATTGTTGCTTGTAGCTCTGCAGAAGGTCCTTGAACTCGGCTGAGATATCAGACAGCTTGCTGTGTTAACTCACGGATGCCCTCGTAATACGAAAAGAGCCGCTGTGACTGGCAGTGACTCGACTGGTCTGCGTGGTGACGGCCCAATCGTCCTGGCTACGGACCTTCTTGGCCAGATCTTGCTCGGAGAACAGGTTCCATTCAATCTTTCCATCTTCATCCACACTCAGATCAGTTGTGAATGATACTTGAGACGTCAGAGACAAGCTTGGAATGGGTGGTCTGGAAGACGGAGTGCCAGCCAGTGGCACGATGACAGAGTCTCGTCGTGGCCACTCCGCCAGAACTGTGCCAGGCGATATCCATCGTGCGGGCTCTGGCGTATAGTGCCAAACAGGTAATGGAAGCCACTTTGCCGATACTGGCGGAGTGGTGGTAGTGTAAGACTGATGAGCTGGCTGCAGCAGTGCCGGTCCCACTGGCAGCCAACCATATTCTCCGCCCCGGATCTTCTCATTAATGATCATTTCGATGTTGATCTCGTGTGTGTTCCATAACCGGGCGAGTGCAGTATGATGCAGAAGAAGCCACAGTGGATGGTGTAGAGCAACCCCTTCCATCGTGCGTACAAACATTCGGTTTGCATAGGAGTTCGCCCAGCCATCCTCACACTGTCGTGCCTTGAAATGGTTCAGCGCTGACTCACCCAAACCAATGCCTTCCAGGAACCGCGGGAGTGTGCACAGGAGGTCGGTACAGCTTGAAGTCAGCAAATCATGGAGTGTATTAGGCTGAGCACTGGCTGACCAGTGGACCAGTCTCTTGCAAACCTCTATCAAGGACAGTATCGCCTCTACCTCGAGTGAAGCAGGAAACTCCTGCCAGACACTGTGAGGAGAAGCGGCACTCCTTTGTCGCTTATGCCTACCCGATAGTGTTACGTTTGTAGGAAGGCGCCTTGCCAGATCTGCAAGCTGGGCGTGTGTATGCTGCGCCTGGATCTTCCGCAGCCACTCTAGCACGTTCATCGAGCCCCGGCGGATGCTTTGAATGTTTTGGACAGTATCAAATTGTCGCTCGCACAGGACTGCAGCTTTCAACAGAGTCTTGATTCTCTGTATACCGCCGTCGAAATCGGTGGTATTGTGAATCGTTACTCCGATCTTGAGACGACATGTCTCGTTGATGAGAATGGCAGTGATGCCAGATTCCCCAGGGTTGAGGTTGACCCAATGCAGTCTGTCCAGAATGCGTCGTACCTGAGACTGAGGCGACCAATATGGCTCATGGGCCACATTCCCCCATCCCTCGCGGATACTGGCCCACCACCAGGGTGGTGGAAAAGAACTGAATGGTGGCGATGTGAGTCGCGCGGCAAGCGTTGTATAGTGCTGATCGAAGTTGTGTATGGCGCACGATTCGGACTGTGTTAGTGCTACTCTATGGTCAAGTGCAGCAGCTGTCCATAGCAGCTTGTGCAGTGATGGTGTGTCGTGCATCACTACACAACCTCGCACATCGCATCTGCATTGTCCATGGCCCGAGAACAGTGGTTCGAGTACTTGCTTGACCCTCGGGTCACCAGTTTGACGCTCAACCACCACCAGGCAGTCCATCGTCAGTTTGTAGGTTGTATAGGGCGCCATTGTGGGCGGCGCACCGGCGATGTCGCGCCTCGCGTGTCGAACACTTCGACGGCGGCGATTTGTTCTGAAAGTGTGCGAAGAGTGACTGGTCGCTGATGACTGGTGGCCGATGACTGGTGGGTTGAGTAGTGGAAAACGGGCGATTCACTTGTGGTGCAGCGCGAGCGCACTGCATTCTTGTGAGAGATGGATGACAGTAAGGTAGACTTTTAGGCAATGGACGGGTGCATATCTGCCAACTTGATATTCCTAGAGCTTTAAACCAAGTGAATGAAAAGCATTGGACTTTACGATAGAGCTCAGCAACGGAACTCATTGTGTGATAATCATATCTCCACGACGGCCTCTGAATGACCAGCTGCGAGTAGAGGAGTGAGCGGCCGGCTACACTCAACGTATGCAAGTGAAGGACTCGCTGCAAGCATGCAAGCGAACGAACAGCTGCACGTGTGGAAATGTTGATGGATCGCCTTGAGGAGAGTCGTGGATAGAAGTCCATATCTCCACAGCTTGACCATGGTGCGATATATATAGTAAGGTAACTATGGAGTTGCCAAGGGCCAAGGCACGAACACGCCGTATAGGCTGCGCGCGTACGCAAACCTTGCCCATGCGCGTATCCTCTCATCCACCTCCCACTAGGAGGTAGGAGGTGGTATATCACGACTTCACCTGTCTTTTGCTTCCTCTGTTTTCTGCTCTTTCGCTGCGAGTCTTCCGTCCCTCTCTCCCATTCCAAGCGACGATTGTTACCTGAGCATCTACTCCGAAACCATGGAGTACTGCTGCAGCGTACCATAGACAGAAAACGCTCCTCAATACCGCCGTCCGCACATTCTCCGCCTCGTCGTTCTTCCAAAGGCGCCGACTGCAAAGTGCAGCGAGGCCGGATGTAGGGCCTCACATCGAAGTGTTCAAGCGGTTGGTCGCCGACGACAAGGCTACACAGAAGCATGCTCGTGGATGTCTACTGCTTCACCAGGCAGAGATCCAAGCATTGCCCAAGACGGAGCAGAAGAGTCGCGCGGAACAATTGGATATAGCCGGACGTCGATAGGTCCTCGCGTGGTATGGGAAGAGCGATATAGAGAGATGGAATCGCATCTTTGCCGGCAAAAGGTTTCCTGCTGCATTGTGCTGGTTTGTCTTGGCGCAAGACCTCGAGGAGGTTTTCTGGGAACGGATCGTTGCACAGGCCATTGTGCGGATGCCAGGCACTTGACGCCCAGGATGGGTATCAAAGCTAGGTACTGGCTGGAATAGCCAATGCACATATAGCACGGGTCGATGGTGGTGTGAACGAAGCGCTTGCCTGCTATCAACGAGCTTATGATGTGATCTACTCTCCTGGTGAGCTCTGCTTCACAGAGTTCCCATCGCTGTTCATGGACGTTACGATCTGGCGCGCTTGGAGTTCCCCTTGCTGTTCAGTAGCAGATGAAGCGCTGTATGATGCTTTCGTGAAGAACCCATCTAGGAGGGGGCAGAGCACACTCCGGGACAACCACACACGGGCTTCGTGGAAACTGCTACACCTACCAGACTAGAAGCTTTCCAGTAAGTCGAGTATCTACGGCGGAAGCTGGGTCTCGAGTTTCTCTTATAGACTTCGTCGGTAGACGAAGCGTCTACTGCTCTCTACATAATGTACATAGCTTACATCTGCTGTTGCTAAGATCGAGTCTCCGATGCATAGTACTATAAGGAGCGTCCTACTGAAATCGATCCTAAACTCGACCGCTAGGCTTAGAAGAGGCCTGATTCTATGGACCGCGACCCACGATTAGACAGTGTTCGCCGCCCAGGCACAACTGTACCTTGGGGCAAGCAGCCGCTACACCAAAGTGCTGCGGTGTCTGCTGGAAACGCACCACTACGCTCTGCTGAGCCTTTCACGTTACGATCAATAGAGCCAATAATGGCTGTCTGCGCTTGCAGTAACTCAACAGTTGCTGGGCCTTTCGGATGTTGCAACAGATCTTCGATTCACTTGCGATTCGCGTAGCTCGGCGTTAGCCGAGCCAATTTCGCACGCCCACTGACCGTTCCAAAAGTTTCTATGACTCTATCCTCCAACTTGCAGACTCAAACATTGATCTTCGCAGCAGGACCTTCAATCCCTATCACCCACAACATCACATCAACACAACATGGATCCGCCGCCCACCAAGGAAGAGCTTGCACGAATGCGCCGAGAGTTCGAAGCCGCGCGCGGCTTCGAAGAGGAGGACGACCTCCTGTACGCCTTCAAGCCGGTTGTCGAGCATCCACCAGCCGTGGCCGCCAACCACACCGTCGCTCCACCTCGTCGCCAGCCCGTTGTCGAGCGTCCACCACCTGTCGCCGCCCATAGCTCCGGCATTCCACCTCGCTACCCATCACCAACTCCCAGGGCACAACTCCCGCGCCAGTACAACCCCCACACACATGGCGCTTGGCGTCCATTGGGTCCACCACCTGTCGCCGCCCATAGCTTCGGCATTCCACCTCGTTACCCATCACCAACTCCCAGGGCAACACTCCCACGCCAGTACAACCCCCACACACATGGCGCTTGGCGTCCATCGAGTCCACCACCTGCCGCCGCCAATCGCATCGGCATTCCACCTGGTTACCCACCATCGGGACCTCTCTATGAGTTGGTCCTCCAAGAAGTCCGTTTCGAGACACCTCGTCATGTGAAGGTATCAATTCCACAGCAGTACAATTCGATTGCACAAGGCGGTTGGCGTCCATCGAGTCCACCAACTGCCGCCGCCAATCGCATCGGCATTCCACCTGGTTACCCACCATCGGGACCTCCCTATGAGTTGGGCTCCCGAGGACTCCATTTCGAGACACCTCGTCAGATGGTGCCATCAATTCTGCACCAATACAGTCCGGTTGCACATCAACCTTGGCGTCCATCGAATCCACCACCAAATGCTGTTGGCGGCGGTGCTCTAGCGCTAGACCGCTTCAACGCGACTCAACTCGGCGAACATCCAGCTCAGCAAGTTCCGCTGCCCATTGTCAGGCGTGTTCGTGTCCAGTCATGCCCTGCGGGTTTCGTGCAGGAAGTGGAAGAGCAGGTGTCTCCTCGTGGCGGCTGGACCGGCCAGCCTTTAGGCACTCCCGAAGCTCACTATGGCTATCAGATCCACGACGGCTTCATCACTGAAGACCGTTGGAGAGAACTTCCCGCCAATGTGAAGAAACAGATCTACGAGCAGCGATCGATCAAGGAACATCGGGCCAGCCGGGTCCGCCTTGGTCTGGGCCGCCCTTCTGTGCCGACCGGTCCTCGAAACGAGATGGCCATGACCCACAAGAGGCGCAACAGCCACGGGTCGAGAAGCTCTGAGGGTGTAGCAGGCGATCAAGCGGGAAAGCAGTTGACGAGTCCTCAGTGGAGTCGTAACAAAGGGGTCTGGAAGGCAACATTTGGTGGCAACTACCTTGGTGGTTCCTAGCATGCTCATCATACCGGTCAGTGTTCGAGGTTCCAAAGCTGGAACGAGAAGTCAGACTGGCTGTCCTGAACACAGACGCTGCTTGGCAGCTTTCATGTGGTATACATTATCTGCTTTCAGCAGGGGGAAGAGGGTGTGCCTACACGGCTCGACGGTTGTGCGTTGAGTTTGAAAAAGGCGTCTGATCTGCATATGGATTGCTTCCCATTCGCAAGCTGTGAGCGGCCGCTAATGGCAGGACTATACCCTGGTAGACACAGTCTGCCTAACAATGCCTTGTGGGTCAGGGTTTGGGTGTGTGTAGACAAAAAGAAAAGGCAGAATACCAGTGCCAATTCAAATTGAAAATCAATGCTATACCATGTCCCATTGGCTTGTGAGTCCCAAAAAGACATCAGTCGGATTCCATAAACACTGACGTCACGCTGGGCATCGTGAATTGATCTTGTACAATGTTGGTTCCAGTAAGTTACCATGTCCAAAACACTGACACCAACAGAGCAGAACAGGACAGATCAAGGCAGCATGACCAAAAGAAAAACTCGCAGCAGCACAAAAGCAGATCAGAAAACCGTTGAAAATGAAAACGACCCCATCGCCGCAACTCAGGAACAAGACTCACCCATGAAAGCCCCCATCACCCAAACCCAAGCAGAAGAACAACATCAACAACACAAGCAAGACCCGCCAACAATCCACCATTTCACACTCCCGTTCAAAGACGACAAGGAAATCACCTGCGAGCGCCGCGTCCCCACCACCAGTGATGGCAGCAACAATCGTACCAACCATGCTCCTCACACTCTCATTTTCACTCATGGCGCCGGAGGCGGAATCACCGCGCCTTCGACCTCGGACTTCGCTACTGGGTTCTCGAGTTTTGCGCCAATAGTTTGCTATCAAGGGACGATGAATCTTACGAATCGGATCAAGTATTTTCATATTGTAATTGAGAATGAGAAGAAACATACACAGACGACTACGACTAGCGAGGTGGTTCTGGGTGGACGGAGTATGGGTGCTCGGGCGGCAGTGTTGACGGCGCTGGAGCGGCGAGAGAAGATGTCGGAGAAGGAAAAAAATGGAGCGTTGGTGTTGGTGAGTTATCCTTTGATGGCGGGCACCAAAGGGGAGAAGAGGGAGGAGGAGAGGAGAGAGAAGATTTTGAAGGATTTAGATGAGGGAATGGATGTCTTGTTCATTGTGGGGGATGCAGATGCCCAATGTCCGATGGAAATGTTGGAGGAGATGAGAGGTGTGATGAGGGCGAGGAGTTGGGTTTGTGTGGTTGAAGGGGCGGATCATGGGATGGGGATGAAGCCGAATAAGGCTGCGGAAGATATGAGGAGGAAGACGGGAGAGGTTGCTGCGAGGTGGTTGGAAGAGAGGCATGACGAGGCGAGGGACAGTACGATGTCGTGGGATGGTGAGAGCGGAGAGATTGTCTATAGCGGGTGGCAGAGGACATGTTCCGGTGAGCAGCCTAAAGGCAAGAAACAGAAATTGTAGCATGTGGTTTCTTGAAAGAGTTGTTGCACAAGATGGTATAGCGACGTCGTTGGCCACGTCGTGCAAGCAGGAGAAATGCATCATCGTGACGAGCGAGATGCGCTCTCGTTACTGCGATCGACGGCCCATTCGGGGATGATAGTACATGTATATGGTCTTGGACTCTTGGGGAGGCATGGAAGATGCGAACAGGCCTGTTCATGATTGTCCCGTCCATATCGCTACCGTGCTTCTCCAGAGCTAGAGTGGTGCTTGTTATGGGTGGCGTATGTCTCAAGTGCAAGCTACAGCTGACAGACTCGATTGGCGGTATGACCATGTACACATCAAGGCGATCTGACCAGAACAGGAAGTTCGTGCGCTTTGAGGCCATTGTATTGATTCCGATTCAGGTTCAGGTTCGTAATCATCACCATTCAGGCACCTCGGTCATCGATACAGGTACTGTGTGGGGGATAGTGCAATGATTACCTACCTACCTGACCTAGGTATGCATCGGCACATTCGCTTGGCTCCGTCGTCTTCGTCCGACTCTCGCGACAGGGAGCGAAGGTCATGGACGGGGCTGCGCAACAAGTGTCGCTTAGGTCCGAGTACGAGAGACGACTCAGACGAGAGTGAAGATGGATAAGAAAAAACTTCATTTATTACGATGGCGTGGCAGGACTGCCGCAGGAGAAGGGGAATCGAGGATCATGGCAGTAGACACCACCTCGGCACCTCCAAGGCTTCAATAATCCAATAATCCAATCAGAACTCCACAAGTATTCTAATAATGTCGCATTGGAAGTGGGATTACTTTCCAGGAAAATCCTGCGTCAATCCAGCATTCCAGCTTTCAACTTTCTAGGAAGACTGGGATGATGATCACCTTCGCACGTGCAGCGGCAGCGAACTCACTTCTTCCCGTGTTTCGCAGGGGTGTTTGGAGGTGTGTGCCCACTGCCCACTGTCCAGTTCCCACTCTCTCTCTAGTCTCTCACTCTCGAGTCTCTCACCGTGCAGACTCATCAACTATACTTCAGACTACTGTTCTTCTCCTTGTCCTACTATGATAATGACACTACTGCTTCTCCGATATACCTGAGATGCGCTTCCCGTTTCCTAAAATTGACTCTCATCTCAGCACTCCGCTCACAACGATGTCCATCCATACCACCTCAGACAACCTGCCGGGGCCATCGAGCTGGCGGAGCGCGTCGGATCCGACCGTACACTGCTGCCGCATTCTCCGCCAGAACATACGCTTCTCCCCCCAGTCTCCAGAAGGCTGGGGCCAAGGGGCACCACCACCACCGGTGACCGGCTAGCTCAGAGGCCTTGTCTCAGTCCGGGGTATCTGACCCTTCACCGCGAACGTCCTCTCTTCAACCGCCTGCGGGCCTGCGCCGCATGGCCGGCATTTTCATGTCGACGGTCTTGGACCTTGGGATGATAGGGCTTGCGAGAGTTGAGACAGCTGCGAGCCAGTGGGCGGGCAGGCGGTGACATGGCAGTCCGGACTCCCTCCACTCCCTCCAGCATGGATGGTGCTGGCTCAACGACAACTCAAAAGATTGCTAGATCCTAGCACAGACGAGCCTACTTTTAGAGCTCTCGTCGTCTGCTGTCTGAAAGTAGTGTACTACTACCGCTACTGCTCTCTCTTGACGACTACTGCTACTACTACTGCTATTGCTATTGCTATTGCTACAACTACTGCTACAACTACTGTACCTCAGCGGTCGTAGGAATTGGCTCAATGATCGACATCACAAGTTGCAACCCCTCCACATATCCAACATGCTCTCTCTAGCAACGGCGGTGCCGACGTTCGTGTGCTCGTCTCTGTCTTTCATTGCCAGTTCGATCTTCGCGGTATCCTACATCATGTACCCTCCTGAGCGTCATTTCCGACAAGCAATGATTGTCAATTTGCTGGTATCTGGTATGCTTGATATCGACCGAGCCCCAGAGGGACTTACTGCTAGGAGTGATGATTGACAGATGGCGTAGATTGGATCAACTCGCTGAACAACAGCATTTCGGGCGCCATTGCGCTTGCAAGAGCAAATGTCAAAGGAGGTGCCCTCACGGCGGGCCCAGCTTGCACTGCCAATGGCTACATTGGACAATTCTCCGTCCAGGCGATCGACTTCAACATTTTGGTCATTTCCTTGACCGTGTTGCTCACGGTACGACATCCCCGTTTGATCATGGAGCCACCGTGGTGGCAAATCGTATGTGTATGTGCCATTCCTTGGATACCGCCAACCATCACAGGTAAGGAAGTGCGATTGAACGTCATCCATAATGTGCGGGACTGACACCATGGGCAGCCAATACCGCACTGGGTCTCGGACTGTATGGACCTGTGAGCGGGAATTGGTGCTGGATCGAGGCAAAGTACACTCCCCTCCGCTATGCACTGACTCATGGCTGGCGCATAGCCATCTTCATCTCGACTATCAGCATCTACACCTACATCTACATTTACCTCATCAAAGCGTACGGCAGAGTGACATTTGACAACTCGTCTGCCATGGCCACACCAAACAACGGCACACTGAGCAGGATGAATGCAGCAGAGGACAAGATGGCTCTCTCCGAGATACCACGTATGCAATCAACACTCATTCGCGTCAGATCCTCGATCACAACCACTTACGAACATGACGAAGAACCTTTACGGCCGAAGTTTCCCGCCATCAGCGAAGAAGAGGGCGACGTGGGGAGTGTCGATAGCGCGGCGAAGAATCCATTCCCGCACCCGAGCGACAGTAGCACTACCGGAAATACGGCCCGAATCGGATTCGCAAATGAACCAGGAGCAGGCAATGCCGCCACGCATATCATGTCCTCTGGAGCTCGACAACGCAAGCAGGCCGTGCGAAAGATGCTCTTGCTGAACGGGTATCCCATTTTATATGTCATTCTGTGGATACCCGGCATGGCGACGCGTATATATGAGGCCTTTGGAGTTGCGCCATTGTGGCTGCGAGGCTTGCAGGCCAGTACCCAACTGGTGGGCTTCGCCAATGCTATGACATATGCCTACAACGAACAGCTCCTGCAGCGAATCCGCGAAGGAAAGCGACGCAGGTGAAGAGTACTTAAGTTGGGCGAAGAGGATGAAGAAGAAGAAGATGATTGATGATGATGACGAAAGAGGAACTTCTGTGCGAAAGGCACATATTGTACAACACAACCATTGTGAAAACCTCACACACAGACCCGCAGGACATCGAACAGTTGTCCCAAGGGAACGACGTAACCAGCCATCTGCAATAGCAGCAGTACACGGGATGTATTCCAGGAGCTCTCCGGTGCCTTGAACAGGATCTCTCCCTCTCTGGGATAGCGAGCTGAAGCGAGATGGAAGACTTGCGGTCCATGCCAAGCTACAGCAAATCACGTATTACAGCGCCTAGCGAAGCCAGGGCCCCCCGATTTCCAACAGTCAGCGTTATATAAGAAAGGAGGGAACATGAACAGGCCCTAATTCTAAATGCCCTACAGGCGAAGTCTGGGATTATTAATAATTCACCATCCCTGATTCTGGACCCGAGCCCCTGCAGGAAAAAGCCACAGGGAAACTTCCATGGTAAGAGACCTGGGAGAGAGAGAGCCGAAGCGAAGCTGCGAAAGGGGAGAAAAAGTGAGAATTGAAGAAAGACTGGGAGACCAGAGAGGTCTAAACCGGATAGTACCGGCATGATGCCTCATGACAAACAAAATTCAATTTCCCAGAAACTGGGATGTCCTATCTTCACGGGAAGCTCTGGATGGATGGGATGTTTGATGCTTGGCAGATGCCAAACTCGGTTAGTTTCCTTTTTTTTCTTTCTTTGGAGACCCTCAATTGGAAGCTACACCACCTACTGTACCTACCTAGGTAGGTAAGCATACAGGGTGTCGCAAATTTGGGTTTTTTATACCTTTTTGGCAATCCCTTCTCGGCTCCAGTTGGCTGTGGCTCTGAATGGGGAAAGGAGGCGGATGGAAGGACGGATGTTCGAGATTGTTGACTGCCGTTGTGGTAGTACCTGGAATGGAAATTGGATGGTTGGAAGGAATTGAGAGGGAAGGGCAAGGATTGGATTGGATTGGATTGGATTGGATTGCATATTGGAAGAATTTCAGAGATACCCCTACTACGACGAATCATGATACATACCTACCTTTTTTTCAAACACAAAAATATAATGTGACCTTTGTAAAATTATAAAGTCTTTGTCTTACTGTCATACGCAACGCGTGTTCTTTTCTCAGGTAGCCATCAGGTTTTCTTCTGAGATTTCTCTACTGTACCTCCTAGCTAGCGCATACATCCTCGCATGTGGCGCAACCAAAAGGCAGGCGGAATGTCATGCATGCATGCAGTCGTTTTTCTCGGGGGATGATTTCTCAGGTACACGGACTCATGATTTTTTTTTTTCTTTTCCATTTTCGGCTTGTGGTGCTCTCCGTAGCATGCTCACGTTGCTATTTGAGTGGTCGTGGTGGCTCAGAGTCTTCTTACGTGTATATAAGAAGGGCTGCGAGCCAAGGCCCAGGCTGACGTTGGACTGTCCCGTCCCCTCCCCCCATCCCATCCCATCACCATATTATTGACAATCAGGTACCTTGTTGATGGTCGTGAGAAAAAAACTTTCAAGGTGATTTTGCCCAACCGAGCAGTCCTGGCCGACAAGACGTGAGCGCAGCAGCAGCGGTAGTGAGGGGGTTGGGTTCTCAGTTCTGGTCTGGCATTCCTCCTGGAATAAGCTTCACGGGAAAAATCAGTCGCTGAGTTGACTTCTTCGTGATACATGCAGCAGTAGTAGGAAGCAGATGCATACCATCGCCACATTGTTTCCGTTGAGTAAGATCTTCTTGAGCTTCGTGTGCGCACCGGTGTAGTCGCTGAACAAAACGTAGTCAGCATTGCAAGGCTTTAGTATCACTGAAGAATAATAATCATGGATGTTTTTGGGAGGCCATACTACTCTGTCACATCCTCGAGCACCATGTCTGCCAGTTTGATCAGTACATTGAGCTACCAAACATCTTGTCCATACTTAGAGACGGATTAGTACGCACTGACGAAGTCATCGAATCCCATTAGCGTGCCACTGAACTCTGCAGGATTTTATATGTCAGTTCTGGCGCTCGTAAACCATTCCCTATACGGTGGGGGGAGGAGAGAAGTAGTGAACCTTTGTCGCCTTTCATGATGACCCAGATGGGCGAGCCCACGCATCGGTCAATGAGTTCCAGGGGAAGTAATTGTGAAGACATCGTTTCTGTGTTTTGGTTGTGGATGGGGGACTGCTACAGCATTGTCTGTGGGTGATGATGTTGGAGGTGGTGGTTGTGTCGAGAGCGGCAGAGTTCCAGAAACGCAAAGGTGCCTTCCGACATTTGTCCGTTTGCCGCTCGCTCTTCACGTTACGTTGAGATGCATGTTTTTCCCTTGCTACATGATTCTACCTACTACTACTACTACGTGTACCTCCCACAGCTTCGAGCGTAGTCTACCTGGGGCAGTGCAGGCATGATTGAACGAGAGTATTGATGCTATCCAACACGCCCATCTTTGCTGATGTGGCTTTCCGATTGCGATCTGGCCATGTCTCTGCCGGTGAGATGGCCTCCATGGCATCTGGACTCGAATCGGCGACGACCGCGATCATCTCATCACCACGACTCCCTTCGACCCGGCCGTTGAGCCATCGCTGGGATCGCTCTCGGGGTCTCGTTCTCGAGCGTGCGAGTCGGCGAATCCGTACCGATCGCACCTGGAAGCAGGGAAATGGCATGTATGCCTTGCCAGCGTCAAAGAGGTCATATGCAACGCGAGAGTTGGGGCGCCCGAGTGGTAGCCAGAGAACCACTGCGACGGGGACTACTTCCTACGTGGACAACCCGCACAGGGTGCCAGGCTTCACGGGAGCGTCACCACAGCAGATTGAGCAATTGGCTAGAAAAGTGAAGAAGCTTGAAGGCGAAGCCTCACAGCGGCAATATGAATTTGACAAATTGAAAGACAGCATCAAGAGCAAGGATGTCATACTGGAACAGCGTGAGTTCGTGCTTCAGGATTCATTGCAACAACTAGATCAGGCAAGGAGAGCGCATAAAAAGGAATTAGAAAAGCTACTGGCAGCGCACTGGAAGGAGTCGGAAAAGCTACGGGTAGCGCACCAGAAGGAGTCGGAACAGCTACGGGCAGCGTACCAGAAGGAGTCGGAACAGCTACGGGCAGCGTACCAGAAGGAGTCGGAACAGCGACAGACAGAGCAGCAGAAAGAGGTAGAAACATTGCAACAGAGCCTCAGGCAGGAACAGGAAGCAGGAAGACTGGAGCTCCAAACGGCGATTGAAAAGCATGCGCAGGAGTTGCAGGAAATGCGTGATTCGGCTCAAGCTGAGCAAGACAGGGTACTGCAACTGTCCGCGTCTGGACTGGATGAGAATGCGCCTATCCTGCAAGTTGTTAGGTCCGAGGTCGAGGATGAGGCGCGTCAACGTTTTGACAAACAGTTGTACGAGATTGAACATCGACATAAGCTCGCCCTGAGCCACGAGAAGGCTGTGCGAGCAGAGTTGGAAAAGTGGAAGGATCGCGCGGAGAAGGACAACCAACTGCGGGCAGGAAGAGAGTCCACGGTCTTGACTCACCTGAAGGATCAAGTTGACGCGCTACGCCGCGAGAAGAACGCGGCAGTGGTCGACTCCAACACAGAACGCCTGCGCAACGAACGACTTCGAAAGACGGTTGCAGAAAGCCAGAAGTTGATTGAAGGCAGAAAGGCTCGCACAGAAGAAAGTCGCAGAGATTATTTTGGATATCGTGAGCTTTTCCACTCCATGGGTGACCAGATATACGAGACGCTAGGTGGTGCGACATCGATTGAAGAGGACTTGGAGCGCGAGGCTCTGCTATGGCGAAAATCGGCACAGGTCTTCCAAAAAAACAGAGAACTTCTATTGTTCCGACAAAATTCGACATATGACACTCTCCAACGCACTATCAACGAGTTCCTGGAAGGCAGGGCCATCGCAGCGCAGGCGGCAGCCTCAAACGTTCGTCAGCGGTCTGGCAAGCTCTTGGAGGCACGGAAGTCGCTCAATTTGCAAGGCCACGCCTCGCGCATGGTGACCAATTACCTTCATTTCGAGGCGGAGCCGACACATGCTAGGGCAGTGTCTGTGGTACATTACATGTCCCTTGTTCTGCCTTTTAAGCAGCGTCTTGAGTACTGTCACGGACAAATTACCGACGTTGCTGCCCGCATACAAAAGCTACAAGATATGTCCTCAGAGGTTTCTACGGAACTGGAACGTAAATTAACGATGCTCAAAGCGCGCAGAGAGCTACTTGGAGAGTTCCTCAAATACGCCGAAGCATTCCGAGTCCGAGAGGCCATGGCAGCGCTTCTCAATGGTAGCGCCGAGGATCGTATCACTTTTGTGCGAACGCGTGCAGTACACGACCGTTTCCGTACTTTGACGAATGTGATTGCGAGGAACGAGAGTGACCATAGCCTGGAAGCAATCGGGAGACAGCTCTCGAGGGCCAGAGGCCTCATTACACAGCAAGAGAACTTCGTGCGGTCTCGGTTGATTGCACAGCAAGACCTGGGTCAGCTCGACCAGACTCTTGTCGAAGAAGCCGACAGCGAAATTCGAAGGCGTCTTAAAATCCACAACCATGAAGCCGACGTAGCTTTAGATGTCATTGTTAGGCAGCGCAGGAGTCTCGCCAAGAATATGCGTGAGCGCAAAATGAAGCTGCGGAAGGTGGCGACAACAGTCGGCCGATCTAGCAGCACCGTCAACGATCTAGCAGTCACTGATCTCGCCAAGAACATGCGTGAGCGCAAAATGAAGCTGCGGAAGGTTGCGACAACAGTCGGCCGATCTAGCAGCACCGTCGACGATCTAGCAGTCACTGATCTCCCGCTCGCAACCGAAAACCCAGGTCTTGCACGTGCAAATAGAGTCGTGCGCCGTCGCCATACTCGCAAGTCACGTGTACACATAAGACTGGCTCTTCATGTGCGACCCCCCGAAAAACTTAGTGCTCTCGATGCGGAGAACATTTCAGCATCCGCTGGAGCAGGCCGACTCAACTTCACTCCCACACCGCCCATGCAGTCTTCTCACTTCCCATCACCGCATTCTCTCAGCAAGAGTCAGGAGCAGGTGTCGCGGTGGTCCACTCTCGGTAACGCTTTGAGGACCCAGAGCGACACGAACTCGGGGCATGTAGCAGTGCTGAAGCCAAGCGGTAGAAAGGATGCGGCGGAATCGGCAGAATCTCAGTCAGTTGCCATGACAACCTCGGTCGACCAATCAGCACACAAAGAGGACGCGCAAACCTCAAAGACACTCACTCGTCAGAGCAGCACTGCTACATCGACTCCTCCAGCAAAGGCACACGCGTCTCCTTTAGGACCGCAAGAACACGCCATGTCACATGCAGGCATTTTCAGCCGGGACCATCTCGTCGACAGTGATGCTGTGTCGATACCAAGCTCGCTGTCCTCATATGTGCCCAGTGACAATGATTCTGCAGAAGCTGATGTTGCGCCAGGAAGTCCAGCTGCGGAAGACGCTTCGGCAGTGACACCCGAGCCTCATACGATCTTAGACTATCAAATCCCGCAGAAGGCATACCGCGAAGCTGTCATGGCCTCAACGAGCTCGAATGCCGCATTCTGGACTCATCAGCTATACAAGTCAAGCGAAGGCAAATCTCCCATCGTGTACTACTGCAAAAATCTCGACACCGCAGAGCGGCAGTGCAAGCTCTTTCTCAAAGAACCCGTGCTCGGCTTTGATCTGGAATGGGAAATGAATTCGACTCTGGGCAAGAGCCCGATCAAGAAGTGCGTGTCACTAATTCAGCTTGCTTCCGAGGATAAGATCTGTCTTATTCATGTGGCTTGCTTTGCCGGAGAAACAGCCGAACAACTTCTCCCACCGAGTCTGAAGACAATTTTGGAAGATGTTAGGGTTGTGAAGGCGGGTGTCCACATCAACAACGATGCTCAGCGTATGCGGCGCTGTTTCGACGTCGATATGAAAGGAATCTTCGAGCTGAGCCATATGTATCGTCTTGTCAAGACCCCAGACGCAGTCAGCTTCAAGCTTGTCAAGTTGGCTGAACAGGTACAGGACACGTTGTTGCTGCCGCTGAAGAAGGACGACGTTCGAGTTTCAGCTTGGTCGAAGTCATTGAACGCACAGCAGTGCGCCTATGCTGCAGCTGACGCCTACGCTGGTTTTCGGCTATTTCACCAGCTTGATAACCTGCGAAAAGACCTCAGGCCAACGCCACCGCGTCCTGCGTTTTTCGAAACTTACCAACCAATCATACTTGGAGACGGCACCATTATTGAGCGGGCCACTACCAGGCCGAAAAAGGCCGTCAAAAAGTCTGCAGCAGTACTTGGCGATGCACATGAAAGCGATGATGAGTACCATGACGCTCTCGAGGAGTTGCCTAATACCTACGAACTCGGCGCGGCAGCTCTTCAAGATGGCAAGGTCGACATTGATGAAGCTGATCCAGAGTCTGTTGCTGCACTCCGCGAAGTGATGGAAAAGACTTACCTGAGAGGCTCGCCGTCTAGTGTCGATAGCCAGACATCTATCGACGCTGGGTCGAATACAACTGTCAACGCAATTCCCACTCAAGCGATGCCCAAGTCTGAGTCCAAGCCTTCAAAGCCAGCATCCCATGTTCTCGTGGCATCGCCGGAAACCATGTTAGCAGACATGTGGATAGATTCTCTGGCTTCTCGCAACCCCAAAGTAGGCGCCGCAAGCTTGAGGGCCTATCATCTCTGGCATCACCAGAATCACAGCCTCGATGCCGTCGCAGGACTGTGTCGACAGCCACCCTTGGCCCTGACGAGCGTTGCCAGCTACATTATGACTGCCATCAAGGAGGAAGATATGCCGTACGACAAGGACCGGCTCAAGGAGGCTTTTGTGCATTTACCGAAGAGTGTATGGCACGTCTATGGAAAATGGGTAAAGGAGTTGGGATTGGATCAATAATAGCATTGCCGGGGATAGAGTTGATACCTTACGTTTGTGTTGTCGTGCATAGCGAAGGTGAAATGGGTTCTGAATTCACATGTACACTGCGTATGTACAGGTAGTGATGGACAGGAGTACATCATTGCACAAGGTCCTTAATGTAGTGCAGTCACGAATGAGAAAACTCTGCTCCAGTTCATGTTGGATTCAGTTTTTCCGCACTCACGTTCAGTAAGGTACTGCCTGCCGCACGAAGTCTCAAGTTCATTGCAATCATTTACACTTCTCCCCACCACTGATTTCTCGTCCTCTCCATTTCCAATTCTGCGGGAAATGTCTCGAGGAAGTTGCACAGTTCATCCTGCCAGCCTGTTCTCGAAATATTGCCATAATACGCAGAAGTATACTCCCAGTAATGCGGATACCACCCCGAAAATTCCCAATCGATGATGGCGGCCACGTTATCGTCGCGAATGAGAATATTGCACGGGTTGAGGTCGGCGTGGGTGAAGACGGGTGGAGGCCATGGCCCGTCTTGCATGGCTGCCATCTTCTCGATATCTTGCCATTCCTGATCTTTCACCCGGTTGGGATGATCGGATGGGCGCAGGTCTTCTCGAAGCCAGAAATGAAAATCTTGTATACTCTTGAACGGCCCAAAACGTTCAGCTCGTTTGATACGGCAGTCCATGAGACTCCCACCCGTGCAGCTCTCCACTCCGGTACCCAGTGGAGGCGTCAGTGTCCTTAATTCGTGAATCATAGCTTTCAACTGGGCAAACATCTTTTGGCGGCCTTCTTCAGAGAGCCTGCTCCATGCCCGAGGAATGTCTTCGCCGCGAATTCTTTCCATCAGAATGAACGTCCGGCCTTTGTGTCTGAATGAACAGTAAACTCGAGGTACCGGAATAGACGTGTTTTCAGCAATGAATTTCATCGTGGCCGCTTCTGTCAAGCGAACTCGCCGCCCGCACTTGATAATTTTATGCCTTGAGATAGGTGTACAAACGCCATTTGATTTGTAGAAGCGTCCTAGAGTTCCAAGGGCCAGCCTGGTGAACAGTCTTGACAGACAAGTACTGTTGACACCCGCGATTTGCAGATTCTCATGCTCGGATGCAGCATTGTCGGAGCTTGAGACAATGCTTGTCATGGTAGAGTGAATGGTCTAGACAAGCGATTGATATCAAAGTTCTGAGGCGCGCGAAGAGTCGCGTCGCGTCTGCTTTCAACGAGTCGGGCGGGCTGGACCGGGTGTCCGACCTACCTGGTCGCACAGCGCATGCATACGGGAAACATTGAGTCCCCAATACTGGGTGCCCTTTGAATATACTAGAGATTAGAGGTGCGGTAGAGTAGCTGGGTTGCGAGTATCGAGGGAGCTGCTCAGCGATACACAAGAAGACACAGTGATTGGAAAGATTAGCAGAAAGGTCCTTCGTGAAACATTTACCTCCTAGGCGATAATGCAATATATTGATCATGCGTGCTCCTGGAGCTCTGAATATTTCGACACGACTAGAGTCCCGTCGACTTATCGCTAGATTTCGTTTCTCTGTGTTCTCGTAGCGCTTGATTCTGTTGATTCTGTTGGCGCTGCAGTGTCCATGACTTTATTCACGTTCAACCTGAGCCTCGCTTCTTTCATAGATTCCCTTTCTCGATTCTTTTCCTCTCTCGCTCTGCCTCTTTCAGACGCCGCTCTGCTCTTGATTTCCCAAGGTCTCCATAGCTCATTGCTCTCGCTGTGCCGATCACTTTCGACTTGGTGCCTCGGCGAGCTCTAGCCTCGCTGTTTGTTCTTACGACGACTTGATTCTGCTCTTGAAGAAGCGCCCGCTCGGCGATGGACAGCTGGGTAGCATTGGTAAGTTTCTGTAGGCGGTGCCGTATTGATGCTTAGCCGGCTGCCACGAGAGCTGTGCGTAGCAATGCAGCAGCAGCAGGCATGAGCAATTACAGCAAGACTGCGCGACAGTAAGGGGGCGGAAGGCACAGCGGTCCAGTGCGATGGGGTCGAAGCAGGCTCTCAAGTGTCGAGTCAGGCTCTCAAGTGTCGAGTGATGCAGCAGTACCTGTGCAGGCTGAAATCATTACAATGAACAATCATAGGCTGAGCCAAGGACGTGATATCCCATTCTGGACGGCGCCAAGCTCCATCGGGGCTTCCCCGTCGGTGTTTGGGGAGGAAGGTACGTACGTACGTGCCTACCTACCTCCTGAGTGGTTGCCGGCGAATGCGGAGGATGTCATTGCGTTGCACGTGACCGTAGCTGAAGCTCGCAAGCTGGCCACGCTTTGGCTCTGGAAAGTCAATAGACTCTCCTATACACGACAACACCAAACACCCTCCATCACCTCTAATAACGCCGTTACGACCTCCATTCGCTCCTTCACTTCTGGCCATTCCCGTTCTCAACCGCGTGTTTTCCCTTTGGCGACATCGACCGGGGGTAATAGACACGCAGCGCTGCGGCGGCGCAAGACACTCAGTTCCAACCAGCCATTATGGCGCCGCTGCCTATCAAGTTCACGGAGCAGCTGCAGCTCACTGCGGTGGGCATCGAGGTATGTCCGAGACGCTCTGGATGGACAACTGGAGATCTCTCACTGACATGCACAAACAGCCGGCATCAATAGGCTTCAACTCATGTACCCTCGAATCAGATCACTTCGTCTGCGTGAGGCAGAAGGTCAACGAGGCTGCCTCACCCGAGGTCATCATCGTCAACCTCAAGAATGGCAACTCTGTCATGCGGCGGCCGATCAAGGCCGACAGCGCCATCATGCATTGGAATAAGGAGATTATTGCGCTGAAGGCTAGTGGAAAGACACTCCAGATCTTCGACTTGGCGCAAAAGGCCAAAATCAAGAGCACAACCATGACAGAGGATGTCGTGTTCTGGAAATGGTTCAGCGACACCACGCTGGGATTAGTGACGGATACCAGCGTTTATCATTGGAACATCTTCGATCCAACTGCGGTCAGCCCGGTGAAAGTTTTTGACAGAAACCAGAACCTGTCTGGGTGCCAGATCATTAACTACCGCGTCAGCGAGGATGAGAAGTGGATGGTAGTGGTTGGCATTTCGCAGCAGCAGGGACGCGTCGTTGGCGCGATGCAGCTGTATTCCAAGGACAGAGGCATCAGCCAGGCCATTGAGGGTCACGCTGCAGCGTTCGGTACCCTGCGACTAGAAGATGCGCCAGCAGACACAAAATTGTTCACATTCGCGAACCGTTCAGCAACCGGCGCTAAGCTGCACATTGTCGAGGTGGACCACCAGGCACCGAATCCGGTCTTCACGAAGCGCGCCGTCGACATTTACTTCCCAGCAGAGGCCACCAATGATTTCCCAGTTGCGATGCAAGTATCGTCCAAGTACAAAGTCATCTACTTAGTGACCAAATACGGCTTCATCCACCTTTTCGATCTCGAGACTGGTACCACGATCTTTATGAACCGCATTTCGAGCGACACCATCTTCACAACAGCAGGCGACGAAGGTGGATATGGAATTGTCGGTGTGAACAGAAAGGGTCAAGTGCTCTCAGTGAGCGTGGACGAGTCCACCATAATAGAATACCTTTTGCAGAACCCGGAAAATGCCGAGCTTGCTTACAAGCTGGCGTCAAGAGCTGGACTTCCAGGCGCCGATCAGCTATATCAGCAGCGATTCGACCAGCTGCTGAACATGGGCGACTATCAGGCTGCTGCTAAGACTGCCGCAAACTCGCCGCAAGGCTTCCTCCGAACACCACAGACAATTGAGCGTTTCAAGAATGTGCCTCAACAACAAGGACAACTTTCTGTCATTCTGCAGTATTTCGGTATGCTGTTGGACAAGGGAAAGCTCAATCAGCACGAGACCCTTGAGCTGGCGCGACCAGTCCTGCAGCAGAGCCGTAAGCACTTGCTGGAGAAATGGATGAAGGAGGGTAAGCTAGGCTGCTCTGAGCAGCTTGGTGATCTTGTTCGCCTCCATGATGTTGCTCTTGCGCAGCAGATTTACCAGGAAGCCGGCGCTTCTCAAAAGGTCATTGCAGCCATGGCTGAGTCGGGTAACTTTGACCAGATTTTGCCTTATTCTCGCCAGGCTGGCTATACGCCTGACTTCAATGCTCTGATTCAGCATGTCACACGGTATGTTTCGCTTGGACATCTGATCACAGGACCACTACTGACGTTAGGTATAGGGCAAACCCGGAGAAGGGAGCCGAGTTTGCTACCAGCATTGCTCGTGAAGACCCCAGTCTGATCGATATTGACCGAACAGTAGACATATTCCAGGCACAGGGCATGGTCCAGCAAGCAACGGCCTTCTTGCTTGATGTGCTCTCGAACAATCAGCCTGAGCAAGGCCATCTTCAGACGCGGCTTCTCGAGATGAACCTTCAGAATGCGCCACAAGTCGCTGACGCTATTCTTGGAAACGAGATGTTCTCGCACTACGACAAGGCTCGTGTGGCCGCGCTTTGTGAACAGGCTGGTCTTTTGACGAGAGCTCTGGAGCACTACGAGGACCCTGCCTCCATCAAGCGCTGCATCGTTCAAAGTGACAAACTGCCAGAGGAATTCTTAATCAACTACTTTGGACGCCTCACTGTTGATTTGGCCATGGAATGCATGGACGAGATGCTGAAAGTCAACATTCGCCAGAATCTGCAAGCAGTCATCAACATTGCCAAGAAGTACAGCGACCTTTTCGGCCCAACTCGTATCATCGCTCTCCTCGAGAAGTACCGTACGGCTGAAGGTCTGTACTTCTACCTTGGTGGTATCGTCAACCTGGCCGAAGACAAAGAAGTCACCTTCAAGTATATCGAGGCTGCTACCACGATGGGCCAGCTCCAAGAAGTCGAGCGTGTCTGTCGTGAATCAAACGCGTATGACCCGGAGAAGGTCAAGAACTTCTTGAAAGAGGCTCAGCTTACCGAACAGCTCCCTCTCATCATCGTCTGCGATCGATTCAACTTTGTTCATGATCTGGTGCTCTACCTCTACAAGAACCAACAGTTTAAGTCCATCGAGGTCTATGTACAACGTGTCAACCCAGCACGAACTCCTGGCGTCATCGGCGGACTTCTCGATGTTGACTGTGACGAGAACATCATCAAGGGCCTCCTGAACTCCGTCGAAGCTTCCAGCATCCCCGTTGAGGAGCTTGTCAGCGAAGTCGAGTCTCGTAACCGTCTTAAGCTGTTGCTGCCATTCCTGGAGCAGAGCTTGGCCGCAGGCAACCAGCAGCAGGCCGTCTACAATGCCCTGGCCAAGATCTACATAGACAGCAATAACGATCCTGAAGCATTCTTGAAGAACAACAACCAGTATGACACTCTGGTAGTCGGAAAGTATTGCGAGAAGCGCGACCCCAATTTGGCATTTATCGCATATCAGAAGGGTCAAAATGACTTGGAGCTCATTGCGATTACGAACGAGAACTCAATGTTCCGAGCTCAAGCACGGTACCTTCTCGAGCGCGCAGACTCCGAAATTTGGGAGTATGTGCTCTCTGACAACAACATCCACCGACGATCGCTCGTGGACCAGGTCATCTCGGTCGCTGTGCCCGAAGTAAGTGCTTTCGATTCGCTCCCACAACCTCACGCGCCTCGAGAAAGGGAGCTAACACTGAGGAATAGTCCACCGACCCAGAGCGTGTCAGCATTGCTGTCAAGGCATTCATTGATGCCGACATGCCAGTTGAGCTTATTGAGCTGCTGGAGAAGATTATCCTCGAGCCAACAACTTTCTCAGACAACGCTAACCTGCAGAACCTGCTCATGCTTACTGCTGCCAAATCCGATCGTGGTCGTGTCGCCAACTACATCCAGCAGCTTGATGCCTACAGTCCTGACGACATTGCTCAGCAGTGTATCGAGGTTGGCATGTACGAGGAGGCATTCCTCATACACAAGAAGGCAAACAACCATGCTGAGGCCGCCAACGTCTTGGTTGATCACGTCGTAAGCATAGATCGTGCTCAGGAGTATGCCGATCAGGTCGACCTTCCAGAAGTCTGGAGCAAGGTCGGTAAGGCTCAGCTCGACGGTCTTCGCGTTTCGGACGCTGTGGAGTCGTACATTCGTGCACAGGATCCGTCGAACTACCAGGAGGTCATCGAGATTGCGACCCACGCCGGCAAGGACGAGGATCTTGTCAAGTACCTGCGCATGGCTCGCAAGACTCTTCGCGAGCCACCTATTGACACTGCCCTTGCCTTCTCTTTTGCACGACTGAACGACCTTCCCGCCCTTGAAGAGTTCCTCCGATCGTCGAACGTGGCAAATATCGAGGAGTCTGGTGACAAGGCATATGCCGAGGGCTACCACGAGGCTGCTAAGATATTCTTCACTTCGATTTCGAATTGGGGCAAGCTTGCCACAGCTCTCGTCCATCTGGAAGACTACCAAGCAGCTGTCGAATGTGCGCGCAAGGCCAACAGTGTCAAGGTGTGGAAGCAGGTCAACGAGGCTTGCGTGGCGAAGAAGGAGTTCCGCTTGGCACAGATCTGTGGCCTCAACTTGATCGTTCACGCAGAAGAGCTCACGGATCTTGTCCGACAGTACGAGCGCAATGGGTACTTTGATGAGCTGATCGCCCTGCTTGAAGCTGGTCTCGGTCTCGAACGTGCGGTAAGCATCAAGACTCGTCCCTTGTCATGTTGTCCACTACTGACGTACGTTTAAGCACATGGGAATGTTCACTGCCTTGGGTGTTGCCCTCAGCAAGTACCATCCAGAGCGTGTCATGGAGCACCTGCGCATCTTCTGGGGAAGAGTTCATATTCCTCGTTTGATTACTGCTGTTGAGGAAGCACACCTCTGGCCAGAACTCGTCTTCCTCTACACCCACTACGATGAATTTGACAATGCTTGTCTGGCCATGATGGAGCGCGCAGCAGATGCCTGGGAGCACCACTCCTTCAAAGAGACGATCGTCAAGGTGGCCAATCTCGAGATCTACTACCGTGCCCTCAACTTTTACCTCCAAGAGCAGCCGCCTCTCATCACGGACCTTCTGCAAGCACTGACGCCACGGATCGACGTCAACCGCGTTGTTCGCATGTTCGAGAAGTCGGACAATATTCCTCTCATCAAGCCATTCCTGCTCAATGTGCAACCGCAGAACAAGCGTGCCGTAAATGATGCCATCAACGACCTGCTCATCGAAGAGGAGGACTACAAGCAGTTGCGCGACAGTGTCGAGAACTTTGACAACTACGAAGCCGTCGCCCTCGCTCAGCGATTGGAGAAGCACGACCTTGTTTTCTTCCGACAAATTGCTGCCAACATCTACCGCAAGAACAAGAGATGGGACAAATCCATCTCCCTCTCCAAGCAGGACAAACTGTACAAGGACGCCATCGAGACTGCAGCAGCATCCGCCAAGACTGAGGTGGTGGAGGAACTCCTGCGATACGTGAGTCACTTCTCTATGCCATGGTTCCACACTTTTGCTAACATATTCTAGTTCGTCGACATTGGCAGCAAAGAGTGTTACGTCGGCATGCTCTACTCATGCTACGAGCTCATTCCACTGCACACTATCATGGAAATCTCATGGCGGCACGGCCTCACTGACTTTACGATGCCATTCATGATCAACTACCTCTCACAACAAGCCAGCACGATAGCAGAACTGAAGCGCGACAATGACGAGCGCAAGGAGAGAGAGAAGGCCAACGCGCCCAAGGAAGACACTGGACCAATCCTTGGTCAGTCGAGACTCATGCTCACGCAAGGGCCGATTGCAAATGGACAGCCCAACGGCGGTTATAGAGGATTCTAAGTTTGATCAATGGTATACCCGCAAATGGTGACTCTCTGCGTGTAGTCTGAAAGACCCAAGGCCACGAAGGGTTCGTTGACCGGGGTTTTCTAATGGACTGCATGCTGGCGAGAAGTGTGAGTGCGCAGGGCTTCTACAGAGAAGAGGCAAAAAAGAGTTTTTGGCTTGGCTGCTGTACATTAGAGAACTACTAGTACTTTGAAGATGCGAAGTTCTGTATCCTACATTGTGCAAAACTGCTCGCATCTTGAAATATGTGATGCGCACTCCAGAGTGCCTTCCTTAGAATTTCATGTTTGGGTAACAGTCCATGATGCTCTCGATTGATGCCAGGATGGTCTCAACCATGATTGTATATTGCACGCAGGAGGCTCTCCCACTGGTGAGCGAGTGTAAGATGGGAAATCATGCACTGGTTCAGAGAAGTTGCAGCACTGAGACGGACGAGAAAGTGCAATAGAAAGGCAAAAAGGGGTTTCTGCATATGTCAGGAGCGCTAAATCAGAGGGAAGCAGACTGGCAAAGCAGAGTCTATACTCGCTGTTGTTTGGTTCATAGCAAATGATTACGCTCTCCGCTCCATGCAATGAAAGAATCTTCCTCTGTGCTTACAGCGACAGCGTGTATCGTGTCCAGAGCCTGGTAAGCATTCCCGAACATCCCACCGCCACGCGAGAAGGAACCTCAGTCGTGTTGGTGTGTATGTATCTGCACAGGAGATGCTCACATGAAATCGCCACTGCAATGTTGTCAGCCCGTGCTAATGAGCATAGGATGGGTGTCAGACATACTCATCTAGTCCATCATCGTCATAAGCGTCCAGATCTGCCGCGCGAGACGTATCCCTGCTTGCATTAAGAGTGGTCTTCGTCTTTGCTGCCTTGCTCTTCTTGCCACCCTTCTCAGCAGCTTTCTCCTCCTTCAGCTTTTCATTGCTCAGTGCTGTCAGTCCACTAGACACCTTCTTGATCTGCTCGCTGTTCATCTCTTTTACGATCTGCTTGGCGAATTCCTTCATAAACAGCTCGTATTGCGGCTTCTTCGCAATGTTGGTGAAGAGTGGGACGAGAGTTTCCCGAAGAGTCGCGAATTCCTTTGCGGACGTGGGGTTGAAGAGTTTCAGGCTCGACAGGTCGACAGCGCTGGTAGGATCGCCGGCCTCTGCTTCTACAGTGATGGCCTTGTTGGTGCCGCGCTTAGCTGGCCCACTGCCGCCTCCACCGAACAGATCTTCGGCGTTTGCCAGATCACTTGCCATCTCCTGAGCGCGTAATCGTTGACGCTTCGCAGCCTCGTCCTCGTCCTCGCTGCTCTCTCCATCTTCCAGTTCGGCGCGCTCTTTTCGTCGCTGCTCGCGGAGCTCTTCCAAGCGCTGTGCTTTGGACTTTTTCTCTGCCTTTGCAGCAGCCTCAGCCTTCGCTTTAGCCTCAGCAGCTTTCTTTGCCTTTTCCCGCTCTTCCTCGCTGTCCTCGGCGGCATCCCACGACTCTAGAACATCCTCTTCCTCCTCGTCGTCGAACTTGCCGCGGCGTACAACGGGCGGTGGTGGCGAGGAAGCCGGCGTGCTATCGGAGTCCTCGTCGTCCCACGACGTCTTCCCCGGCGCCATCGTTGCGATTGTTCTCTGGTGGGGGTGGTCTTTGTCGGGAAAGTCGGCTTGCGAACGGGTTTTCAAGAGGTGTGAGTAGCAGTCGAGAGTGTTGATAGCAATTCACGCGACAACTGTGTGAATCTAGTTAAGCAGGTGGTGTAGAAAAAGAGTGAACGTTCAGGTACCTGTAATGAGCCGAAAAGGAAGATAAAGGGAGAGTGTACAAAACTCTCTTGGTGGGGAGAAGGTACGATGACATCCGGCGATTCTCGCAACAGTCATGCGCCACGTGCTACGTTGGGCAGCGATCGTCGGGCTTTGTGCTTCGACTCACAGTTTCACATGCTACAGTCACACATGAAGACCCAGTTTGACATTTTTATTTCTTTTTGTTAAAACAACTATGTACATGTACCTCTGCACATAGCACGGAATTCCCTGTTCTGACTCCAACATCTCTCCCGGTAGCTTCTGCTCGAAATACATGTATGCGGCCACAGTCATTTCTGCCAATAAGCGGTACTAGTCCCATTTATCTCTACCGCGAGCATCAATCAATGAAGCACTTTTTCAAGTGTCAACCTTAGTTCGACAGACTTCTGATTACACAAGGACTCTCCATCTGAGAGCTTAAGCCAAAGTTGACCCGCAGTCTTCCAATACAGCTTCTTTCTGCGTCCTGTTGTAAGAAGGATTTCGGCGTCGATGCCGCAAGACTGGCTCCATGTAGTGCATAAAGAAAGGCTGTCGTGGGATTCTGCAGCACTCAGAGTTAGAATTTGAATTCAAAGGACAACATAACGACCACGATATGCAGACAACGAGAACAAAGTAAGAAGCAGAATACAATTGCGCTTAGCGCAAGCTTCTTATGGGTATCTCAAATGCAAGTCTCATGCTCATAGTGCACTCTTGGGCACCAAATTCATGCCTCGCTTGCGTTATCATGCTTTGCGCCACCTCCATGCACCCGAACGCCTTGCTGTGCCTCTTAGCCAAGCAGGCATTGCATGCTCCCTGAGTAGGCAGCCAAGTCTCTTTGCCAGCTTTTCAAGTCATGAAATCATTACGCCCTGTGGAAGACCATGTCTCATCTTAAAGATCGCCTCCAGCACCGGCAATCTTCTTCAGCTCCATCTCCTTCGTGAACTCCTGGTCAAGCTGACCGAGCTCCTTGACCAGATCCTGGCATGCATTGACAACTGCCTCCTTTGGAGTGATCTCGCCGTCGGTCTGCACACGGAGCTTGAAGGTCGCGAAAAGTGGGTGAGGAACCTGGTAGCCGGCGAAGAGGACGTGGTCTGCCTTGGCTAGCTTTGCGCGCAGGAGGTTACCGAGTGTGTGATCTTCCTTGTTGAAGGTGAACATGGAGGCATTGGGGACGCCTGCGAGTTTTCGTCAGCATGTGTTCTCTCAATCAGGGCGTTACCGCCAGGTACAACTGACGAGTCTCTGGCTCATGCTCCACCTTCTTCTCGCCTTCAGCAAGGAGGAAGGACTCGAACCTGTCCGGGATGTCAACGACCTGCTCGATTTTGGTCTCGGTATTGCCGTGGATGCGAGGATCGGTCGCAAAGGACTTGCGATTCTTGGTAGAATCGATTCCCATGTACGGGTGTTGACCACCCGTGTAGGTGGGAGAAGTGCGGTCGGTCATGGTGCCGTCCTTTTCGTGGTGGTGTTGTGTGGGTGGGAGTTGGTACATACCTATCTGGCGCGTTCATTTTGCCGACTTTTGGGGGTGCCTCAGGAGACTCCTAGAAGGCGTTGCTAGGCAGGAGTGGAAGCAAGTGAATCAAGTTGAAGATGTGAAAGTGGAAGTCGCGAGTCTCGCGATGCGGAGATCGGCCTGTCTGGAAATGGTCTGTGCGTGAGGCGGAGGCTTGGTTGATCCGTACACCGTGATCGGTAGGGTGGCAGGTGGTAACCGTGGTATGCAGAACGACAATCTCTCACTGACCAAGAAGACTTGCAATGTACATGTAAGATAGGTGCCTTCTAGGATACAAAAGCGACACGTCATGTTTTCGAATCCAAAGTGTCGTAAATTTAATAGATGGCTGGGAACCACGCAGCCACAGGCCCACAGCGCACGAGCCATTCACATGAAGATATGGAACAGGGCAGATTTCGCGAATAGGGACGGACCGCAATGTTCTTCTTTATTGTACATGTTCATTCACTCATAGCTTATTTGTTTGCTTGACCCACAAGAGCTGAGATCTTTGCTGGAAGGACATGTCGACCTGCGACCGGATTCTCTAGAGCATTCGGATGCGAACGCAAAGTTCTGCATTAAGGCGGTCTTCTTAACGGCTACTCCTCTTCGTGGTCATCAAACGGAAAATGGTCTCGCACAGCAATCCTGTCTAGCTCAGTTTCACAGCCTTGGAGAAAACCCGCTCTCATCGACTCTCGCATCTCCTGTGCATGCGCAAGATGCTCGTCATTCTCAACCCAGCCCTGGGCATCTGTTCCTAGCATCGCTCTCATATCGTCAAGGTCGTCAAGTTGCTCTTCTTCTTGCTTGACCTTCTCAAGACACGCTTGGATTCTATCGGGATGATAGCGTACCGGGCATTCGACTGCCTGGGTTGGAGGTGAGCCTTCTATATGAAGAGGCCAGTGTTGTTGAATTTCGATTAGAGCATGTTCAAGGGACAGCGAGGAGCCTTCCCATGGTGCACCGGCTCGAGAGAATAACTTGGCTCGAAGCATCGAGTTGTCGTTTCGAAAAGCGTCGTAGTGATCCCCCGCCTTCTTGAGATGCAATGCGGCATAGTAGAAATGAACTAGACGTCGACGCATCGTCTCTCGGGCGTTCTGCTGAGAGGCTGGATCCATAGAATCATAATCCGCAGGCAGCTTCGTCTCGGGCTGTCGTAGCGTATCTGAGGCTGGATCACCCCAATTCTGGTAGTGATTCGGGATTCCAGCACAGAGGCATAATGGTAAGATGACGGTATGCTGCCAATCAATAATGCCGACGATCTCATTATCATCATTAACCAGGATATTATTTGGTGAAAGGTCAGGGTGACGGAGAGTCGGGCGCGCGAGGCTGTTCCCGGCATCGATATCGAGAGACGGAGCCAAGCGTAGAAAGTCATGTAGAAGTTGGGAGTGATAGGCAGGGTCTTGCGGTTCGAGATTGTCTAGATCGCGAAGATAACGCTCGACGTTGAGGCGTGGCTTGCCATATTTCTGACAAAACGCAAGCTCTCGTTTGGCCGCGGCCTCAAAGCATTCAAGAAAGATCTTCCCTGAAGAAAGGTGAGCTGACATCGATTAAGTCGCAATGCGAGGCCAAACTTACAAGGTCCGCGGTCAATATCCAGACGCGCTCGCTCACGGTACCACCAAGCATAAGAAGCGATAGGTCCGACTCCAATGTCGAGATTTGGTGCAGAAAGATCGGGTACGGGCACAAACTCCTCATCGCTGCCGAGATCTCGTCGGAAGTACAGACTTCCAGAAGCAGGCAATGGGAGGCGCAGATACCTTTGCTCTATGTCAACGAGCTGTTTCATGACCTGCACCACTGCCTTGTTCTCGAGTGAAAACCATCGATCGCCAAGTGGCCGCCCTGGCAGCTTTTCGAGTATGATGTATTCGATGCCAACAGGGTTGTCGATAATAGGGGAGTAGCCAAGCACTTTGGGTACAGGAAAACCATGGTGGTGTAGGAAAGACAATGTTGCTGCTTCGCTTGCGACTGAGTGCTGTATTGGAGCTTCGAGTCGGAAAGGTAGGCGAGCAAGAACTTCCTTGCCATCACTGAAAGTTGCTTGAAGAATGCGATTGAAGCCTCCTTCGGCAAGCTTCTCGAGACTCTGCAGTTCCTCGAGTGGTCTGCCAAGCGACGAGCATATTGCGCTAGCGAGCGCCTGGACGTTGAATTTCAAGTGTCGCTCTCTGCGACGCAAGTCTTCATTGAAGCTGTTCCCTCAAAACATTAGGTACTCAGGGATCATGTGCAACGGACACTCACTTACAGAAATCTTCCACTGGTGTATTCATGTAATGCTGGGCCAAATGACGGACTTCTTGTAGTTGCTTGAGTACTGGCGAAGCGCAGCAACCGGAGAGATGCACATACTGATGAGTACACGGGCTTCATCACGGCACTGCATGGCGAAGAAGACCAGTTCACTTGTGTATGCTTTCCTAGTTTCCTAGTGAGATGGTCCGCCGGAAGTGCCAAGCCTTGCCAAGCTCAAATGCTCGCTTGTTAAGCGCCACGGCCCGCCGCGCCTCAGTCTGAAAAATGATCAGGCCGATGCAGCAAGAGGTCCATTGACTGGTAATACCTCCTAATTGCTTTTGCGCATGGTTTATGCTTCTCCATGAAGCAGTCGCTGCCCTCCAGTCAAATGACAGGCCAGGAATTGATGTCTGCTGCGAGTTCGTTTGGCGCTGCGCCTTACTGGTGTTGAAACCCACACTCGAGCGGCACGGCGGTTGTCCTATAGGGCGCCAGACTGCGGAGCCTTGAGAGCGATAGCGATCTCACATATCAAACATTTTTTGGATCCGCTGTCCGATTTGAGCACATTCTTCCTGTGCGGCGAGAAACATTTCCCTAGGGCCAATCCGACCTCGAGAAGATGGGAATTCGCTCCGATTTTGCTGGGACCTATGAGAGGAGTGGCAAGCATTACCATAGATTCCAGATTCAGGCCAATGCGGGAGGCAAGATTCCCATGTCCCGGAAAGACTTGAGGCAACGCCATGCCATAGGAACCCACGCCATTATTACGACTCTCTAGATTCCAGATGGTGGCTGCAAGGACGAAGTTGAAGAGGCTTTCGAAAGCGTTGACGCTGACACTGAGTAGTATATTTGGACATTCGATTGTTCAGTCTGGTCGGCCGCCGATATTGTAAGCCTTTCGTCGGACGAAGAGTCCAAGCATATCGCTGGCGAACGTCTAAAAGTACGAAACATGTTCGAGCGCAGCTCCGCAAGGAAATTCAAAGTCATCACGGAAGCGAAAAAGGTTATTGCGGAGCGGAAGCTCCCGAGCGCCGTGTAGACGCTTGAACCGCGCCGAGCGGAGAAGCTTGACAGACGACGACGTCAGGAGAGGAGCACCACTCCAAGCTGCTGCTGATCGGCCGATGTCGCTGTGGTATCACTGCTATAAGGCAGATGGTAGGCTCGTAGAGATCAAGGTAAGAAGTCAATATGGACCAACTCAAGAAAGACTTACCATGGACCAAGGCGCCGCTGGTATGCGTCGCGCCCATGAGGTTGATCGCCCTGGCAAGTCTCGCAACAGAAGTGTCAAAAGCCGGAGGTCTAGGCTTTATAGGAGCAGGAAGTGATGCTTCGACCTTGGAGTCAATGCTCGAAGAGGCCACGCAGCAAGTGGCTACATCAGAAGTGTTGAAAGAAGTCGAGAATATGCTGCCAATAGGGATTGGTTTCTTGTTGTGGGCCGGCGAGAAATTACTGAACGAGGCTTTACCATTGATAACGAAGTACAAGCCAGCTGCGATATGGCTGTTTGCACCACGGGAGCTGGGCGACTTTGAGCTATGGTCCAGAGAAATCAGGAGGGTGACAGACGGCAGAACGAAGATTTGGATCCAGATTGGCCAAGTTGCTGAAGCGTTGGTAGTCACAAAGACGTGTCAACCAGACGTCCTCGTCGTACAGGGGCAAGATGCCGGTGGACACGGTCTGGAGCAGGCTTCTGGACTGGTGTCGCTCGTGCCAGAGGTAGACGATGCCGTCTCGGAACTGGCTCAAAGCAAAGGGATCAAGAAGCCCATCATTATTGCCACTGGAGGCATTATGGATGGTCGTGGAGCAGCAGCTGCAATCGCCCTCGGGGCATCTGGCGTCACGCTGGGCACGCGTTATCTCGCTGCACCAGAAGCGAACATTACCAAAGGCTACAGAGATGCCGTGCTCGGTGCATCAGACGGTGGCGTGTGGACGAAACGGACCAAGCTCTACGATACACTTCGCGGCACGAGAGACTGGCCCGCACGGTATGGCGGACGAGGTGTGCTTAATGAAACTTACTTCGATTCCGAGAAAGGCATCAGTCTGGAGGAGAACCAGAAGTTATACGATGAGGCGCTGAAGAAAGGCGACGAAGGCTGGGGGACCAATGCTCGGCTTGCGACATACGCCGGTGCAGGTGTCGGTCTTGCGAAAGGCGTCAAGCCAGCCGCGAGTATTACGGAAGAGGTTCGTGATGACGCGAGACGCATACTGAAGCAGATTGCTGTAGTAGGGAGTCTGTGAGCTGACCACAGTCATGGGTTTGCCTCCTCTCATCTTTCCATATCTTCCACTATGGCGTTCCCTTCTGCGTACTCTCTGCTCCTACTCTCGCGAGTAGTGCAAACCATTAATCTTCGTCTCTCTCCTTTAGCAAAACAGTGCCGAGCTCGGATCGATAGCATGGAACTTGAATCCGTATCAGTCACGGAGTGTCGAAGTCCCCCTGCATGTTCCGATGACCAGGACATACCCATATTCAACCAAGCAAGACAAAAAAGCTGCCCGTAGATACAACGTCTCGACCACACAAGCCATGATGATATCCATAGCGATCACGCACACAAGCAGCAAGCACCACAACTACTTTCCACCCACTCCCCTCTCCGGTACATTCTCCCACGCCTCCTCAAACCCCGCATTTCGCACCCACCTCTCACCAACCTCCATTTCCACCGAATCAATCACCATATATCCCAACTTCAACCAATCCTCTCCCGCAAGCTCAGACCCCTTTTGCCCTTCAAAAGGTCGACAAACTTGCTCCCCATTCGCCACCGCCCGGACTAATTTCGCCGCATGTCCATCATCATCTACCCGACACGCTCTCTCCAGAATATCATCCCATCCCGCCTCCTGATGATCTTCCTGTTGTTTTTGTTTTTGGTTTTGGTTTTGTTTTTGTACTACTTTCGGCGCATACCCACGAATCTCATCTCGACGAATTTCGGGTGATTTCCGAGAAGCGTACAAGACGAGATCGAATCGAATTTTCCATTCGAGCAGTCGAATTTTCTGCGTGGGGGAAAGCCAAGCCTGGCGATTGAGAATCGGCCAGAAAATTGTCGCGTTGACACTGTGCATGAGGAAGAAATCGAATTTGATGGCTTTGTGTGCTCGTTGAGCTCCGGCTGTGAGGAGAATTGCCGCATGCGTCATTTCGGCGGTTTGGCGAGTGAGGATTTCTTTTTCTTTTTCTTCTGCTTCTGCTTCTGCTTCGGGCGGGATGTGGATTTGGGAGATGATGTCGATGAGAGGTTGGGCTGCGCGGGCGAGGAGTCCGTCTCGGATTTTGTTGCTGTCGGACCTGGTACGTTATGGATTAGCAAGAGGAGGAGGAGGATGAGATGGAGGTGGAGGGACTCACCAACGCGGCGCTTCACGAATTTCCTTGTGGTTATGAATTTCGTGAATCAGCTCCACGATAGTCTTGTCATTGTTGCCATTCTTCTCCGCGGCCGCTTCTGCGGGCAAAAGGACCTCTCCAATCCAGTCATCGTGACACGCAGCCTGAGCAAGAGCTTCAGCAATAATAGCGGGCTGCTGAAACTCGAGACCGAAGCCGAGATGGATGATGGGATGCAAGAGACCTGCAAACATTCTGACGAGCATCGTCTCTGCACGCTCGTCGCCCGCGAAGACATACTGCTTGAGCACATGTTGCCAGCCCTTCTTGTCGATTTCTTGCCGGAAAAATTCGAGGAAATCGTTATAGTGCTGCTCTACTCCGAGGTGGCTCATGAACGTCGCGGGATCCTGGAGACCTTGCACAATTGTGCTCTCGGGCTTTCTTGCGGGTCTTTGGTAGCTTTTGTTGGTGTCGTAGCCTCGCTGTAGCTCTTCGGGTGTGGCTCCGAGCGACCATATGGTGAGTAGTTGATGAGCGATGTGGTTGTGAAAGCCATCGGCGTTGAAGAAGATGTGATGTCTTTCGTGGTTGTCTTGGAGAAGCTCGGTCGCCTTGTCGGTAGAGGACTGAGAAATTGGCGGGCGATAGAACTGTGGCTTGTCTACAGCTTGAAGTTGAACTATGCTTGCGGTAGCCATGGTCTTGCTGTATGGAGTGTAGGTACGTTTGGAGCAGTCTGCGAGAGGGTCCAAGAATATAAGAGGCGAACTGATTGACGACAACTAAGGTAGGCTTTTGTACCTCAATTGCTAGGAGGTACATTAGTACAATATACTTGATCTTCTTGTAATACCAATGCAGCCAGAGCTGCTGATTAATTGCTACGGACCCATGACATGCTGCAACAGAGCGGGGCTATATGTGGCTAAAAGTTACTCTCCTGGCCAAACAACTGTAAACTGTAGACTCTCTGCATCGATCAAGACGATACGGATTCCACTTTCATTCCTTGAGATCTTCGGAACGCCATAGCACTTTCAGGCGAAACGTCGTTCGTGAAGGCTATATGTATTCGAATATTTTTGGCCGCTTCGTGGAGTCAATTTATCTTGGGCAATTTGCGAATCGGGACTCCTGTAAAGAATTCAAGCAAGCGGTGAGGCTACGGCAGTGGACCAACGAAACTGTCGAATGGGACTGTCAAGATTGACGTCTTCTCGAGATTTTGGATGAACTGGAAAAGGAGTGTATTTTCGATGGAGACGGCAGAGGCCTCCATGAAGCAGAAGAGGAAGGAAGTTCAAGAGCCAAGCGTGAACCAGAATAAACGGGAGGAGGGATTGAGAACCCTCTTGAGTAGATCAGCTATCTCTGGCATTTTTCATTTGTCCATAGAGTCGCTTTGTTCATTCGTCAAACTTGCACCAAAGTGCATCAAGCAGGAACTTCTGCGGACACCGCTCCGCTGAGATGCATTCCGGAATGTAGGAAAACCAGTCGTTGGTCTCGTTCGAGGTGATGCTGTTCATGACCTTGGTGAACTCGTAGTACAATGGGTGGAAGCCACTGTACTGCCAGTCAATGATCCCAGTCACACGACATCGTCCTCCTTCTAGCTGGACAGCGATGTTTTCCGGCCTCAAATCGTTGTGACTGAGTACTCATTCTAGCGACAAGTATGGAGACACTTTGCGAGGAGCCTCGATATAGATGGAGCTTCCAAAATGGAAATTCGAGGGTTGCCAGAGTCGTCAAATTCTTCGACCGTCCATATAGGTTCTGTGGAAGAACGAACATACCTTCGTAGATCTTTGTAGCCTTCGCCCGCTACGCCCCTAAGAGGCAACTCTTCCTCTTTCAGGCGCCATCATGCCGAAGATTTCGGGGGCAGTGAGCGACTCGTGTGTAGCGGGTTTTCCAAGATGGGGAATGTAATGTAAAAGTCGAGCTTGGCGGTCGCGTGACACCTACGCGCTGCATTCGGTAGCTACTGTAGGTACATGTAGGTGATATGTATTATGTAAGGCAAGACATCTAAGAGACTACCTACCTACCTGACCTTAAGACAGATCTGTGTAACGCGAGAAAGTTCCAAAACACCCGCTAGCGGCCGTATGTGAGTTGACCAATTCTAGTGTCTTGACGAATGGAGATGCAGCCGACCGCTTGCAATTCTGGTATGTATCTTGCAGCGCTCAGCATACGCGCTTGTTGATCGAGATCAGTACCCCAAGTTCGGACAGGCGCGAAGAGGATATATTCTCCATCTTGAAATGGACGAGACATTGAGTCGGCGGGAATTGGTGTGCGAACAAAACGTACGGCATCGACAGCGTAGAATAGAGCTCCTACATGCATGATCATGAATGACTGTGCTGTCCCAGTCTGCGCTGAAGAACGAATCCCTATGTCGTTCAGGCCATCTAGTCAATGAATTCCTCCGTCTCCTCGATAATCTCTTCGAAGATCTCCTCCACAACTTTGCTGTCACCTTCATCGTCCTCCACAATAAGAGCTTGTTGCTCAGGCGTAATGTCAGGCAGACCGGCATCGAGCCTCTCGTCCAGCAGCTCGTCCATCGTACGCTTTCGCCATGCGAGCCACTCTCCGAGCTGGCGGCGGCGGTTCTCGATGACTTCCTTGTCGGCAGAGCTCTTCTTGGCTTGATCAAGCTCTTCGAATATCTTGCTGTATGTCTTGAGGTTCTGGCGAATCTCCTTCATCTCCTCTTTACTAAGAAGGCGATTCGGTCGTGGACGCCACGTGAACTGCTTGAATCCCTCAATAGGCTCCTCGCGTAACGTCTGGCCCGCAAAAGTGTACAGATGATAGCCGTTTTCCATGCGGTGCTTCCAGACAGAGGCGCTGGTGGCGACAAATCTGCCACTGGGATCCCACTCGATATCTGTGATTCCGTAGTGATCGGCCGTGTTCATCAATTGCAGGTTTGCAGCGAGTTTCTCCTCTTTCTCATCTTTTGGTCCTTCGAAGTCGAAATCCCAGAAGTCGAGATCGAAGCTCTGCTGGTTGAGAACGGTCGCGACAATACAGAAGCGGCCATTGGGCGACCAGTGGATGGCATTGTTATTTTTCTTGTCGACAGTGCGGATGAGCTTGAAGTTGCCAGGATTGTTACCCTTGACTATTTCAGGCGCAAAGAACGAGACAGATGTCTTTGGAGGTACAGCAGCGCCCGCAGGCACTTCACCAGCAGTGATGAGCACGAAGCGGTTGCCCTTCGGCTCCCATGCAAAGTTGATAACAGTGTCCTTGAGCTCGTCCACAACTTCGACAGGCACGCCCTTTTCTTGCACACGGAAGATCTCGAGGTTCGTGGCAAGCGACTTCTTGGACTTGCTGTGACGATCGACCTTGCAGCAGAGGAACTTTGAGTCGGATTGCCAGTGGAGCTTCGCATCACTCACGTTGAACAGGTTTCGAGTGCGAACGACTTCCTTTGATGGAACAGACATGATACCGACCTTCGCTGGATTGGAGCCCAGCTCAGGTGTCCAGTATGCAAAGAGTTGCTCGTAGTCCTTATGTTCCACACGCTTGGGCGTTGCTGGGCACCACTCAAAGTCCTGGACTCCTTCGATCTTGATGCTTACCTTGTCCATAAGTCTCATGCTGGGTAGTTCGTAGACGGAAATGCTCTGGCCAGTAGTCATGCGTGCAACATATTTTGAGTCCGCGGACCACTTGAAAGCTGGCCATTGGATCTTCTGCTTAATAGGGTTGCCTTCGGGGTCGAGACCAGGGCTGGGCAAATCGAGTGTGACGAACGAACGAATAGGCTTGCCAGTTGCGACATCCCAGATGATGTAGTTCTTGCCGTCCTCCTCGAGCGACAGGATAGGGTTGCCCTCCTCGACGACCATGGGCCGGTGAGACCAAGTTGTGATGAACTTCTCGTCCGGTGAGAAGTCAACGAGGTTGACACCAGGGTGCATGAATCGCTTCTGCCTCGACCACTGTTGACCACCCCAAAGCTGAACACCCTGCGCGTGCATCGAGGTCAGGAAGGTGCCCTTTGGCGACCACTGCACGAAAGACTCTGTCCAGTGCTGACGATCGACCACCTGCTCTGGCGCGCTATCCCTCTCATTCCAAAATACACCCACGTTGTCTCCACGGTACATCACAAACTGATCTCTGCCTTCCGAGTCCGCCAACCACCAGCGCAAGTGCTCCTTCTCCTCGAACGGCGCAATTTCTGGCTCTCGGTATGTCTCGTCAATCTTGCCCTCGCGTCCGAAGCGCTCGATATCCGTGAGCTTGTTGACAGCCATTGTGTGCTTCTTGTCGAGCGGCTGGGCATGCAACTGCTTGACGGCGACAGCGGCCTGTGCTGGGGTCTCGTACTCCACGAAGGCGAATCCCTCCGTGTTGCCCGTCTCGCCGCTGATGGGCATGAAGACGTTCTCCTCCTTCGTCTTGCCATGCTTGGTCAAGCTGCGCAACAAGAACTTCACCAACTTGTCCCTGCTGGCCTCGGGCACCTTGGGCAGACCGTCGATCACGATGAAGGTGTCGAGGCCTTCCTCCATTACTGTGTCGAACTTCTCGATCAGGTCGGAGAAGTCAATCTCATCGTCGTCTACCTCGTACTCCGTCTCCGGATCGAGGTTCTCGAAAGATGGCGCCATGATTGCGGTAGGAATGTCGGTGCGCTTTGCGTTGAAAGCGCTGGCGTCGTCGTCCTCTGGCGATAGGATTGTCGTTGCGTTGTCGCGCGTTTCGAATTTAAAGTGTCGATTTTGGCCCCACGATTCTGCCAAGACCACATTACATAAGGTGATTCAGAAAGCAGACGACACGTACGAGACGCCTTCTGACTTCCTCAACTGAATTATTGGGGATGAAGTATGGTGAATGTCTACCAGGTATGGATATGAGTCTGAGAGTTGAGTCTAGTAGATATACATCATCCTCACAGCTAATCCTTCGCATTGTGCTCATTCATCTGTTTCACTAGAACATCCACATTCCCACCAACCGCCTCATACCATTTCGGATCAATATGGTTAATACTCAAATAAGGACTTTTATCCATCTCTCCCGGCCCAGAACGATCCTGCATGGTCCAGCCCATTCCCAGATGTGCCCAAGGGTTCGAATCGCGATACTTGATTTCAAAATCCTCGTACCGCGGCCGCCCAATCACTTGATGATAATGCAGCGAACTCCCCGGCCAAATCGCGTTGACCCTCCCCGTCTCGTTGTCCTTGTACCAAGATCTGCAATCTTCTTTCCAGACGGTGTGCTTGATCCACTCTTGTACATGCTCGTTGAAGCTATCCGTGATGTCTTGCCGAGGTGTCCAGGAGCTAATGTTCTCATTTTGCATCTTCTTGATTATGTCGATGGCGTAGTCTGAAACGGTATGGAGAGGTCCCATCACAGAGCCGTTTTCAATGGGCCAAGTAGGTCCAATGAAGGTCATGAAGTTGGGAAAGTCGGGAACGGCTAAGCCGAGATATGACTCGGGGCATATCTTCCACTTGTCCTATCTTCTTGTCAGCAATAATTTCCCCTGCGTGGGAGAGCCGTGTCATCATCATACCTTGAGATCGATACCGCCCTTGCCCACAATAGGAAACCGTGGTCGGTATGACACATCGAAGCCTGTGGCACAAATGATTGTGTCTACCTTCCTCTCCACCCCATCAAATCCCACGACGCCATCTTCGGTACAGCTAGCCACGCCGGTGAAGTGAACATCAACATTAGGCTCCTGAATGGCCATCATGTATGGATCTCCAGGTGTGATTCGTCGGCAGCCAATGCCAAATTTGGGAGTGAAGCCCTCCAGTAATCTCTTGTCCTTGATGAACTCCGCCATGCGTGCTCGATTCATCTCCTGTCCATCCATTTGTTCTTTTGTGCCGGCATAAAAAACTCCCCACATGCCATTTACCTGGTCTTCGAGGGATTTGGCGTGAGCGACCAAGGCTTTTGGATTGCGCCGGTACTCATCGCGCTCTTTCTGGTCGTACTCCTTGGCATGGCCCAGGTCCTTGACGAGTTCCACGAACCATACACTGCTCTGTAGTCAGCGCTATGAAAACTGGGGATCAGGATTTCTCCAAGCTTACCCGGTTCTCACGAAGATGTCGAGATGTTTAGTATGAGGTTGCATCGTCGGAACAGTCTGAACTGAACTGGCTCCGGAACCAATGACCGCTACTCTATCGTTTGCCCATTCTTCCTTCTGGTACTCTTTTGGCCATCTTGCAGTGTGCACGACCTTGCCTTTGAACTTGTCCATCAATCCCGGAATGTCCGGCCTACGAGAACACGTGTGACAGTCAGCAGGTGCTGTAGGACACTGAATGCTCACAGCCACTACCTACCACTTGAAATTGTTCAGGATGCCAGTTCCATGCAGAAGGAGATGGCACGTATCCTCAAACTCTCTGGGTTCCTGACCTGGTGCAGTCTGTCGCAGCTTCACAGTCCACTCGCCATTGTCATCGTTCCAGTAAGCTCCAATGACTTCTGTATTGAAGACCATGTACTTCCGAAGATCAAAGGTGTTACAGACTTTGTCCAGGTATTTCCAGATATCTGGCGAGTGGGCAAAGAATCGAGGCCAGTCCGGGTTCAACGCAAATTGATAGGTATACGCGTGAGATGGAATATCACACGCGCAGCCGGGATACCTATCCTCTTGTCAGTAGATCTTTGACGCTGTTGGAATGCTTGCACGAACCTATTCTCTAGCCAGGTGCCACCGATGTCTTCATTCTTCTCGTAGATGACATGCTCCACGTTGGAGGCATCTTTTTGGAGACGGTATGCCAGCAAAATACCAGTAACTCCTCCTCCTATGGTAAGAACACGCAACTTTCGGTTCTTCGGATCATCTGTCATGGTCAGTCGTGCCCAATCGACCTGGGCGGGGAGCACAAGCGCGTACTGTAGGTTATGTTCTGGTTGATGGAGTAGCCTGATGAACCAGGCTGCGAGTAGTCAAATCTATGTCCCGCAGCGATGCCATTGAGGTCTGGTGCCATGTTGGAGGTTGCAGGTGCAGATGACCGTGGATAGAGAAGAAGGAAGAACTAGGAAACGGGCACAGAGGCAAATCGAGAGGAGGATCAAGACCTACTACTTCTACTTCGACAACATCAACGACGGCAGTTGAGCTGTAGCCTCGGATCCATTATTGAGGTGTGGGCTATCTCTACCTCCTACCGCCGTCCATCTACCTCCTAGTGCAACTGTGGAACGGACAAGGCCAGGATTTCTACCCATAACCAAATCCCGTCCCCATCTGAGCGGACGTGCGGAGGTGCCATCTGAGGAGCCAAGCAAGCAGCAGGTGGGTCGCTGATGTTGCCGTCGTGGGCGACCAAGAAGCAGGAAAGGGGCGTGTATCCGTGTTGCTTGCACATATTGACGCCCACCTATACCAAGCCATACTGGTAGCGTATTAGTTTCCCCACCACATCGCATTGCTGGCCTTGCAACACCACTCGATCGTCTTACGCAGCAATGCATCACATCGACTCGGCACACTCGAGTTGTGCACGGCATAATGGCACTTGTGCACGATTGGCCCGGTACGCGAGGAGGAGGCGTTGAACGCGGGGCAGGGTGGGGTGGGGACGGAGGCCGGTGGGACTTGGGCCCCCGTTAGTCGTCATGACCACGAAGGATACATGTACAGGTACCAGTATTGTGCTACCACACTTGCCGGTCCATTAGGTATTGCTGGTCTCAACACTGCGCTCGTGGATCACCCTGCCCAGTGATCATGGAATGATTCGATGCTCGAAGCTCCGTAATAGACTGGCGAGATGCGCAGGCAGAGTGGATCCCTGGTTGCCCGTGCTATTACCAAAACCCACCCACTCTATATCCGCACCTCTGGGCAGAGAGTCGGATGTGACTACCGACATCTGCGCTATCGGGCTGGGAAGTCTTTCATCGAGAGTGGTGTGATTTTCAGGAGCAGACACATATGACTGCCAGCCACGTTGGCGTGAGCCTCGCTGCTGGTCCCACACGTCAAAGTCCTCACTCTCGTCCTCATTGACTTCTGCAGCCCCCGTGCTTCCTGATGACAAAGAGTGGTATTCCTTCCATGCGTGTCTAGCAATATCGCTACGTCGTGCGATGACTGTCTGGTCAACTCCAGATGAGGCGAGGAACGCAATACCGTAAGTCCATTGCTTCATCTTCATGACTTTACCAATCCGGTCTAAGTGCTGTAGTGCGAGAACACTTTGCAATGTGAAGTCTGCAGTCGGCTCTTTCGGGGAACCTAGGCTGGCAGGAAGCTGCATACTGGCCGGTTCGAGTGGGATTTGACCCGCGATGTAGACTTGGCCGCCTGCCGTCTCTCCCGACGGTCGTTGCTTGATGGCCTGCGAGTAAGGTCCAATATTTGCAGGTGCCCAGTATGATCGCGACTGAACGTGCAACCCTTCCCTTTCGCCTGGCGCCACCACCATGGACACAGTCAACAGTGCGTCACGCGGTAGCACATCAGCACATGCAACAGTGATCCTGGCTGGCGGATTCGGCCTGCTGAAATAACTCCCATAGACCGGGTTGACCGCGGTGAAATCAAGCATGTCTCGAAGCACAATGATCGTGTTTACAACATCATGTATTGAATGACCCATGCGAGCAAGTGTGACCAATGCACCATCCATTATCGCCCCCATCTGCATGGCTGCAGTTGCGCCTTCAGCAGTAAGATTGGTCAGAAGTTCCGCGCCAGTCTCGATCTGGTCGACTCCTCCAGTAGCTGGCAAGACCGGTGGTCGGGAAAAGGCTCTAATGGTGTCGTCTGGCTCGAAGGATTGCTTTGACTTGAGGGATTGTAGCATCTGATCGAATTCCGTATCGAGAAGTGGTGGCACGCGGATCGCGGGTGCGCTTAAGGCTTGACTGTGCTCTGCGCTGTGCAAAGCGACAGAAGCCTTTCTCAGTTTCACAGAGGCACTACCAGCCTCTCCGGGCACTATATCAATGTCTTCAGAGGCGATCGTGATTCTTCCTTTCCACAAGGGCGCCGGTCCACTTATGGCCAGAGTTTCGAATTCGCCACCTTCGCCTAGTACTGCGCCATCTCCAGTAGTGCCGAAACGTTCTGCAGCTTTGCTCAGGCGAGATATGATACGTGCTTCGGCGACGTTCTGCCAAAGGAAGCTTTCGTCCAGGCCGCCTGAAGCCACCTTGATGATGCGTGAATCTTGACCTACAGCTGCCATATCTTGGAGAAGGGAGGTGGGAGTCTGGGGCGGGAGTGAAGGCCACTGCCATAGGTAGGATAGAGGCGTCAGGCCTAATCGCAAGGCAACAGACTCGACTCTTGTGCGCTGGTAGTCCGACAGAATGGCTCCCGTGCTAACTGCATTGACTTCGGGGTGGGCGGCAAGCACCTTGTGTAGCAGGGGTACTAGCGATTCGGTCTCGTCCTCCGAGTCGCCATGGTGATAGTCTCTCTCATGTACAGTCGCAGTGCCTTGAATCTCTTGTCGATACAGGGGCAGCCCGAGAGCCTTCTCGTATAATGGTATCACGGCGTGTCCGATGGTTTGATACATGAAACTATCCAGGTCTTCTGCGTCTTGTGCCTGCGGGTGCAGGTTGGCAAGAGCAACGACTTTGTGGCCATTTGCGAGACAGTGGAGAATGGAAAAGAACGAGTCCTTACCGCCAGAGATGAGCGCGACGACGTTCAGAGACGCCATACCTGTGCTTGTCTAAAGTCGGGCACGGTTTATGACACGATATAAGCAGATGGCTGAGCACAACCTCGATAAGCATTCGTAGCTGGTGTCTAATACCGGTCAGAAAGCGTCTCCAAGGTGCTGTTCTGCAGTGTCAGAGAGAAGAATAGCTACAGAAGAAAATTTGTCCGGCATTCAGCTCGCCAACAGGACCACGCAAGAAGCTGTCGAGTCGGAATTGAGCTGAACGCTGGGTTTGCAATGAGTTTGCTCTGTGAACAGCCTGACACACGCTCTATCACGGGAATAGACGAGCGAGCAACGTTTTGGGAAACTGTATTAGGCCATTCGCCGCACGAAGAAGAAAAGGTCGAAGAGATGGCGCCGAAGGAAGATTTTTGTACTCGCCCGCGGTGCGGCAGGCGCACGGCCGCGGGAGGAAAGCGCCAGTTGCCGTCAAGAGTCTTGGCGTGCCCGTCGAACTGCATGCGACATTACCTAAGGTACCACTACTCTAGCAGACCCGACCTTGGACTTTACATACGATGTCTTATGTGTATTGGGGACTTAGGGGGTTCATGGTGATCGATCCAGGTACATAGGGATACAATGAGCGCCATGTGGATGGTTAGGTGAGGTCATTTGGGATGCTCTTACTGGCATCACACTTGATGAGTACTGTACAGCAATATGTACTTTTGAGCTGAATAACGGGAAGCTTGTGTTGTTGGGGAATATGACAAGAGGCGAAGAATCGGAACAATGGCATACGACAGGCAACCATACCAGCAGCAGATTTAAGGTCATATATCATTGTCGCAGTCTCGTGCGGTACGAGTGTACAAAGTATGCCATTTTTCCGAGCTCAGCTCTGCTGATAGCCTAGCAGTGATCGACTACATCAACCCTCTCCAAAGAGTTCGATATTGCCATCGTCGGCAATGTAAAGCAACACTACTAGACACAAGCAGCTCTCTGGGCTACCATTTCGATTTGCCTGTCTTTGGATACCGAAGGTGCGAAGAGAAGAGTACCCAGCTCGTAGGCATACATCATTTTGCGCCCAATATTGCCGGTATCGTTTTATGCAGAACTTGTCCAACACCGCCTTGCTAAGGTCGCCAGACGTGGGTAAGGCGATCGAAGTCAAGCGGGCCAGACTCCAAAGAGCGGGCGTCGTCCTATGCTACTACTGGTATCTAGTATCGGCAGGTCTTTCTGTTACTGGCAAAATCTTGAGCCGAGCATTACACCTCCATCGACGCACAGACAAGGCAGAGTTGGCTACAAGATACCTCATAGCCGCGATGATGAGGGCAAAAAATGTCTCTTGAGGCCATTCTTCTTGACGAGGCAGACATCAATGACGCAGGACCAGAAATCGTCGTGTCGCATCTCAGACCCGCGGAATGATCAGCGTCTTGCGGCAGTACGTGCTGCTGTGACAACTGCAGGTGGGCTGTCACTTCTCGAAAACTTTGACCCGCGATCTAAAGGAAGATTCCATGTTCGGTTCCTGAAAGGTCTTGGGAATCTCCCTACTGTTATTCCTCTCAGCCCTGACTTCCTCGAATGTGTTGCCAGCGCAGGACCCTGGGTTTCAGCGTGTCTGCCGTGGGGCATAGAGTCGGATATGACTCTTCCAGAGGCAGAAGCAAAATCACAGATGCATTCAAGCTGTCAGACACGTCCCGCATGGAACCTGTCAGATAGGCTCATGAAAACACCAGGTCTTCGTTAAAGTCCCTTCCATTGAAAGAATACTTCTCCTTCGCCTCATCGCTCATCTCTGGCTTCTCTCGCGACGCATCTCTGATCTCTGTTGTCCCCGCAGGCTCGTCCCCCTTTTTCTCAGCCTTCCCATCCTTCTCGTCTTCCGCACAACCACAGTCGTAGAAGTCTCCGATATTGTTGCAGTCAAAAATCTCCTTCTTCAACCGCTTGTTCACCTGGTTATGCACATGACACGCCCAACCTGCAGCTGCATTGCGCGAGCTCGTTTGCGGCGGAAACTTTTTCAGCAACTCTCCAAAATGCTCTGCACACTCTCCACACGGATATACACGCTGGAAGGCGTAGATGAAGGTACGCAAGGTCTTGCTCTCTTCCTCGGTTGGCTTTTCTGGAAACCGAGCCATGACAGTGTGGAAGAACTTCCACGTCGCACGTCCGAGTTCTGCCTTTGCCGTCTCATTGCCGAGTTTAGGAGCGATTGCGTGGCCACTGAGCGCAATTTGATCGAGCTGGAGGGCGCCATCGACATGCTGCTGGAGAGGTTGCGACTCACGTGCGGAATTAATGATAGCGTCGTTATTCACCTTCTCTCGCAGGCCACGCATGCCCGTGATCATGCTGAAGAAGATGAGCATGCACACGACTGCGAGGACGGTGTAGTATCGTCGGGAGGCCATCGTGTAGGCGGTGGGGGGTGTTTGGTATGCGCTGCTTCGGTGTCGATGGATGGTAGTAGTCAGAGCAGCACACGTATACGGTATAGGGGATGCTACGCGGTGGACGCGAGATCATCTTTGACGGGTGGGGGGACCTTGTCGCGACGTTGCCACGACACGAACCTACACCTAAGTATAGAACGCTTTGGCTTTCATTGTCATACAAGCCGGGCGCCGGGCGGTGCCCAATCAAGACTGAGTTGCCGTCACTGTAACAAAGGCTTATAGCAACCCGACTACCTGACCGTTGAGGGTTGAGCAGAGGGAATGTATAGCTGAACCTGAAGATTAAAGGTAGGAGGGCTAAGGTAAGGGCATGTACCTAGCTCCTACCTAGAAACCTTAGTAAAAGTTCAATGAATATTTAGGTAGGCCTGCTGATTTTGTCATCAATCAAAATCTCGGTGCATTTCATCATACAGGGCGTCGTCTCTGGCCCCTGCAAGCCTGGGTTCGCTCCGCTCGGTCCGTTCTTCGGTGTACGCGAGCGACGTCGGCCGTCATTTTCATGCCATTGACTCAAACGATCACCTCACATGGACAGCACTTGTATATGACTGAACCGGCTCTTGGACGACTATTTACTTAGCACGAACGGTATACAACTTATTTACATCCACCCAGACAGTTGACAGCATGACTTCGTCCTTTCCGCCCCAGCCGGTGAACACCATTGGTAAGACAACGCTCGTGCATATGCAACCATACCTTACGCTGACTGTCCTGCAGATTGGGATGACATTGGATTCAAAGTCCGCGAAGGTACGTCTGCAATCGTGTGAAGGCTTCGCCGCGCGAGAACGCGTTCCATAAGTACTGACGATATGACAAGTGAACGGTCACATCGAGTCCACTTACTCCACCAAGACGGGAGAATGGACTGCTCCCAAGTTTGTGCACGACCCATTTCTCCGCCTCCATGGCATGGCACCAGGCCTCAACTACGGCATGCAGTGCTACGAAGGACTGAAGGCCTCTCGTGGACCCGACGACAAGACGATTGGAATTTTCCGACCAGAAGCCAATGCAGAGCGGATGCAACACTCTGCGTCGTACGTCAGCATGCCCGCAGTACCAGTCGAGCTGTTCAAGAAATCTGTGCATTTGGCTGTCAGCTTGAATGCAGCATATGTTCCACCGCACCGAACTGGTGCAAGCATGTACATTCGACCACTTCTTTTTGGATCCAGTGCACAACTTGGTCTGGACCCACCTGAGGAGTATACCTTTTTGGTCTACGTCATGCCCACAGGCGTCTACCACGGCGTTCACCCCGTAGCATGTCTCATTTTGGAGGATTTTGATCGCGCCGCACCTGAGGGTACGGGAAGTGCCAAGATCGGTGGCAACTACGCTCCCGTCCTGCGACACAGCGGAAAGGCGAAGAAAGAAGGCTATGGCATCACGCTGCACCTGGACAGTCGGACACGTACCGAAGTCGACGAATTCTCCACGTCGGGCTTTATTGGAATTCACGGAAACCCTGATCAGGGCTGCACAATCGTCGTGCCCGACAGTAAGAACGTGATCAAGTCTGTCACGAGCAACACGATCTGCGAAATTGCCAAGAGCTGGGGTTGGAAGGTTGAGCAAAGACCTGTAAGCACACCAATTGCAAACTTCTTTCCTCTCCCCTCTCTTCGTCCCTGAAAAAAAATGGGAAAAAGAAAAAGAAAAAGAAACTAAACAAAATCTTCAATTCACAGATCAAATACGAAGAAATCGGAACCTTCACCGAAGTCGCCGCAGCAGGCACAGCAGCAGCACTCGTCCCCATCAAGAGCATCACCATGCAGTCCAAGAACGACACCTTCAAGTACCAAGGTGGAGGCGACGAGCCCGGGCCCGCTGTCATCAAGCTTCTCGCTCAGCTCAAAGGCATTCAGCAGGGCAAGGTCAAGGACGAGTTTGGATGGGTCGAACAAGTCCGAGCGTACAAGCCGGAGGAGTATGTCCACGATGGTGCTGGTGAGGCGAATGGCACTGCCAGTGGGCAGACGCCGAATGAGCTGCCTTGAGAGTAGTGACATGTTTGGGACGAGATCGTTGCTTTGTGGGGAATACGGTAGGTAGGTATGCGTGTAAGGTAGAGTAGACGAGAAACAATCAAAAGTCAAGCTCTGGTTTCGGTTGCGAAGCGCCTGTACTGTATACTTAAGGTAAGGTAGATTATGCTATGATGAACTTTTGTACTTTTCGACAGATCGTGAGTACCTTCCAAATTTCTTTGACATGCATACCTTCCACACGAAAGAACTGCGCTTACCTAGGTACATGTCAGTCATAGTGTAACCTTACCTGGGGCATGTGAAGATGTTGGTGAGATAAAGATTTAGCAAGAATCACAGAGTAATCTCAGCTACATGTTTTTGGAGAAAAAATCAGATTAAAGTAATATATTTCCAACAAGAAAAAAGTTCTACTAGCAAGACATCCCAAGGCTCAGCCAATGTGAATAACTTATGAATAGATATCTCGGGTAAGGTACCTAAGATACCAGGTAAGATTCCAATTACAAAGAGAAAGAAAAAAAAACAAAGCAGCCCGAAAAGAGACACGCAGTCATTCAACAAGCCGCTCGAGTCTCCACAAGTCATTCAAACATTAGCAATCGTAACAGGAGTAATAACAATCCCCACATTGCTTCGACTTTTGCTCGATGAGACCTGTCTAGTCGCAGTAGTAACAGGAGTAATAACAATCCCCACATTGCTCTTCTGACTTGTGCTCAATGAGACCTTTCTAGTCGTAGTAGCCAAAGTAGTAGCAGAAGAAAAAGACTTTGTCTGATACATACTAGGTCGAGCCGTAGGATTTGCACATTCAAAAAATCTTCCTTGTCCACTACCACACATTCGAGCAGTAGAAGATTTGGAGACACTTGGCTTCGTCTCTGTGCTCGATTGGCTTGGGGATGGGCGAGCTGTTGGTGCTGGGAGACCGTTGATGGGGTTAATTCCTACGACGGTCGGCGTCTCGTAGACGATGTGAGTCGAAGTGCTGGTGACAGTCTTTCGGGGCCTTGTGGTGCTAATTGTTGATGCGGGAGCGTAGACAGTTTGGGTGAGCGTGATGGACTGGATGACCACGTTTGGCTGGTTGGAGATGTTGTTGAGTGGAATGTATGCTGCTGCTGCATACTGGCCTGCCAGTAGGGCAGAGATGAGAATGTTTGAAGTAGGCATGATAGTATTCGTAAGAGTCGTGAGCGTGTATGTGACGAGGAATGGAGGGTCTAGTTGGAAGAAATGGTGCAACGGAACTCATTTAAACATATTCTCCATTATTACATGTGACTGCACTACTGAACAATGACTTGTAGGGACAAAGGATTCGGCTTTATCTTCTCACCTTGGCTGAGAAAGTGCCGTATTTTTAGAACAAAGTGTGTGGCAATGAAGGATTATAGCTTTTTGGATCTGCCAACAGTCAACAGATACATGTTGCGATTGGTACGCAGTCTGCATCTCGGTTTTCTGGAATGAAGAGCAAGTCTCACAAGTCTCCATGAACAAACTTGTACTTTCCTCCGCCGCCGAGTGGGTCACCACCTGGCACACACAGGCCTAATCGCCAGAAGTAGTCGCGGTGCGCAAATAGCAGCTGCCAGAGCTTGTATCGAGATGGGATACCCCATGGCTCCGTCGTAATATCATAAATCTCGTCTTTGACAGATGCGAGCAAAGTTGAGTCTTGGCCGGCAATGCAATCCTTGTCATTGTCACCCTTGCAATGCTGCAGATCTACAATGTCGGGCGATAGGTCAGACTTTGATATGTAGATCTCTCCAGCATGCATAGCATATCCCCACTCTGTCAGGGGCAGTTGAGGAACCGGATCGTCAATATGAGTCAGTCTTCGGTAGTTGGTTTGTGTATCGTCAACAGGGACATTCGTCGTCAGGTTAAATCGTTCATCGATGTATTTGGCAAGACCGACGTTTCCAGATCGGGGCTCACCAAAGGTTGTGATCACTGGGTGGTAGCCTCGCGCAAGCAAATCTAGACCAGCCAAAGCCGCGACTGCGCCGCCAAGAGAGTGGCCGACCAGAGTCAGCTGATAGTCAGAATGTGCAGATAGCTGTGCCTGCAGGTCGGGCAGTATCTGCTTCCGCGTATTGAGCCATGAAGAGTGAAAGCCCATGTGGACAGTGCAATTCATGCACTTGGGCTGACCTGCCACACGAAAGGAAGGCTCGTCTCCGTCATCCTCGCCAGGATAGGGAACGTACTTTTGCGGGACAGTGCTCAGATCGACAACAGCATTGCTGATACTGTAAGTGCCTCGAAAAGCGACAACGACTCGCCGCTTGTCGTGGTCCAGGGCAATGTAGCCGCAGGAATCACTCAGAAGAGGTCCAGTATTCCACGTCGTAATCAGTTCGAAGCTGGGAAAGTCACTACACCTGGACAGACAGCTGAAGGGTTTCGAGATACCCCAGCTTGTACTCCCCACACAATATGCGATGTCCACTACGCGAGCGAGCTCTTCCAGCTCTGCGAAGAGTGCTGCGCTGACATTGCGGTTGTCGGCATGTTGGAGCAGCGGGAGTTGCTGCTGGCGGTCGTGCGCGAAGCAGCCAAGAGCACCGAGAACATTCAGGAGAAGGTGTGAGCAGCGCATCGTGGTCGTTTACATGTTGTTGTTGTTGTTGATAGATGTACTCTTGATGTGGTGATGTGGCGGTCAGCTTTCTTCGTCTCCTGTGGGCAGCTTGCTTGCTCTTATGATGCCGGCGGCAAACGCCACCCGACGGCAACCATCCACGTGGGAGATGACTGAGTTTACAAGAGAGAAGAGGGGTTGAAGATGAGAAGGGAAGAAGGTGGAGGAGGAAGAATGGCTGATGATGATGAGTTACTAGGTACTGTAGGTAGTCTCTTTCTTGGCGAAGTGAATTGAAGGCGCTTCCATGCCCATACCACACATCACCTGATCGTCAATGTCGCCAAGCGGAATGACTTCATCGTTGCCGGGCGGAACAGGGACGGGAGACGGTCCAGACGCGGTTGGCGGCATCATCCACATACACGGTAACGGTTGACGGTACGCGTCGGAGGGCGAGCGAGAGGATCATCTTACAGAGTCAGGTAGTCAAAGGAGTTAGCTTCCCAGTGGCATCGCATCCTTTGCTATCTTTGCTATCTTCCTGACGTTTGTAACGACTGCAGTAACAACAATGCCTCTACAGTAAGGAAATACCATCACCACCACTACCACCACACCACCACCGTCGTCGTCGTATCACCACCACCGCCATCACAACGACAACATGAGTGGCGAGGACCCCCGTAAACACGACTTCGATCAGCGCCACGACGGACCTCTCGATCCGCCCACACGAGCCAGTATTCATGTTCACACCGACGACAGCGCCCTGCACCGATCCTCGTCGGATCACCAGAGGCCTAGTGGCACCCATGGCGTACAATCACCCTCGTCTGCTTCCAAGCCGCGCAAGAGCGTGCAATTGCCCGCGGACGAGGCAACCCCCGTGCGACGAAGTGCGCAGATAGGGCGAGATCGCTATGCGTCTCGGCCCTCACAGGACTTTGACGTGAGACGAGATGGACCATATGGCAGACCGAGCCTGACCATGGTGCGGCGCCGCTCTTCTGGTGCTGTGAATGCTCTTAGCCCAGATGCGACCAGAGACCCTACTGCGCCGGACGTGGAGGCACTGGAAGGCTATCAAACCGCGGAAGAGTCAAGGCCGTTGTATGAGCCGCAACCTCCGCCGCTGAACTACAGTCTGTGGGATCGGAGATGGTTCATCGCCTTCTTCTGGAGCATGATTTTGATCGACTGCATTGCTGCACCGATTGTGCTGTATTTCTGTCTGTGGTATCTGACAGATCTCTCTCCCAACGCCGTCTTCTCCATCGTGACGGCAGCCCTAGGAGGTGTCAGTATTTTCGAGTACTTTATCCGGTTCTGGAGGCTGTGGAAAAAGAGCAGCACGTGTAGAGTGCTGGGAGCGAGGAGAAAGTATCTCGACTGGTTTCACTGGAACTTTACTCTTGGATGGGTCATCATCATGGTGGAACTGATTGTGTACGTCTTGTATAACCGGCTGTAAGAAGGAACTGCTAACAGTGTGATAGCGGCACCGTGCCCGAAAATCCTCCTATCCGCCTCCTGGCCATGCCTCTCACTTCCATGATGTGGGTCTTTGGCACCGAACTTCTCGTCGTCGACATCATGCGCTACTTTGAAATCCCGGCCCCAGTGCGAATATCCTCGATTCCCAAAGGCGCTCAACTCCGACCAGCAATCTACAGTATGATAGAAGATGTGGTTGCCGTAGACGGAAGTGGAGGAACAGAATACCGTGAAGCGCTCAACCGACGCTATGAAGCATCACATGTCTTCCGATCTCTTCTCCGGAGGCTTGGTGTCTTCTGGGCAGTCGGAGCTGAAGGCATGGCCGTGGTCACAACCGTATTGGTCTTCACCATAGGGCCGGACGCCGCATACGTCGTGGGCTGGAGTGCGCCTTTCGTGTGGGCGGGTATCTGGACGGTGTTGACCTTTATGTATGCGAAGCACATGCTCAAGAAGGAGCAGCTGGCGTGGACGGCGGAGTTGCAAGAAAAGCAGGGCGCTATGATGATGACGGGATTGAGTGATCGTGGAAGTGAAATCAAGGCTGAAGAGGAGGGACGACCAAGAAACGAGATTGAGAATGGCGCACTGCTGCCAGGTGGCCGTGACCATGCCCTGCAGCCGATACCTTCAGCCATGGAAATTCCGACCTTGCACGACACGCAGCCAGACGCTGCGCCTGACACCTCGCGGGGGAGATCATTTGATATGGATGCGCCAGGGGCGACTGCAGCGACAGAAGAACAGGCCACGAAGTCGTAGCGCCCATCTTTCCAGGGAGGTTTACATGAGAGGGAATGAGCATCGTTTGCATAGCGTTGATTGAATGAATTCTGCATTGCAGGTCCCAGATGGGTCCTGCACACTTTCTTGCTTATGTAAAAAAGAAAGAAACACGAAGAGAGCGAGCGTGATGAAATTGTTGGGAATTACCATTACTGTAATGATAAAAGAAGAACCTCTATAGACTATAGATTGCAGGCACAACAGAAACAGAGAAGCTTGTTCCAGCCAGTGAGTGCGACGGAGTAGCACATAATATAACATACAAGTGAGGTGAGAACATCTAGTTTGAAACAACCATTCGAGGAATACTACACGGGATATATGATATATCATATCCACATTCATATCCGAGGTACGTACGATGAGGGGTATATATAAAAATAAAGGCAGACCTGAGGTATCAAAAGCCATGAATGGGTACCTTAGGTAGGAGAAAGAAGCCCACATCATCTCCTCCTCTTCCCTCCCAACGGCTGCACATTCGCCGGATCCTCAAATCCCACCTGAAAACTCCTCAATTCCACCGTATCCGTCGCTCCTCCTCCTCTACTATCACCATGACCCATTCCCCCCTTATACATGGACCTCTCATCCGAAGCCGAAGCCGAAGCCGAAGAAGATATCATCACCTCTCCATACCTCACGGGTTTCCTCCCAGCGCCTTTGACCAATTCTCTGACTTCAGCATTGGGATGTTCAGCCGCTAACAAGGGAGCATTAAAAGCTTTTGCAGTTTCAATGGGACTCATTGTGACGTTTCTTCCGAGTAGCCAGAAGCCGTTGAAAGTGGCTAGGACAATTCCCATGGCGATGAAAGTCAGAGCGACGGCGATGGCGAGGTATTCGAAATGGGATTCGTAGACGGTCACGGTGCGGAGTTCGGTGGCGGAGAGGAGGGGTTGTAAGGAGGAAGAAGAAGAAGAAGAAGAGGAGGAAGAGGAATTCCCTTGGGCGAGAGATGTGCGAAACATGAGATCGCGGGCTTGGGCGAAAATGTAGGAGGATGGGTCGGTGAATTTGGTTTTGCAGAGTCCTGTGCCGTAGTCTTGTACGTCGGACATATCTGCGAATTGCGCCGTGAGACTTCCCGTCGAGGTCATTTCGTAGCCTGCTGCACCGGCGAATCGCATGCGGGTGGCAGAATTCAATTTGGAACTGAGGGCGTAGGCGAAGCCTCCCAGGGGGGAAGGCATGCCGAAGCCGGATTCCATGGGCATGGTGGTGAGAGAGAGGACTTTGTCGTCGGAAAAGGTGGATTGTGGTGATAGAGCGACGGTGGATTTGTTGCCGTCGATGGTGACGGGGTATTGGACTGTTGCTGCGCCAATGGTGCAGTTTCGGACTTGGAGTTGGCCTTTGCCGCATTCATCCCCGTTCTCGGGCTTGTATTGGAGGTTCAAGGTGATATTGGCGGGTGTGATTGCGCTCCAGCCGAGGGTGACTTGGAACACGTCGAGGCCGCTGAAGGAGTCGTCGCTCATGGAGCCATCGCTATTCGTCGATAAGAGATCAAACTCTGCTGTGCTGGCGTTGCAGCTGATAGCAAGTCCTGCAGCTTCTAATGCTCCGGAACATACCCCATCACTCGCACAGCCCGACTGGTTGTAGGTCACGGAGCGAGCGGTGCTCCATGCTTGCACGATGGGAGCGAACTGGGTATCCAGTGTAGTCACCGTGTACGCTCTTCCAGAAGTATATCCTGTAGGATTCTGAAGAGATGTCACAGCCGGGAGGCTGATATTCACATTTCCGGAGAGATAATGCTTCTGGTCAGACGTGATTGTGGATGCTCTCTGCAGTAGAGGTCCGGTGATGGGCGTGATGGCCAAGAACAGGGCTGCGAAGGAGATGTAGTTGAAATGCCTGCCAGCAAAAGCAGCTGCTATCGGACTCGTGCCATGTTCCCAATACCGATGCAGATCGCCAATTTGGGTACCCTCCTTCAGAGCCTTACGCCACCAATAAACCTACAGCACCACGATGAGCGATCATCAATGGAGTGTTGAGAGACTCTGGAGGGAGTACGTACAGTAAGACCTTGACTGAAAGCACCTGCAAGCAGGATATTGCCAATAGTATACGCCATGGACAGAAACAAGCTGGGCGGATACTTCCAACTGTCAATGGGTTTTCCATTTGATGCCAGCAAGATCGCAATCTCCACCACGCCGCAGCAGAAGACTCCCAACAAGCAGGAAATGCCACCCCATGGGATACGTTTGCCGACACCAGGTTGCCACGGATTCATCGTGTGCATGTTGTCCGAGAGCGGAAGATGGTCGTGGTCGGGGTCGCGGTCGCGGTCGCGGCCAGACATTTTTCTGTAGGCCATTCTCGAAGATATGCCGGGAGAAAGGGTGCAAGTGAGGTCTGCATGCTGGTGAAAATCATTAGCAGCAACCGGGGTGTCAATACGATGTGGTATTGTTGTTTTTGACTACTTAATGCTGGCCAAGACAATTGTAGTTTCGGCGACAGCGGATTGGGTGCGTTCGGAGTGCGCAAACGACGCCGTCGCTGTCAGTATGGGACTTGCCACACTTTAAATCTGAAAATAACTGCACAAGGGGTTCCGGCACATCTGGTACAATTGTACCTCCTGGGTCCCCTGGGGGGCTCCCTATTGAGTATTGACCGACCGAGATAATGACTTTTTAGTATCTCCATTGAGAATAATGTGGGGGGCCTCAATTGTCGAGGAATGTCCATAGCTGTGGCTGTGGAGTAGTTCTCATATCAAGGGTGAAACATGACATAGAGAGGATGTTGTTCGGAAGAAGAAAAGAAAGGGTTTGTTTGTGAAGCCTCTTGAAACTCGCTCGATTTCTGAACTGGACTGACATCATGATCCGTTGATGAATTGCTCAGGTACAACCATGTTTACATCGCCAAGCCTCGATATCTGCTCCTGACGTCCCTGACGATCGTCATACCACCATGGACCTCACGCAGATGGCAGAGCCTGCAAAAGTCTGAAATACATGTGCATGCTATGTATCTCAAGATTCATGAGACGGAAAGGAGTGATAACGATGCTTCTTCCTATATGAATAAGTCTATTATAATCACCTATCGTACAAGGGTATATAGAATAGGATCTCGCTAATATCGCTCATCAGAACAGAAGATTGATGTCCAATGTCACACTCGACAGTTTGTAAACATAGGTGTTGTAATCATCACAAATCCTCTCCCTAATAACACGCAGCCGTCACTCGCATACTATGTGCAGGCGCGCTATGCGGCCTTTCGCATTGTGCAGCTTGCTGACGAAGCATGGCAAAGCCCGAAGCATTCATCGCCTGCCTCTTGTGCGCTCGGATCTTCTTTTCTGCGAGAGTGGCATCGTCATCGAATGTAGGACCGCGCAACGTCATGCCACGGAGCGACTGACGAATGGAAGAGGGCCGAAAGCTGACCGGTCTTTCTGCGGCCTCGCCAGACGCTGTCGTCAAGGAACGATTACTCGTCTTTTTAGAAGGACTCCGTCGATGTCTGTAGAGTGAGACCCGAGTCGCTTGTAGGATGACAGCAGAGTCGGGACGGTCTGTGTTCATAGAGTTGAATTCAACTTGTGCCGCCGTGAGCGCTTGTTGAGCATCGATATCGTCGATAACGCGGCTGAAGTGTGCATCAAGAGAGTCGTCATCTATGCTTTCGCGCTCGCTAGCTGACCATTGTGGCTGCGCACTCTGGGCATGGGCAGCTGCAAAGTGCGGTAGCATTGATGCGTAAGTCCTCTTGCAGTCGGCAAGACTCATGTGAGGGTCTGCAGAGCCGTGGAGAGTCTCCGCAAGGATGGTTGCAACAGCCACGCGATGTGTCCGGAACTGGCTCAGCTCCCACGACCAAAGGTGCTTCTGCATGAGGGCATGGTCGCTAATCAACGACGACTTTGTGTACGTCGGTGGGTGGTGTCCGGTACAAGGGCCATTGTGGCGAAAAGTGAAGCCGCAATGCTGAGTCAAGTTGGCGGACTGCAGATGTCTATCCCGGTCCTTTTCGTTGGCAAAGAAGATGCGGCATTCATCACACTTGTGCCTTTTCTCGCTGAAGTTGAGGGAATGTTGGCCAATGTGTTCGGCGAGGTCCTCGCCATCCGACCAGAACCCTTCGCCGCATAGATCACAGAATACCTTGTCGAAAGTGGATGTTGGTCTCTGCAGGAGACGTGTCACGAATGACCTTGTTTGTTGAGTGAAGTCTTCGGCCTCGTCGGCTACACATGCAGAGTCGTGAGCCCGTCGCACCTGCCGACTGTCGTCATCGTGAATGGTCCAATATCGTTCAGACAGCGTTCGTCGAGCAGATGAATCTTCCCCAAACGGAGTGAGGACGGAAGACTGCAAGGCACTGTCGCAGCCTCCCAGACCTGAGGCTAGATGTTTTGGCAGGTATGTGACCGGAAATTTAATGCCACACTCGGGACATGGCTCCATGTCATTGTTATGCTTGAGGCGGACGTGACGCTTCAAACTTTGGGCTGAGGAGAAGACCGAGTCGCATGTGTGACAGGGGTAGTTCTCGACCCCCGCGCACTGCTGAACGTGCTCCGTCAGACGGATTTGTGTGGAATATGACTTGCCGCACGAGCAACAGTAGCGCCCGGAGAAGTCCTTGCCCAAGTCGCAGTGAAGATGCCTTGAAGTCTGCGTCGACTGAGGTGGCTCAGCCTCCTCGTCCTCTTCGTCGTCCCCTTCGAGATCAACCCTTGCAGCTCCAGAAAGCAGTTGAGCTGCAACGCGATGGAACTCGGCAGGGTCGGCGGATTTGTCGGTGGTGGAGAAGTGGAATCCAGGCACGAGAAATGTATTTCGATTTATGTTGGCTTCTCTAGGTTGCAATGGAATCGATTCCTGGACGCTCCCGTACGTCAAAGAGGAAGAAAGCGATAATAGTGGGTTGGGAATGTCTTCCAGTGGCCAATTGTTCTCCTCCATGATAGCTTGTCGCTCAATTGATTGAGTCATCTCGGAGCTTGAAAGTCTAGCTGCTTCTTGGTGAAGCAGATGAGTGCCTTGAGTAGCATGTACGTCGTAAACTTGTGGTATAGCTCCGTCAGTTGTGCCTTGGGGTGGGTCAAACGGCCTTATATGCCATGCGCGGCTTGTAAACAATACTTCATCAGTGGTTAGACGCTGTGGGTCGAGAAGTAGCGTGAGAACATAAGAGCAGGGAAAGTTTCACCAGGTTGCCAGGAGGTATATCCATCATGCCTTCAGGCTCCGATGCACACTATATCTTATGACATAGCTATTCTAAGCTCGCCAGCTAGAGCGTTTTGTGCCGTGGTAACGTTGTGCTGTGGCCTTGATCAAAGGAGCTGGATAAGCGTGGGAGTGGACCAAGTGAGACAGATAACAGTGGTCCGAATTGGATTGGGATTAGTAGCCGATCAACGCATGTAACAATTGGCGCCTTGCAGATCTCTCGCTGTGGTTCGCACAAAGCCACTATCATGCTACATCGAGTTAGTACCCGGAGTGCCCGTTGATACCTTGTGCAACGTGACCAACAGTCGCGGAGCATTTGTGGCGTCTTGGTACTTCTATGACTGTCAACAAGAGGCGCGACGTTGGAGCGATCTCGAGCGCGCCACGGCGCTGTGAGGAGATGTTGTGATCCGAAACCGTAGCTCAGTGGAGTGCAGCCTGCCCCACGCCGAGCATTTGGGGATTGAATGTGCTAGCATTACAGGATCGAATGATCGTGGTGGTAGCGCGAGCGTGGTTTGGATAGAAACAAATCCTTCACGTCCGGCCGCGAGAAAAATTGAGTGATGAGTGGCCGTATGACAGCCAGGTTATCCACTGCACTGCAATGAGGATGCTTCAGTGTGTCGAAAGGTCTTTCTTCCTGCACTGCATTGCATGGCCGTCTTCGATGGTGGCAAAGATGGCGTAGGTATGAAGGCTGATCTCGATGTGTACAAGATGTCTGTGCTCCGCTTTGAATTCCTGGTGTGGTTGTCAGGCTACGGAGCGTGCCGTAGTCTC